ACATAGACTTCATGAACGCAGCGTAGCTCGCGTAACAAAAGATTTTAATATTATATTATTTAGGTTTTTTGATCGCTCAAAAACTTATAATTCCAGATGAGCGCATATGAAAAATTGGCTTTAAAAATGGCAGGCTGGTCATTCTGCGGATAAAATATCAAGAAAAGGTGGGATATTTTCACACAGTCTAACTGGTCGGATTTATGGATTTAGTAAATAGCTCCTCTAGTTTTGATTTTACTTCCAGTCTGAAAAACATGTCTATTTGGTTGCCTGATTCTCTCTTCAGAAATAAAGAATTTTAATGTAACATAAAATTTTCTTCAGTTTAAACGATTGATTATAATACAGTACAGTGCATGCAGTACAGTACAGTGCATGCAGTACAGTACAACTACTTTCTTAAAGTACCTATTATTCAGAATATCCTCGTCCCTTAAAGTGCACTTTTGTCCTAAAGTCTGCACATTTGTCTTAGCGTTCATTTTTGTTATTTAACCCCAGTCGTTGATGCAAATGTTCTCTTCAAGTTTATTTTACACGACATAAAAAATGTGCGGAACACATATCTAAGAACCTGTGTTTGAGCGGAAAGTAAGTTCCAAGGAAAAGGAACGGTTCCCTGGTTCAAATCCTGATTAGGAATAGTTATTCGGGATTTCGTCACGATTAAATTATACTCGTGCACGAACACCAGATTGGACTTCATGTAATAATTTTCAAATACAGTTATTTCATGAAAATAAGTCAATTCAACAATAAGACATTTATGAATAAGTTAATTCAACAATAAGACATTTTTAAATAAACCAATTCAATTATACATAATATGACATTTTTAAATAAACCAATTCAATTATACATAATATGACATTTTTAAATAAACCAATCCAATTATACATAATATGACATTTATGAATAAGTCAATTCAACAAGTCATTACCAATATTTTTTTTTAAAGATAGGTCATTTCATAGATAAACCAATTAACATTTAAGCAAAGATCAAAGATAAGTTATTTAAAATGTTTAATCATGTCCAGATAGGCAATTCCATGAGTCTAGTCAATTAAATCGTAAATAATTTAAAGTTTGGTCATTTCAAAGATTGTTTAACACAAATATTTATTTCTAGCTAAAACATCTCAAAGATAAGCCAATTAAATTGAAACATCATTTACAGTTTGATCATTTTAAAGATAAGTCAAAATGAGAAGGAAATTTGAATAATCAAGACCAAAAAAAAAGACCTTTCACAAAAAAATAGTAATTAATCCTCTTTTTCGAGTTCTACAATTCTTTGACATCCTTGTTAAGAACGTTTTTAAGAAAGATGGCTTAACTATTATTTTAATTTACCTTAATACTAGAGGACTGGCTGTTGTTAGATAGAGTTTCCGAAAGCTTTCGAACCTGTCCGACACCAGTTTATTTTATTTATATTATCCAAAGATGAAAAGGGATAGATAAAGGAATGAGAGAATTATGTAAATTAAAGAAGGATGTGGGAAGTAGTCCAATGTTGTAGACCTTCAATATTCCAAATATTTTCAGTAAGATTAAGCCGTCAAACAAAAGCCGGGATTTAAAAATAAGAGTTAGTGGCATATAATTACTAATGAGTTTATTTAATTAAAAAACTAGATAAAAATAAATCTCTGCCTTGTTGTGAACACTAGCGACAATATCGTAGAGAGGTAAAGACTGCTGCAGCAAACTCTCTGTACTATTACCTTTCTTCTCCCTTTATTACAAAATAATGCTAATGTTACAATAAAGGTCAGAATAATAATGATAAAAATGATGGCGATGATGATGATGATCATATTAATCATAACACAATGACGAGAAACGTGATTATGGTATTGTTGATGATAAGAATGTTCATGATGATCTTGACCAATGATCATCATGATTATTATAATGATGTTAAAACTATAAATATGGTTATTAACAATTTTTATGTTAACGGTAATAAAAATCATTAAGATTATAATGATAATGATCATGTTGATTATAAATATTAAGTGATCATGATATGAAAATGAGGTCCATCATGATCTGCCTGACCTGAAAGTTTTAGCTTCTATTACTCCATCCTCGCTCCACTGTGACATGTAGTTTAGACGACGCCTGGTTGGTTTTTCTAAAAAAAATAATTTTACATGTGATAAAAAGGCTAAAAGTTAGTTGCTACCTCCTGGCGACTGTGATGGTTTGTATGACTGTTTATACATTTGTGGGACAGAGGATTTCTTTTCTCTCTCAACTGTTAAACATGATCCCAGAGGCGTCATCTTTATGTTTGACCTAAAATAAAATAAAGATTGCAGTGTTTAAATTTAAATTATTTTCAAAACGATAAAATTTTAAATTTTATTTCTGGTCTAATTTTTCATATTTTAATTTTCATAAACCTTTCCTGGGGTCATGTAAGATGCCACAACAAATTTGAGCCGTTTGAAGTTTGATAGATACAAATATAGACACACACAAACAAACAAGCAAAGTATATATAAAGTATGATGCGTACAATACACGCAATTAATTGTAAGAATAATAAGGTTTTCTAAAACAATTTGCTGTAGTAAACTTGACGTTAGTTATTGGGTTTTCCGAGAAAATAACATTGTTTAATTTCTAATTTATTTAATTTATTTTCTCTTTATTTTATTCATAAAGTTTAGTCTAGTTTATTTACTACCTCTTTGTAACCTCTGGTGAGAGTTCTATGTTAAAGTTCCCTTTCTTTCTGAAGAGTTTCCTTCGGTAAGAGTTCTCCTGGTAGGTCTTTAATACCTCTGTACCCTCGAGACATCTGTAGCCGGGTAGGTCAGTCTCTCCTTCTACCTGGATATTCGCTATACAATAGACATATTTCCAAGTAGAAATAAGTGGATTATTTTTTTTTTGTATTTGATGTTGTTTTAAAACAAATAATTTTACCACTAACTAGAAAATCAAACAAAACCAAAAGGTTCTCGGTTCACTGCACAATTGCAGTGTATTGGTTTTTTTTTTTGGACTACTTGAAATCATAACTTGAGTAAACATTCGCCTTCCTTTTCCAAGGTTTCATTCTTTTAATCTTTTTAACCATATTGCCCAACAGACTCCCGGCCTTAACTCATTATCAGCCAAAGTTAGGTTAGTTTATTGGAAAACTTTTTTTTGACAATAAAAACAAGCCGGATTTTCAAGGGATGATAGTTGACTTCAATTATCATGGACACAATCTAGGGTAAACCGGATTAAAGATTGTCAGAATTATACTTATCCCGGGTCGTTTTCTTTAATACCTAACAAACCGCCTCCCATTATAACTAATTCCTTTCAAAACAATTTTACCTGACAGAACAGAACCCTTTTTAGATCTATATAGTTCTAAGCCCGTTTCTCCGATTGCATTGAGCAGTTACCATTGGAAAGAACAAGATTTTCTTGAGACAATGATTGCGGCATTTTTGTTTGAACCTGCGCATTCAAAATGGCGTAATGTACCTGGATATTACTGAGGAATGATATTGCCGCAATTTTTCTGCGGTTCTTCTCCAGCTTTTGTCGCCGTGAGGTGTATCTGCACGGACCCCTGTTCATTTCTGAAATATTTAATTGCAAAAGTTTTTATTTTTGTCTTTGTGATGGATCAGTCACGTGTTGTGTGGAACTTTACCAAGGACGGCACATGACAATATAGGACGGAACAAAAGATCACATTTTATGAGCTTCTTAGCTGAATTGTTAGAGAGAAGATTCTTTTTAAAATTATTATCAATAGCTGTGTACGATCTCAAATGGCAAAATAATTTTTTACTTTTTGAACATAGCTTACAAAAACATTTCAACTTATTCGCGAATTTTGATACTTTTGAGATATTATAAAACAGGATTGTCATTGTACATTACAATTGATAAATAACTATTTTTAAATTCATCACAATTTAGAGATCTTTGATTGGTTGATTAACTTGACTACAAAACACTAAATAAACAAAAAGATGATTCAACTAGTGTTGTACGATGTGCATTGTAAAATGTACATAGTACAATGAGAGTGGTGTACTGTATACTATATATAGTGTCTAAACTGTTCATATGTCAAAATTATGCACTGCACAAGGTTTCTACATAGACATACATTTTGTGGATTTTACTGTTATTAAAAGAGAATTCAAGCTTTCAAAACTGATTTCTATTCCATATAATTTGATCATTCACTGGATTTCATTCATGAAACACATTTTGATTAATTTAAAGGAATTTTACATTTGGTAAAACTGCAAGTGCGCAGTGCACCCCCCACCCGTATCCTGTACACAGACCACAGTAGAATGAGAAATCATAGATTTAGATTTTCCTGGTATGTAAACAGTGGGGATAAATTAAAAAATTAAAAACTTTAAGGGACTGTACGCGTGATTTCATGTGACCCTCCGTTTAAAGCAAGCTGGCAACCTCCTATTAACAGCGGCGCCCTTAAAAGCTTTGCACTGATAAAGTATGCATTAGTTATCAATGTTTACAATTTCGAAAACCGATTATTTTCAATTTTAGTTGCTCTACAAAGTGACTTGAGCATTTCTGGCATTTCTTCTGCAGGAACATATAAATCATTTTTAGAATAAAACAATGATTAACATAAAAACGACAATATCTTCCATATTATTGATCAGATAAAGGTTTCCAGGACACCGTTTGGGCATGTTTGCAGTGAGGGTCCCAATAAATTACGCTTACAACGCCTTTACAAAAACATTGAATAATAACTAAAATATTTCTATCCGTTTGATTTTGTAAATCTAAAGAAACCGGTTTAGCTTCTTCCCGAGCGCAGTTGAGGTTCGAACCGGAGCATCAAATATCATTCTTCGGTTCATGTTTCCCCGATCCAATGTACTGCTCATCCCGGAGCTATGAACTCGGTCCAGGCTGAGACTCCGGTAACTAGTTCCTACACTTCGTCTGCTTCCCATTCTTCCGGTCAACCTAAATACCGTGGTTTAAAGGGACTGAGCATGATTTTTAATGTTAAAAAAATGTTCCAAACATGAGTTAAAACTTTTTTATTTTAGAGCATATTCCAGAATTTAGAAATTCAACTTAAGAAGAATTATTAAAGGCTTGATTCATGGATTCACCAATTCGGTATAATTAAGTGATTTAACTATTTGATAATAGGCGCTATACATTATTTATGATTGTGATTCTGGCACTCTTATAAAAAGAGAATTTCAAAAATTTACATTGTAAAAATTAAATAAAGGGTGTTTATTAAAAACAATGCAAATTTTTATTTTTTGGGGGCTAAATATTAATATATAATAAAGTATATTAATTTGAAATTGATGAACCTGCTACCTACTACTGGAGGAGCTAAATATTAATATTTAATAAAGTATATTTATTTGAAATTGATGAACTTCCTACCTACTACTGAAGGAGCTGGAACCCTTCACAATATTCTCTTCAAGAAGTTTTTCTAGAACCATTATATCTCCTTCCTCTATACCTTTCAGGTCCCTGATATATTAACCATTTCATTCATTCATCCTTATATTCATCCTTTCATCCTTTCATTTATTCATCTATTCACCCTTTCATCTATTAACCTATTAATCCATTCTATTCATCTATTCATCTTTCCATTCATCCTTTCCATCATTTCCCTATTCATCGTCTCAATAATCCCTTTGTTTTTTTATTAATCGGTTTATTGTTACCTATCTGACACTAATGACTCTGGATATCTAAGGGTAGCTACTCTAAGCCCTCCACTCAATAAGAACACATTATCGTATCCTCTCTGAGTTAGAGTAGTGGCACACCTTAAACAAACAAGAGTATAATCATCGACAAAGCGAAGTCGTGTTCCTCTAAGCCTAAGAGCTGGGCCGTAACTATCGGAAAGGGGGCACACAAATTTAAGGTAAAATAAGTGATATTAGCTTTGTTTACCCTGTTTACCTTGTACACTCCACCCTCTGTAAAAACTTTTAGTTAATAGGCCTGTTTGTCTAAGAGCTTCATTTTACAAGTAATGTTCATTAAACAATCAAACTGAACGACCCTTGATTCTGGGAGTTCCCAAAATGGGGTTTGCTTTTTTGTATTTCTGTATTACCATAGGTGTGAAGAATTTCTTAACATCTAATATGTTTGTATTATTTCATGATAAATTAAGGTAGCTTCCATTTTGGAAAGCTACTGAGCTATTCCTGTCTTTTATACAATCTTAGAGTTCAGCCATAGACTGCTGATTAAAGATGAATATAAAGGGATTGTAAACGTAATTTCAAGTGACACTCCATGCAAAGACGACAGTGTCCGATTCACAATTGTACCCTTGAAACCTTTGTCTGGTCAATAGTGCGGAAGATATTCTATTAGTATTAAAGTATGATAATTCCTTGGATAGATTAATATTATGATTTATTTGTCGAACACATAAAATTGGTTCAGATATTAGATTAGAGATTATACATGACTTAATTTCAACTAGAAAGTCAAGGCGCTTCGCGCCCTTCTTTCTAGCCTTAGAGGGCGCTTCGCGCCCATCTTCTAAATTAGTTGTGAACATGTTCTCTTTGTGTACATCGTAAAACAAAACAAAAATAATTCGCGGATTTTCACAAAACATTTCGCGGATTTTCAAAATTTAAAAAATTTAATGACGATCGAATTTTGATGGAGACAAATATTTGAAATTTTGATGATTCATAAACCTTCCCTGGGGTCCCTAGATGTCCCACAAAAAATTTGGGCCCGATCGGTTCAGCAGTTTTGACGTTTATTGGATACAAACAGACAAACAAACAAACAGACAGACAAGCCAAATTTATATATAGATTAATACAAAAGTTGTGAACTAACAACTTTAATTCTTCTCTGATGTCGTCTTCTTCACAGTCCCAGAGCTGTAACAGGAGATGCTGCAGACATTCAATTCAATATTATCTTCTTTTTGACTGCTGAGCGGCCCACATTCTTCAAAGATGGCTCTTGGCGGGCAGTTTAGTGTTTAGTATATCTAGAGAGCATTAGTCAGAGATATTTGAAATGTTGCTTCCAAAATCTTACTGTAGAGAATATGCAGATATCGATCCAACTTCCCATATCAGTGGATTCCAACTATGCAAAATAGACTGGGCAAACTTGGCAAATCTTCTCAGCAAGAGAACTTTCACAGAGTTGAACTCTGCAGAAAAATTCTTCACAAAATATGTATGTATAGGCTGTGGCAAATTCCAGCAAACCTTAACTGTAGTATTCCAAGATCGGTAGGTTTGATAGGCATACTCACTGTAAAGGTTCCAAATATTGCTTCCATAAAAGGAACAACAATAAGTTTGCACAACAGATAACTTTTGCAGTGGTAAACATTCCAAAGCATGTATAGACACCAGGGGGGTTGATAGTTCTCTACCTGTGTCTGCAGTTAGCTGTACTGTACACTCACATCTGTTTACTAATATTGATTTACTATAGGTTAGTCCTGAATCTCCTTGAAATAAACAAATATGCAGTACGCTCTCTGTATAGTTTCTGGCCTGTACAATTAGTAAAGAATTAGCGTACATCATCACTCTATACACTATAACCTCGTTGATAGACACAGACTTTATTCTAAATATATTTCAGTTCAAGTGTCCTCAGACATAGTCTTTGACCTATCCAACGAATGCTCACACTCTCCATCATTCACGGAAACCAAATTGCTAAACTATTTTCATTTTTAAATATTATTACTGAAATATCACTTTTTTCCATTTAACTTGTTTCCATCAAAACCTTTTGTGGTTTATTCTTTCTCATCCGTTTAAATACCTAGAATGGCCATCCTTCAGTTTGGTGAGTTAGTAATTAACTCGTTTCCAATGAAAAATTGACATATTTTGATTTAATCTTTAATAAAGTATTTGGTTCTTTCTTCCCAAACATTTATTAAAATAAATTTGAAATAAATTTTAAAAATAAAATAAAACACATGACAAAAATTATATAACAGAAAAAAAATTGATTCTTTCAGTTATACACATATTCAAAACATGGAGGTCGGAACACATTGGCATTTTTGTGATTCCTATATGTTTCCCTGCAGTAGAAATGTACAAGTCATTTTTGTAAGGAAACCACAATTGAAAATAAACAGTTTTCAAATTTATAACTTTATATATGTATAATTCATTCTACTATCAGACAAAGCTTTTAAGGGTACCGTTTTAAATCGGTCATTGTAATCATTGCTATGGAGGGTCACTTGAAATTATGCTTACTGTCCCTTTAAGGTCATCTCTATATTAACCTTTTCTTCCTGGATACACTGTATTTTCTACCCTTAAAGATTCCATATCTCAGTATCAAAAAGATATTAGAAAGAAAAGTCTTTACAAAACCCACCTGCTGGCAATACTCTCATCATCATCGTAAAGAACAATTACAGCATTCTTCTTATTCTTCAGCCGAAGCATCTCTCTGGTTTCGTAATCAAATGCTCGGTTTAACCTGGAACATTAAACGGTTAACATTATATTTCCTTCAGTTCCTTGAAAGCAGTTTTCAAAACCAACTTTCTGCAGAAGTTGGAACTTCTATGTTGTAAATCTCGGGATCATGCATTTATCTCCGTCTTTTGGATACCATCATTACTAATGGAATCTATTTAAAAAAGATTGAAAATTGAAAGTTGCTGAAAGGAAATCTGGAGAAAAATCATAAAAGTATTTTTTACATTAAAATTAATTGGAGAGAAACAAGATTTTTGTTTCATAAATCGAATCAAATCAAATTAAATCAAATCAAATCAAATCAAATCAAATCAAATCAAATCAAATCAAATCAAACCGAATCAAACCAAATCAAACCAAACCAAACCAAATTAAAGTAAATCAATCTAAATCTAATCAAATCAAGTTCTAACCTAATGGCTGGATAGTTGACCGCTAGGCTGATGTGAGATCTGGAGAAAAGATCAGTATCCCGGAGATCCAGGAGGAGGAAGGGACGGATCGGAGTCTCCTCCGGTATGACCGGAGACGTTCTATCCATTTCTCCGACCCCCATAGTTACACTAGTTACAGATCTAGCAGTTCCTTTTCACGGGGTTGGATATTATTTTAGAGTCTATTCTTTAATAAAATATTGGTAACATTCAGGGACTGCAAGCCTAATATTTGATACACTAAGGGACTGCAAGCATAATATTAGATACACTGAGGGACTGCAAGCCTAATATTAGATACACTGAGGGACTGCAAGCCTAATATTAGATACATTAAGGGACTGCAAGCCTAATATTTGATACACTAAGGGACTGCAAGCATAATATCAGATACACTGAGGGACTGCAAGCCTAATATTAGATACATTAAGGGACTGCAAGCCTAATATTAGATACAGTAGGGGACTGCAAGCCTAATATTAGATACATTAAGAGACTGCAAGCCTAATATTAGATACATTCAGGGACTGCAAGCCTAATATTAGATACATTAAGGGACTGCAAGCCTAATATTAGATACATTAAAGGACTGCAAGCCTAATATTAGATACATTAAGGGACTACAAGCCTAATATTAGATACATTAAGGGACTGCAAACCCAATATTAGATACATTAAGGGACTGTAAGCCTAATATTAGATACATTAAGGAACTGCAAGCCTAATATTAGATACATTAAGGGACTGCAAGCCTAATATTAGATACATTAAGGGTTGCAAGCGAAATATTAGATACATTAAGGGACTGCAAGCCTAATATAAGATACAATAAGGGACTGCAAGCCTAATATTAGGTACATTTAGGGACTGAAAGCCTAATATTAGATACATTCAGGGACTGCAAGCCTAATATTTAGATACAAGAAGGGACTGCAAGCATAATATTAGATACATTAAGGGACTGCAAGCCTATATTAGATACATTAAGGGACTGCAAGCATAATATTAGATACATTAAGGGACTGCAAGCCTAATATTTGATACATTAAGGGACTGCAAGCCTAATATTAGATACATTAAGGGACTGCAAGCCTAATATTAGGTACATTAAGGGACTGCAAGCCTAATATTAGATACATTAAGGGACTGCAAGCCTATATTAGATACATTAAGGGACTGCAAGCCTAATATCAAGTGACCTCTCATGCAAAGTTGCAAATGCCCTGATTCAAATCGGTACCAATGCTGTACCTGATAAAATATGATTTAGATATCAATGTTTATAGTTTTAAAAATCTGATTATTTTCAGTTGTGGTTTCTCTACAAAAGTGACTTGCACATTTCTACTGAAGGAAAACGTACAGGAATTATCATGATTATTAAAACCTAGAAAACAGACAATATCTTCCACATCATTCATCAGATAAAGGTTTTAAGGATACCGTTTTAAATCGGGCATTATCATAATTGCATGAAGGGTCACTTGAAATTACGCTTCTAGTTCAATAATGTAAAATTTAAAAAAATATTTGTAAAAATATTCAAAACCCCTGCCTTTTCTACTGGAAGGTTTGGATTTCTCCGGATTGAACTGGCTTCTGATTAATGTATCTATATCAGGATCTTCTTCAACCTTATTCTCTGTATCCTCTAAAATCAATTAACTCTAGTTTTGCATTAAAATTAGTTTCCAATATTTTCAAATCTCTTAAAATAACACATTTTTTTCAATCGGAGACATTGACCACAAAGTGTGCTGATTTGGCATTGAATGACCATTATATCTAAGCATATGAAAACATATTTTCTAGTTTATCCTCAAATTTATTTACAGGACGGATACAAATGTGATTAAAGTTCCACAACTTTTAATGGATCTTAATCAATATACTTATTTCATCCAAAATGCTCAGAACTTTTAATTTGTTGAATTAATTTAATTTAATCTAAATAAAGTTCGGCGTTTCCTGTTCCATACCTTCACTATCACTGGAGTAGTCTGGTATCTTAGTGAGAGTTTCATCTCCAGTTACTCCAGGTACTCCAGGATACAGCTGGTGTTCAAGCTTACAAACTTCTATCATTAAACTCACCAAATTGTTGATGGTTATCCGCCTGTAGAAAAAATACCGAATTAGTTTTGAAATTTTTTTGTATTATTTTTAAAAATCTATAAAATATCTAATCAAATATTTTACCGAAAGATTTCGTCATTTCGAAATTTGTAAAATTGATGAATTTCGTCTAACTTTTCGAGCTCAGTTCTGAAAAATAAAATAGTTGTAAAAGTTTATGAATTGAGAAATATTTTTTAAAAGTGGATACTAAAACCCTCCATCCTTTTTCCAACGCTCTTTTTTTCAGAGATTAGACAATTTCCAACCCGGATTAGTATGTACACAGCACTATGTACTACAATAGTATGCGGGGCTGTCGAAAAGTTGCAAAACCAACTAATTTTTACCAAAGCAAGAGATCCTCTTTAACTAAATAAGCCCTATTTAATTTGAATTTTTTTAATTTGAATGCAAGGATCATAAGGGTGCCGTGACAAACTCCTGAAAGACAAACTCCGGAAAGACAAACTCCTGACGAGACAAACTCCTGACGAGACAAACTCCTGAAAGACAAACTCCTGAAATTATGAAATTTTTCTCTGAATGAAATTTGATAAAATTCATAAACTTTAGAAGAAAAATCCGCAAATATTCTAGAAAAAATTCTCAATCTTTAGTAATTTGAATATGCTTCTAGCAGCAAAGTATTACAATGATCAGAATAACCAGCAAATTTATTATTATTTATTTTTTATTATTTCGGGTTAGGTTAGGTTGAGACACTTTCTGGGCCGAGCGCTGCGGCTAGGACAGGCTAGTGGGCCGAGCGCTGCGGCCATGGGTTAGGGTAGTCAAGACACTCTCTGGACCGAGCGCTGCGGCTAGGACAGGCTAGAGGGCCGAGCGCTGCGGCCATGGGTTAGGTTAAGTGTTGACACTTTCTGGGCCGAGCGCTGCGGCTAGATTAAATATAAATTGTGAAACATTTTTTTAAATTTGATATTATGGAGTTTGTATTTCAGAATTTTTTATTTTCAGGAGTTTGTCTCGTCAGGAGTTTGTCTTTCAGGAGTTTGTCTTTTCAGGAGTTTGTCTTTCCGGAGTTTGTCTTTCAGGAGTTTGTCTTTCAGGAGTTTGTCACGGCGCCGATCATAAGAATGTATTAAGATTCAATCAGTTTAGTACCTGAGATTACTGCCTGTATTGACTACAGGTTCAACTGCACTGTATCTAGGATTAGGTTTAATTTTCCGATCCAGGGGAGATATTTTAGGCTTAGGTCTCATCCGTCGAACCTCCATTTTATTCTTCAGTACATTTCCATTTTCAGCCTGAAAATCAAATATATTTTCTATATTCATAACAATCGATAAATTTGAAATATATTTAAATAACTTACAGAGACATGTAATATCATAAAAATAAAATTATGATTCTGACTATTTTCAACAAATGAGCAATGAGCATTATGTAAATATTTTGTAATAAAAACAAAATTTCAAAACTAGAACTTTCTGGATGGAAGCATTATTTGGACTCAAGTAAATAATCATGCACTAGCCTTGGTTCAGTCTTACGCTAGAAATTAGTAAATCAACGAAAAGGAGATTATGTGAATCACGTTTTCTGAATAGAACTGAAAACTTGGATTTACAATTCCTATATCTTTGCAACCTGATGGCATGAGTCTTAGATATTTCAAACTTTAACTGTTTGATCAAATATAATATCAAAGGTCTAAAACACCAGGTTGCATGAGGATTTAAAAATTCGAGATGATGAAAGTGTTCAGTTCCTTTTGGTTAGAATTTCTATTTGTTCTCCAGGTCCTCCAATAGATCTGGTATATATCCTAGAGATAGAGCAACCCTAAACCCAATCTTCATGAACCCCATCTTGACCCAGTCCCAGGCCAGCCTGAGGTCGAACACGAGGATGGCGAGGTTACCCTTGAATCCTCCACTGTATCGACCACTTACTGCTACACGGGCCATCTCGCGATATCTCTCTACACCACTTCCATGATCCTAATTTAGAAATGCAAAATTATCATTACAAATCTGCAAAGAAATGGGGATCGCTAGATCAATACATGTATAGCTTATTGGATTTTACATAGATCCTTTATTTTAGAAATTATTATGGACAATAATTTTTGATTATTCCACGGGGTTTCTTTCAAAAAAAGTTAAGATAGATCAATTTGTTAGCAAACTATAGATTTGTAATTTGAATACTTTCTAAATAAAAGTATTTTAAGCACTGTGTTCCCTGCAGTTTCATGTTAATACTTTATTGTTACAATTTTACAAATTAAATTACTGTATACTGTATATCTTACAGGGTGTCCCAAAAAACACGGGAATTCAGTGACGAATTCGATATCGTCTTTGTTATGAATTAGCATTGTAATACCTAATTTCAACAGCCATAATATTATTATGTCTGCTAGAGTTTATTTTATGAAAAGGCTAAAAGACTATAAAGATGTGTCTATAATGTCTCCACAAGATAAACAGTGAAGACGGACAAGTTTACTCTGTTTGTATACTGCAATTTTCTTGTTTTACTAAGTACAACCTTATGCAGTCAAAACATAAACAAACAAAATGTGAACATAGCAGACGAAACTCTTACAGATTACAGCTTTCTCAGTAGGTATCACTATACTAAATCAAAGAATCATTTAAAAAGACGATATCGAATTCGTCACTGAATTCCCATGTTTATTGGGACACCCTGTATATGTGAATAAATATATAAATATATATATTATATAAGTATATCCATTACAATAAGGTTAGTAACGTCCAATGTGCATGATAGTTAAATGAACGTACAATGTGCCCGCTAATATCAGACTAACTGTGTAGTTCATGTTGTACAGGGTGTCCCAATAAACATGGAAAGTGAGCGAAGATTTTGAGATCGACTTTGTAAATGATGTTTTGATTTAGTATGGTGATGCCTGCTAGAAAAGCTGTAATCTGTAGATATTTCGTCTGCTAGAGTTAAGATCTTGTTTGCTTAGGTTTTGATTGCACACTGCTGTACTGATTAATTCCTGTGTACGTACAAACAAAAAATAGTTGTTCCTTATCACTGTTTATCTTTCCGTAATGATACAGAACATCATACAACGTTTTGCAGGATAACGAAACAGCTTTTTACCGTCTAAATAAAATTTACTTTAGCTGACGTTACTTTTTTATGACCATTTGAATTAGTAAGTAAAACGATTTCATTTTCGTTCCTTAGTTCCTATGTTTATTGGAACCCTCTGTAACATATAACTACAAAAAATCCCACTAATGTTTCAAGCCCTAAAAATGTTTTAACTTAAGTCATAATTAAAAACATTGCTACAAATTTAAATAAAAGATTTTTAAGTTACACACCTATTAACCCACATTTTAAATAAACTAATTTTTGGACTAAAATTTTTTTTTTAAGACGATACGAATTTTAATTGGCGTTCTATATTTGCTGTTTGGCAGCTTGAGACTATTATTCCCCATATTAGAAATATTAAGCTCAGAAATGTTTTTCCAGTTTTTAAAAACGAATTTTAGGAGTTAGAAGCAAGAGCTATCCCCAGCAGAGGTGTATTCAGGGGGGGGGGGGCTATTGGGGCTAAGTCCCCCCCTGGACCAGTGAAATCTATTAATTTCAGGGGGTTCTCATGCCCCAACGGGTGCTGAGCCCCCTCCGGAAAGAAAAAAATTTAAGCCCACCCTGGACAAATTCCTGAATACACTCCTGATCCCCAGTTTCAACCTAAATTTTTCTATCCCCCCACCCTCCCCCCTCAAGCCACCTCTGGCAGTTTATAGAAACTCTCTGTATTGCTATTAAACCCGAATGAATGTATTAGACAAGGAGAGAGAGAAGAGAAGATCAATAGAGAGAGGAAGAGAATATCAGGATATAGGAATATATCAGGAGTCCATAGGGGGAACTTAGAAATCAATAGGAAACTGACAGAGAATGGATAGATAGATAAATATACAGAAAAGAGATTATAGATATTAAAAGAAATATCCTTAATCTTTTTAATAAACGGAATCTATGATAAAATGTCTGAATTTATCTAATAAAAACTGTCTGTCCATTCATAGGTCGAAACTTTTGTGTGAACTGGCGCTAATCTACAACTAGCGCTAATCTACAACATTTGATTTCGATATTCACATTGAACCATTTAAATTTGATATAAATAAATGATTGATCTTTACTTTTAGTTAGCCATGCTGAGCTTTGACCATGGGATATCCAAATAAATTAATTCAATAATTTGGACGACAAGAAATACGGAATACTGCTTGAGAGTTCAAAACTCAAAAGTTTTTAACTCTGGCTTCATAAGCAAGGGTTTGCGTATTTTGAGATATAATGTTAGAGCCAAAAGTAAGTGGTTCAAATCGTACATTTCTTTTTCTATATTATGATTAAATCTTATTAAAAAACAATTTGAATTTTTGTCTTGAAGCTGAGACTTGAATTGGTGAAGTTCATTATCAAAATAAATCGTTCAACAGGTTAGATGATATAACCTCAAAATATCCCACTTTTTAAATTAGCTCATGCATAAGAAAACAATTGCTGATCTTTGTATCTTTTCGATAAACATTTAATTTTAAGACAGTTCCTCGGTAAATTATTTTTATTTTTATAAATAAGTGCTTTTTTTGTAGCAGACCTTAGACAGAACCTTTATCATCGGCCTTTATACATCCTAGTTCTATTTAGAATTAAGAAAGTAGTAAGTTATGGATTAAAAGTATCAGACAGAAAAACTTTTTTTTCAAAAAAAATTGGTTTTTAAACCACATTGAATAGAGTAATGATTATCCTAAGGTAGTTGGAACGAAACAACTAAAGATCAAATGCCGTATTGCAATTGTTACGAGAACAAGAATCCACTGTTTTCTGATTTTCATTGTTTTTTGTATTTGTTTTTTTTAGAAGATTAAACATAACTTTGCTCTCATGAAAGCATTTTCTCATTTTTTTCTTCAATTTATCCTTTACATTCTAAAAAAGGGAAATTTTCAGGGGGAAAGAGTGAAAATGTCATGGTTTTGTCCACGACATATTAAGAATTCCATGATATTATTTCGAACATGACGATATCTACCCCCCTCCACCCCCACCCCCACCAACACGTTTAAAAAAAATGTTTGACTCTAACCTTGATTATCGCTCTGATGGTGTTCAGGTTGCGCATGATGAGCATGAGCCTGGGTGGGATCCTCTGGAACACATCCAGCATCCTGTCATGGAAATCCCGGATACCGGCTCTACATTCAGCCTCAGCATTTAACTATACTCCTTGTCCTCCATTTCTTTCCCGCATAGACCTCTTTTATCTCGTCTTGTCCTCTTTTGTCCCTTATCTTATCCCTTCTGTCCTCTCCTGCCTTAAATGCCTATTAACAGTCTTGTCCTCTTTTGTCCTTTATCTTATACCTTCTCTTTAATGCCTATTAACCGTCTTGTCCTCTTTTGTCCTTTATCTTATACCTTCTGTCCTCTCCTGTCTTTAATGCCTATTAACCGTCTTGTCCTCTTTTGTCCTTTATCTTATACCTTCTGTCGTCTCTTGTCTTTAATGCCAATTGCCATCATGTCCTACTGGCAATTGTCATGTCCAGCTTGGTCTTTCATCTTCCGTCCTGTCCAGCTTGGTCTTTCATCTACTGTCCTGTCCAGCTTGGTCTTTAATCTTCCGTCCTGTATAGCTTGTTTTTTTATCTTCCGTCCTGTATAGCTTTGTCTTAAATCTTCCGTCCTGTCCACCTTGGTCTTTCATCTTCCGTCCTGTCCACCTTGGTCTTTTATCTTCCGTTCTTTATAGCTCTGTTTTAAATCTTCCGTCCTGTCCACCTCGGTCTTTTATCTTCCGTCATGTCCAGCTTGGTCTTTAATCTCCCGTCCTGTTTAGCTTTGTTTTAAATCTTCCGTCCTGTCCACCTTGGTCTTTCATCTTCCGTCCTGTCCACCTTGGTCTTTCATCTTCCGTCCTGTATAGCTTGGTCTTTTACCTTCCAACCTGTCAAGCTTGGTCTTTAACCTTCCGTCCTGTATAGCTAGGTCTTGTCCTGTCTAGCTTGGTATTTCATCTTCCATCCTGCCCAGCTTGGTTTTTTATCTTCCGTCCTGTCTAGCTTTGTCTTTAATCTTCCGTTCTGTATAGCATGTTTTTTTATCCTCCGTCCTGTCTAGCTTGGTATTTCATCCTCCGTCCTGTCTAGCTTGTCTTTCATGTTTTTCATCTTCCGTCCTGTCGAGCATGAGGCGCTCTGTAAATAACTTTATGTCCAGCAATAGAAAGTTAATAATTTTTTTTCAGCAAATATTGAAGTTCCTTAGTTTCTCCTTCTCATCCTCCGGAAGTTTATTAAACTCTTTCCGGTTAAACTTTTTAGGACCTTGCTTATTCATAAACTGGGCCAACACATCCTTCTCCAGATCCTCCTAAAAATACAAAATTGCTTATTTTAAAAATCCCGGAATTTTGTGAAAATTGAATCCTTATCTATCTTATCCTACTTTCTTTACTGAGTTTTAAGGTCTCACTCATATGCCAGTTTTTGTTTATCATTTCACTCTCTATCACTCTATTTCTCTTTATTTTCTTGCTTTATTGTATTCTAATAATTTTATTGATAGTTCTGATGCATGATGCCTGCTATACCTGGGTAGGTTTCACATAACGTTGTGTCAGTGCCATAGCAAACAGTCGGTAATCATCTACATTCAACTCTTTGCAGTACCTTAACATCACTAACTTAACAACAAATTGTTTTAGAACTATTTATGCATGGGTCAGAACTTACTTGGATGGAATAATCTTGGTTAATCTTGAACGCTTGACCTTGTTATCCATTTTGGACACTTTTAAATTTAAAGATACATGCTCGATGCTTAAATTGAAGCTATCCCTGCAGGAGTATGACGAGGAATTAAATTAATCCGAAGGTTTGCATGAACAAAGCTTGATCCCCAGATTCACAATACAAAAGTTCTCACTTCAGACACAATTATATAAAAAAGTTTTGAGTTCTGATAAGATAAATTCTTCGTTCCGAACCAGAACAGAGCATTAACATTAGAAACTCGTAAAAATAAAATAATATATATTTGGAGTTGTAATTGAACATTGAACATCGATTTCGATAAGAACTAAGAAATCATAGAAAGATGTAAGAGGGAACCCGACATAGAAATCTTTCTTGAATAGTTTTCATTAAACACTACAACAAACCTTCTCATCTCCTGGTGATTATCTTCAACTACAGCAACCCATAAGCCACACAGAGATGATCTTATATTTGGAGGTAAGTATTCATACAATCCATGATCTAGAACATCAAATATGGACTTCCTAATCAATTCTCAAAATATATTATCTTTTCTTTACCTAGTAGTACTATTTGGGGTTTATTTTGTACTTTCCGCACCATCAGGTTTCCAGGATGCGGGTCAGCATGAACAAATCCAGCGTGGAAAATTTGTTCGGAAAAAATCCGCAAAATTTTTTTGTCAATATCTGTTAAAGACATTCCGTTTTCTAGGATTTTGTCACGATCACTAATTTTTATTCCATCGATAAATTCTGTTGTTAGCACCCTATGGCTTGTCAGACTTTCGTGAACTTTAGGCACATAGAGATAATCAAATTTTACTAATTCTTTTGCACATTGTTGAGAATTTTTTGCCTCCTTTAAAAAATCAAGTTCATTTTCTAGAGTTCCCTTTAGTTCCCCCATCACCCACTTGAAGGCAAACTTGGGGTGCATTATCTGAATAGAGTCTAAAACACAGTCCATTGTGGTAACATCACTGAGAAACCGGTCTCTTAAGTCTATGTACTGTACTTTAACAGCGACATCTTGGTTTTCTAAAGTTTTGGCGCGAAAAACCTGAGCTAAACTTGCCGCGGCAATAGGAACAGCACTAAACTCCGCAAACAATTCTAATAGAAACAACAATAAAATTTCGAAAAGTCTGTTATCAATGGGCGTAAAAGGTTGACTAACCTTCTTTAGGTTTGCCAAAGTCCTGGAGTATAATGGTATCAACCTCGTCCTGTAAGGTTCTCTTCAGTGCCTTGTCCTGCAGTACCTTCAAGGTCTCCAGGTACTCCTTGGGTAGAACATGGTTCATGCTGACTAACCCCTGACCAAACTTGATGTACAAACCTCCATTTGCCAAACATATGTCAAGAATTCGCTGGGCTGACCGACTGTGAACAATTGAGATCTGATCCTAGAAGTTGGCACATGAAACATAAATAAGAGGTTTCGTGAATAAAAACCTACCTGGTATTCTTCAGATTGATCATCTAGTCCCCACAGTGAGTATTTGTAATCCAACCCAACTACAAAACCAGCTTTATCCTCCATGTTCTCAATAAAACTTGAATTCTTCCCATTCCTATCCTTCAACCTCTTATATCTCTCCTACCACTTTCGCCCTTTATCTACACCCATTTTTCATTTATTCCTCAAATCAAATTAGTCTCTAAATGCGCCCTATTCTTGGCTACTTCAAAAACCCAATTGGCCAACTAAATTAGGTCTGAAGTGAGACTTTATAGATTGTTATAGATTCTTATTTTAGGGATAAATAAGAATGTCTTAAATAATCAATTAAATTGTTTTACAGACAACTTGAAAATCTAAAGCAGGTTTCTTGTCAAAATATCTCGTTTTTTCTTCATATGTAATCCTATTATCCTATCAATAATCTTTTTTTGCCGAGGTTTTCTCGCACTTTTCACAATAACTTTAATTCCTAGAATCAATTCTCTAACAGTCTATGTTAAAAAATCCACTTCTCATATCTTCTTCTCTTTTGTCACAAAACTCTAGTCTTAGCAACCCTCCCCCCTGCTCTTATTAGTTCGGATTATACTGGTTTTAACCTAAAACACCCTTGGTAAGTGTCCTGCCGAACCTGAGTAACCCTCCCTGCAGTACAACTGGTAAACTCTCTAAATAAACCGAGTTTAAAGTTTGTGTACAACAAAAAGTGTCATTAAATGCACTGCAGACGAAATTTTAAGTGAACCAAGCTGTTTAAAGTGCCGTTAGATTTAAAATCCAAGTTTATCCCAGTTGAGAATATATTATTTACAATTGTGATTTCTCTCTAACTTTTGAGGATTGTTGCATTATGAAAAAGAAATTGTCAACATCTAACACTTTTTCAGATAGAAATCGACAATAGTTCCTTCATTGCTGACCTAATTAGTGGTTAATGTGTACATTCCACTCTTTAAATAGTTCCTTCATTGCTGATCTGATTAGGGGTTAAAGGGTACATTCCACTCTTTAAATAGTTCCTTCATTGCTGTTCTGATTAGGGGTTAAAGGGTACATTCCACTCTTTAAATGAAGGGTCAATTGAAATTACGTTTACGGTTTTGGAGTAACCAAAATGAATTTATTAACGACCAGATAACTGAAAAATCTTGTAAACTTTTTATTTAAAATACCTAAAATTGCTCTGCTGCATGATCTTTGATCTTCCGTGGCGACCAACGTGTACCTAAAAAAATCCACAAAATGTTTTAACTCTAAATTAAGATTTAAGGCACTAATCGGAAAATTAAAAAAAAATTAATCATTAAAAAAAAGGCTAGTATAAAAATTTTCTTAGGTTTTATGAGTATTTTGGCAGTAAATCTTTGGAGATGATCTTAAATGAAATGGGATGCTCTGTCTGTACTTGCCAAAGCCCAGCTGCGGTGGGTGGAGCAACAGTAGATGTGAGAGCTGCTCCCTTCAGCATCCTCTTAAACAACATCATCTTCCTCTATTAACTCCCTTCTAATAATCCGTTTTAACTTTCACTTCATCACTTCAGTTGCCAAATATCGTTTTTCTTTTCTGAAAAATAAACATTTACTGTGCCATTGCATTAACGCTAAGCAAACAAGTATTTTGACAAAGCCGCATAACATTCCATTTGTTCTTTAAAAAGATTAAAACTTTGAGTATAGTAATTACAATTAATTCATACATGCATAAATTTCAAGTGGTAACTTATTTTTACTTTAAATATCAAAAGTATATTTTTGAAAAAATCATTAGAGTTTAATACTGTAGGTACTGTAGGTTAATAACATTTGTACATATTAGATATTTTATATTTAAAAAGTTTCTAATTAAAATGCATAAAAGTATACATAAAACGTATAAAACAATTGAACAGAATCAGGATGCTCTACAAACCGAGCTAGGGGAAACGGAGCAAAAGTTATTCAGGCCTTATTATCAGGATTTTTTCAGGTATTTTAATCCCACCTTGACCTACCAAATTTACAATTGGATATGCATGAGAACTATCAGAGAAAAACCTATGGTAGCTCGACTTAGAAACTAGGCTATTGACATCCATCACATTCCAAAATTATTGCTAATTTTAAGTTATAATTGATTTTGGGTTGAAAATCCTTTAGGTCGAAAAACCTTAGATCCGTTTGAACTAGATCAGTTAAAAACGCAATCTTATTAGTACTTGAATTTCATCAATGACACAGAATGTATATATAAAAGGTCATTGGCCGACGATTTAATTATTCTTGTCCCATCTCCAAACTGTTCCGTCGTCGCACACAGCGACAATCATGCTCCCGTCTTGCGACATCGAGGTTTGGCGAATGGTGCTGTTACACTTAGGATGGGTTAGCACAGAGCTTCTGAAAAATAAAATTTCTTAAAATAAATTATTTTTTCATAATAAAAAAAATTAGATCACAAATCCTAGAAAGCTCCTAGCCTAGACTAACCTGATATCTCCTGGACTAGACTAACCTGATTTCTCCTGGACTAGACTAACCTGATATCTCCTGGACCAGACTAACCTGATATTTCCTGGACTAGACTAATCTGATATCTCCTGGACCAGACAAACCTGATATCTCCTGGACTAGACTAACCTGATATCTCCTGGACCAGACTAACCTGATATTTCCTGGACTAGACTAATCTGATATCTCCTGGACCAGACTAACCTGATATTTCCTGGACTAGACTAATCTGATATCTCCTGGACCAGACTAACCTGATATCTCCTGGACTAGACTAATCTGATATCTCCTGGACCAGACTAATCTGATATCTCCTGGACCAGACTAACCTGATATCTCCAGGACCAAACTAACCTGAAATCTCCTGGACCAGACTAACCTGATATCTCCAGGACCAAACTAACCTGAAATCTCTATGATTAAACTAACCTGATATCTCCAGGGTCCTGAACATCTAGATCCCAAACATAAACCTTGCCAGTTCTATTCCCTAGAGCTAGGGTTGTACCGAGTCCGTCCATACTAAACCTAAACTCAACTTATTATTATCAATTTATCAGATCTCGTTAACGTTACAAGAAGAGGCGTTTACAGGATTTTGTTCAGAGGGTGCTAGCTTTTTAATTACATTCCAGATGGGGTTAAATCCTAATTAGAGGCTTAATTTCCCTTGGAATACCCCCTGCATTATGCATATGTTAGTGAATACTCTTTTACAAGAATGCTTCTAAAAAGACTAACATTATGTCTGAGATCTTAACAATCATTCTGTCATACTGTCCTTACTATCATATTGTATACAAGGCATGTTTCATTCTGTCATACTTTTATGTTGTCTTGATCAAGTTGTCATATTTCAATGTTTTAAAAAAACATTTTATTACATTAGTATTGTAAAATTGGTATTGAGTTTTGCAATTAAGGTATCGTGTTACCATGTTATCATTATTTTAGGGTATTATTGCTAGAGATACCAAAGTCATGTCTATTTCTTCGTGATTTTAACTAATCTTTAATAGTAAAATTGTCAACCTTATAAACCAGATATCGCAATCTTTAAGTTGTAGTTTGTGAATAATAGAGCAACCATCATCACCCCCAGTCTCAGATCTAAATTTTAAATATTATTATGCGATTATGATTATTATGATTATTTTGATTATTATGATCGTAAGATTAATTCTGAAATTTTATGGGGACTACTGTAGCATTAAAGGCCTACACTTTAAAAATTATGTATTCTCCTTAGAATCTATATGTTTATACCTGGATTCCTCAAGTTGACCGGGCTTCCAGCAGACAATACAATTCTCACATGATTTAGACAATACAAAATCTCCAAACCATCTAGAAAAGATTACAAGTTAATCCCACATTTTCAAATAAAATCATTTAACCATCTAGAATAGATTAAAAGTTAATCTCATATTTTCAAGGATATCATTTAACCGTCTTGAATAGATTAAAAGTTAATCTCATATTTTCAAGGAAATCATTTAGAAAAGATTACAAGTTAATCTTACATTTTCAAATAAAATCATTTAACCATCTAGAATAGATTAAAAGTTAATCTCATATTTTCAAGGAAAATCATTGAACCATCTTTAATAGATTAAAATTTATTCTCACATTTTCAAGAAAAAATCACCGAACCTTCTTGAGAAGATTGGATTTAATCTTAGATTCTATAAAGAGAAAAATCGTTTGAACATTTAGAGACGGCCTAGAGAGAGAAATTAATTAAGATGTTAAAGAATAGAAAAAGTATTGAGACTAAGAAAATGAAACCGCCAACCCATCAAGAAGGTTTACAGTTAAACCCATAGATAAAGATAGATTGCGCATAAGACGACATTTTTCATCTTGAAAGATATAAATGTACAGAGATGTTTTAAAGATATTTCTATTATATAGATTAACTAGGTCGGTTGTGAACATTGGCTGTTCTTATGTCATTGATTACTTGTGGTGTACATGAGTTCTGTAGAGAGAAATTTAAGTTAGTTGAGTCCTTCTCATGTCCTTCTTCAGTTCTCGTCAATATGATAATTTGATAATTTAATATTCTCAAAATAAAATTCACTCCTGAGTGGTTTAATAATTATGAAATCCATTGAAACACCAAACCACCCCGCTTATCATTGAAGTACACTTTGCCCCCTAGAAGTAAGAGTTCGCGGACTGTACAATTCTTGGTGATTTTGCGTACATAAGCTATCTATGTTTATTTATTTATCTATGGTTAAACCAAGATATATAGAAAATCTCTGTTACCATCAAAAGAAAATATTAGAATAAAACATTTTAAGATAGTGCAGATTCAGTTGCAATTACAGGGTTACCCACAAAGGATGAGACTGTAAAGTGTAAAGACGACTTGTAAAATAGGACAATATTATAATCTTGTCAAGGGCTAATTTAATGATTTGTCAAAGAAAGAAAAAGGTTTATGATTGCGGAGAACCGTGATTATAAGGAAACAGACAGTATAAAAGCTGCACAGTCGTCTCTGAATTCTCATCCTTTGTGGGTAACCCTGTGTATATTGATCATGTTTATGGAACGTTTTTATCAGGAATGGAATATTTTAACAGGTAAATAATTTTAAGAATATACAATTACATATATTACATAAAGAAGTGAAGAAAGGTTTGTATTTGTAACCTGCAAGAGTCTACGTAGTTGCTGTGTATATCTCGTGTACTGAACACAGGGAAATGAACAAGAACTGTTTTAAAACTAGATTTTACATCACACACCTAGAAACAGATAAATTATACAGATTAAAAAGAACAGGTAATATGAAAACCTAGAAACAGATAAATTTACATCTTCAAATCAAATCAGACTGTTATTATTATTATTATTATTAACAGACAACCCGGCATTCGGCAAAATAGGGGTCGGCGGTCCTACACCCATACTCCAATCTTGAGATGACTATACTAAATCAAGAATGAGCTGAGATCTTACGATGCTTATTTAGTTACAAGGATCAATGAACTGTGCAAACAAAAATAATATCTCGGTAATTAATGGATGACTGTCGTGTCAAGTAAACTATCGACATTAAACTGGAAAGATTTTATAACATGGATAAAAAGAATACCGGCATTCTTAATTAACTGCAAATGTGAAAGGCACCATTTAGAACTTGACTCAGTCTTGTTTCTTATCTTACAGGGTTACCCACAAATACCTTGATTTATTAAAATTTAAATAACTGAGGGTCGAATCTATTCTTTTGAAGTTAACGGTAGCAGGGAATAATTAGTGTAGGAAAAAGGCTGAGTAAATTCCATAAATTCGTCTCTGAAATTTAATCCTTTGATGGTAAACCCCTTTTAAAGTTTCGAATACCAACTGCATCCTCGTACCTTATATAAGAGTTGAACTACATTCTTGTACCTTATATAAGAGTTGAACTGCATCCTTGTACCTTATATGAGAGTTGAACTGCATCCTTGTACCTTATATGAGAGTTGAACTGCATCCTAGTACCTTATATGAGAGTTGAACTGCATCCTAGTACCTTATATGAGAGTTGAACTGCATCCTTGTACCTTATATGAGAGTTGAACTGCATCCTAGTACCTTATATGAGAGTTGAACTGCATCCTTGTACCTTATATGAGAGTTGAACTGCATCCTTGTACCTTATATGAGAGTTGAACTGCATCCTAGTACCTAAAAGAATTTGGGAAACATGTGCCATCCCAGCGATTTTGTACTGTGTTGAAGCTATTACAATTAAGAAAAGTACAGTAAGGGAACTTGAAAGGATACAAAATATGGTAGGAAGGTTTATATTACAAGTTCCCCCTTCAACTTCAAGAGCACTAGCCTGGATGGATGCAGGATTAATGCCTATGCAGTATAGAATTTATTCAAGGCAGTCCGGGTTTATATTTGATATATTTAAAACAAAAAATAATCCCACACTGTTAAAAATATTAAGGGAGCAGCTGGATAACCCGTCGGACCCATGGACTAAATCATGGAGGAAAATTGAAGCAATGGTGGGTAATATTTTCAAGTATAAGACGAAAAAGCTCCTACTAACCGCTGTTACACGAAAAGCAGTAGCATATGTAATGAATGTAAAAAGGCAACATTCAACCTTAATTACAACCCCCCAACCCTGGAATTGGTTTAAAATACAAAGCCATGTTAATGATACTAAATCAAGTAAAATTTTATGCCAAGTAAGAGGGGGTAATGCTCAGCTGGGCAATAGGTATAAAAACCGTTATGGATTTATTTATGATGTTTGCCCACACTGCGAGTTATTAGGCCTCAATATTAAGTTAACAGAATCTCATGTTATATTTGAGTGTCCAATAGTAGCCAAGCTCAGAAGAGATTTATACATTTCAAAATTTATGTCTGAGTTTAAAGCAAAAGGCCCAATAGCTAACGTCCGGGTTTTAAGAGCTTATCTTGGCGGAGATGGTTCAGCAGGACAAACCCTAATGGTAAGAGGTAGGAAGCTGGGTAAAATGATTGAATCATGGCTCACAGCAGTCCATGAACCACTTTAGTAACAAACATTCCACGCCATATTTACTGTTTTTAACGCTAGTTCTTATACTAATAAGTTAAAAAGTATATTTAAAGTGTTCCAGTATTACTGACTGTATTTAATTAACTCATTGGCAAAATGGAATGAAGGCACCTGGCGAATTGAAATGACGATCACGGCAATCCCAGTAAGAACATTCAAATTTGCAGGTACAATAAATTAAAAAGTTTTATTTACCGGTTCATTACTGAACTTTCCCTGGTCAGGATTACTTAAACCAACCAACGAACCAATCAATGGAAGTGTGTACCATATCCTGTAAGTGCTTACAAAGCACCCCCTTTATTTCTCCCCTAGTATCCACGCTTATCTGGCATACACACTGAATCCTAAAAATTCAGGCCAGATCTGAACCACTAGATCCCATATAGACCAGGGAAAGTGGCGGAGCTCAACCCTATCTTCAATGTGTTCCAGCCTACAGGTCGTAATACGTTGTCTGTAGGTTGATTGTTAATAATAATAATAATATGAGAGTTGAACTGCATCCTTGTATCTTATTTGAGAGTTGAACTGCATCCTTGTACCTTATATGAGAGTTGAACTGCATCCTTGTACCTTATATGAGAGTTGAACTGCATCCTTGTACCTTATATGAGAGTTGAACTGCATCCAAGTACCTTATATGAGAGTTGAACTGCATCCTTGTACCTTATATGAGAGTTGAACTGCATCCTGAATCTTCTGATCTCCAAAGTTCCATATTTTGAGGGAATGATCCATTCCGCAGGATATTATCTTATCTCCCAACATATCGAAATCAGCACTAGACAGAAGAAATTTGTTCAATTTTATTCCCAAAATTTAAAAAATCTTCATTTTCCTTTTTTCCGTTTTTTTAAAGTTTACCTGAGTACTTCGTCTCTATGCCCTTCTACCCCGCCGAATATAACAATATTTGCCTCTGTTTTCACATTCCATACTCTTAAATTCGAATAGAGTTAAAAACACTAACAGAAATTTAATATATTGTTTTTGGGGGAAAATAACAATAAACATTTTAATAGAAAAACGACTAACTAACTAAAATCAAGCTTAGAAGAGAAACTCCTTTCTCATTGGTCAAAAGTTTAAAGTTCTGACCAATGACAGAAGAAAGAATGAGTTTAGCTCATTTGACCGGTTAAAATTATTCCGCATGAATTCAAGAGTTGTTTTTGCTCTAGGAAGAAATATCAGAACTGTGATCAGGATTAGGACTTATACAAGGATTAACATGGGGATTGAGATGGAGATAAATATGAGAATTGGGCTTGGATCTAATTTAGAATAATAATTGAATTAACGCTTTGGATTAAAAATACGAGAAAGTACAGTTCGGATCAGGGTTTGAAGAAATGTGATTGACACTTCAATAATGAAAACAAATTATTACGCTAAAAACAAAAAAGACCGAAACTGAGTTGACCATGATCTAGGAATATACATTATACAGTCTTCGTTGTCGTATATATCAATACAAGGAAGACAACTTTGAAGCAGAAACACTTACAACAGCAGCTAAGCACAGAGAAATTTTCAATTAACAGCTTCTTTTTGTTTCCTTTAAACTTGTAATTTGAATAATGTTTGCTAGGAATCAAAGCATTATTACTATAAAGTCGTCTTCATTATTTGATATAATCGCCGATCACTGTATAAGGTTAACCTACCTCAAGGCATGATCTCTAGACACTGAGAGTAGAAGGTTTGGGTCTTTTGGATGGAACTTGAGTTCGTTCACGGCATTTCCATGACCAACAAAGTTTCGAACACATGTCATGGTTGCAGTGCTAAAAAGCCTGCAAAAAAAGCTCATTACAGAACCTAAATACGTACTTATAAGCTACCCTACATTTGTGTAGTGGAATGTTTAATTTACAACAGTACCTTTGATACCATTGCCTGATACAAATAAATGAAATATCCTTCTATTTCCCAGGAAAAAACATTATTTTCAATTGTTGTTTCTCTACAAAATTGACTTGCAGATTCATGCTACAGAGGCAGTGAATGTAATTGTCTGAATTTTCCAGGGATCAGAAACGACAATATCTTTAAAATATATTAGGTCTAAAGGGTACCATTGTGAATCGAACAAGCTACTAGTTTTAATAAAAGATCACATTAAATAACGTTTAAAGCCATTTTAAGTAAACAGGTTTCAGTAAAATCATACCACATATTTTAAAAAAACTAAGAAGTTACAGCTAACACTAGAAATTGAAGCGCGAAGCGCGATTGAAACATAGTAAATGAATAGGCAATAGGCATATAAGTTTCTCCAACCTGATGATTCCTCTAGACCCAGCTGCGGCTAGAACAGGACGTTTTGTCTCCGGGTCGTAGCTCCAAGCACAGGTATAAAAGTTTTCCTCTGAATCAGGATCTGCATAGCATTGAACCAACCTTACTCCGCCTTCACTAGCGCCCTCGTAAATTGTAACCCTGGAAAAAACAATCAGATAATTCCAAACCTTGTCTAAGGAACTGAATACTTGCCAAAAATATTATTTTCTAATCCCTAAATCTTTGCAACCTGATGAGGTAAACCTTTGATATTTCATACTATAAATTCTGTTAGACCAAATGTTCAAATTTAAAAAATTATCTAAGGTTTACACAATCAGGTTCCAAAGATAGAGATATGAGAATTAGAGTTTGTGCCGAATGTTTAGTTCATAAAAAAAGAAACTCTAAAAAAATTATAACTATTTGACAACTAAGATCAGAAAATAAGTGAGGGTATTTGCTGTCAGCATTCAAGTTTCAGTTCGCAATTTTAAGTTCTCAAGAGTTTACATGTACTACAGCTTTAAAACAAATTTGAGTCATGCTATAAATCCACTGTGAACCCTGTCTTCCATTCTGCTCCCCTCTCCTTCTAACCTATTATATCCGACAGTAGCGAAGAACACAGTAGACTCCGACGAAGACTGAATATGAGGGTTGATACTAACTCCATAAACTGGTTGTCCATGATCTTCTTTCCAGTATCCAGAAAATCTGTAGTTTACCTTAAACATTTTGTTTTTGGTCTTGTATAATGTTTAAAGGGATGTATGGTGGTTGAACTGAATATCAAGTATTGTGGACAAATTTTTTACCATTTATTTGATACTTATAAAACATTTATACTGAGTTTGATCGCAAAGTCGACGTTCAAAATCATGAATTTTAAAATTATGAAATAACGACGTCAAAAGAAGTAAAAAAAATTTTACAGTAAACTAATTAGTTGTTTAGGAAAATGTTGAAAAAATAAAATTTAACTCTTATCATCGAAAATAAGTAATATTATTCAATTATTAGTTTCTATAATCTATCAGTATTCACAACGATTTCTGCAGATTTTTTGGATTTTTTTTGAAAAGACACTTAAAGAATTTGTAGAAATCTGCGTACAAATTCATAGAAAATAAGAAATTCAATATAATGATGAAAACGAAATAACTGATTCTAACATTGATTTATTGAAAAATTTCTTTTGAGAAATACGTTCCTAAACAACCAATTTGTTTACTGTATAATTTTTTACTTTATTTTTCGTCGTTGTTATTTAAATATTTTCAAAAAACCGATTCTGAAAACGTATCCACCCAAATTCATGATTTGGAACGTCGACTTCGCACTCAAACTGAGTAAATATACGTCGTAGAAACGTTTTATATGTCTCAAATGAATCCTAAAAAATTTGTCCTCAATATTGCATACTCAGTTTAACCACCGTACATTGCCAGTCACTTCCTTTAAACTTATCAATTTTATCTAAAATCTGTATTTCAGCTTTACAGGGACTAATGATGTAATTTAAAATAACCATCCATTTATAGAGTGGCATCTGTGATTCACAACGATACACTGTAAACCTTTATCTGATCATGGATGAATGAAATATCCTAGTTTATCAAGCTGAAAACTGATAATCTTCCTATTTCTTACTCTGCACAATGTTTCAGCAGTCACTCAATAAATGAATTGCCACATGAAACTACGTTTGCAGCCCGTTTAAACTATGCACTGAACGCCATCAGGAAAATATGTAAGATCCTTGATCATAATTTTACGGTTAGAAATGTTTCTTTATCAAGCCAAGTGGGTTAATAATAATAATGTCTAAGTATATTCATTGAAGAAATACTCTTACTTTTTGTTGTTTAGCAGCGACATTAGCAGCCTGTTTAGTGTTCTTCTTCTTCCTTTTCAGTCCCGCCAGGGTCGGTACTTTGTCCCTAAAATAAGAAACCATGGCTACGTAGTACTTTTCTATCCAATATTTATTAGTTTTGAAGAAAGAGGGGTTTATGAAAATATAATCTAAAACCATCAAATAAAATAATAGTTTTGAGGTTATTCCTGTTTTTATGGTCTCCACAAAATATATAAATTCGTCGATAAAACCAAAGAGATTAAAACAAAAAAGGGGTTTGCCTGATTAAATTGTCGACGAATCAGAACAGATTAACACGGAATAAAACGAACGGAATAAATTTCTTTAATTTTCTTCGAATTATAAAGTTTTCTCCTTGGATATAAGGATAAATATTTTTAGCTAAGCGCTATCCTAGACAAAATTCCGATCTCTGAAAGGTTACCAATAATCACAATTAATCCTGAGTAGAAATATCATATCAGGCTGGAGCTGAGGATGTTCTCTACCTGTGAGAGAAGCTGGTTGTTGATAAAGAATCCTTCTCCTCGTCCTCCTCCTCTACTTCCTCTTTGATATCAGACACGAGGTTGACCTCGCCGTCTTTCTCCTTCAACATCCTCTCTGCAACACAGAATCAGTCAAAAATATTTATTTGAAACTAAATTTTTATTATAAATTATATTACATTTGATAAATAAATCATCAAATTTTTTTGGAAACATCTATATTCATTTTAAAAATAAACAGATGGAACACCATGATTTCTAATCATTAAGTAAAGATCTTTTACAATTTATTAAGAAATAAACGATCGCTTAAAACATCATTTAACATAGAATTGAGTGCTATAAAGAAGTTGCTTCTAGAATTTTGTTGAGCTCTGTCGCGCATTTTTTTGCTTCTTTCTCCGTCCACTCCAAACAGTCCTGAAATAAGTCAAGACATTTTACTTCCAAAGATTGAAAAACAAAAAAGAGAAAAAAATTTAAACAAGCTTAAACTAAAGGATGTTCCAATAAACACTAAACATGAAAAATGACAAACTTTCTGTAAAAAATGGTTGCCGTAATCGTAAAGAAATTATAATTTTCGAATATTTTGTTTGTATTTAATAAATCAAAACATAAACTAAATTATTTAAATCTCCAGTAATTTATGATACTTTTTCAAGAATTATACTTGTTCACTGTACAGTTATATTATACAGAGCGACATGTCGATTTCTACATTTCAAGACAATCATGTTTTAGTGTGTTACTTACTGTTTTGCTCCTAGACGCAGTTCCCTGGATAAATATTGGGAAGAACCTCGTAAATCCCATCAGCGCAAAAACCTGCTTAAGATACGGGTTCAGGAAATCCTGTATCTCTTCTCCGGGTCCGTACTCAGCTCCGGCACTGGAGATTACAACCAAGATCCGTCCTGAGTTCTTGGTCAGAGAAGAATCTGAGGAATCATTGAAATTAATTCCAGGTTGAACAACAATATCTAGAAAATATAAACTTTAATACAATATTTTTAAAGAATGTTATTTAAAAAAAGAACATCTTTTGTAAAAATCTGTTAAAACTTTTTCGTAATTTATCATTTTTTCACATGTGTCAGTTTACAACTTTCAATATCTAGAAATAAACCCTAATAATTTATCTTCACCAAAATAACTTTTAATACAAAGTTTTTCAAATAATGTTATTTAGAAGAAGAACACCTTTTTGTAAATATTCATCGATTAGACATTTTCAAAACTAAATACAACAAATATTAGTTTACAATACTACATTAATCAATAATCAAGTTGTATTTAAAATACTAGATACATAAAATATCAGTTTACAATATTACATTTATCATGCAACGTATTTTTCAGCATCAACGAAAAAACTTCAGTAAATGCACAAACGTTTAAATAAAAACATTTAGGACATGTTCTGAAAAGTGATAATGCAATGACCATAGATTGCGATAAAAAACGAGCTATTTTCATTTCAAAAATTCATTCCCTTAACCAAGAATTTTCTTTTAACAGTCCTGATGTTATTTTGAGACTGTGTAATATTTATTGTTGTAGGTTTTATGGATCTAGTATTTGGGACTTGAGTTCCCAATGTGTTTCAAAATTGTATACAGCATGGAACACTGCTATTAGAATTCTTTTTAATGTACCTAGAGATACGCATAGGTACTTGATTGAAAGTATTTCACAATGTTTACATGTAAAAACTATGTTAGCTAGCAGATGTGTGTCTTTCTTTGAGACTATTGAAGCAAGTTCTAAGCTTTGCATTAGATTTCTTTCTAATTTATGTAAAAATGACCTTAACACAGTTCTTGGCAGAAATTTATTTTCTATTGCAAATGATTGTTCTGTAAATCCTTCGGATCTTAGTAAAATGTTAGTTAAGAAACAAATGAAATATTTTGATGTCCCATTAGAACATGCATGGAAAGTTCCGGTTTTACAAGAACAATACTAGAATGATTAATTTATATGTTGAAGGATTCGATGATTACGTAATAAATGAAATGATAAATATGTTATGTAATGAGTAATGATCAATGTTGTCTATTTGTGCATAATTTTGCATATTTTTCTCTTTTCTTTTGGAAACCTGTATTTTCAAAAATGTATTTAAACAAATTTAAACTACACCATTTATATATGTATTTATATCTTTGTGTGTGAATAAATCTTTATAATAATAATAAAATAAGAATTTAAGACTATCCAGATCAGTTTGAAGGTTTATAATAAAAAAATCCGGAAAACTCTCTATGGTCTAGTGTGAAGAGATACCAGTTCATTTATTTATCAGTCTTTATAGGGAACCCCCCCCCCCACACACAATTTATTTCTCAAAGAATATTTTTATTTTTTGACAGCGCTACAGGGTGTACCATTGGAATGGAAGGATGATTTAAATGTCGTCTTTTTAAACTATTTTTGATTAGGTATGGCCTCTTAGAATTTGCTTCGCCTGCTCGAGTCTAAAAGTTAGTTGTTTGTGTTTTGATTATACTGCAGTGAAAACGTGAAAATTCCTTTATACATACAAATGACATTTGTCCCTCTTCACCGTTCATCTTGCAAAATTAACCCGACACTCTCATGCTGTTTTAGTGAAAATTGAAAAACTGCTTTTTATCGTTTACATCAAATATAATCCAGCAGACATAATTATATTGTCTTTTAGATGTTAGATGTTAAAATATTAATTCGTAAAAAGACGTTCTCAGTCCTGTAGGTAAATCAAACACTTAATTTTGATAGGAAAGTTGACATTACCTATATACTGTTTCAGAACGTATGGTATTGTATAATTCCACATTGGAGTTGCCACCACCACAACATCCATACTGTTGATTATCTCTGCTGCTGTTAGGACCGGAGCAAACCTATCCTTGTCCTCATCCGTCCCTTCTCCGCGTAGTAATTTTAGCTTGGAGAGCGCATGATCAATTTTGTACGGAACTAGTAAAGGACTAATTTCATAAAAAATTACTTACGAAAAAACTAAATAAAAAGGAAATTTAGATAGATATTTTTTTAAATTGAACATTTAGGTCCTTTCCTAACTGTTCCGTCCATAATTTTACTTCCTCTACTGCTTTCTCTCGTTGTAAATTTTCTTAATAGAACAAAAGCCTATTAATAGATGATTAGTACCAGTGTGTTCAATATATATGATAAAAAAGGGATCTTGCAGAAATAAATTATATATGTAACCGTAGACGTAATTTAAAATTACATTTAAGAATGCATGAGATATCCCGCATCTTCTCCTTAAAATCTTTTGTGGTTTTTTAATAGAGAGGTTTGCGCTTTTCTTCATCAGAAACAATTGGGTAAATTGTCAGAAGTAAATACTTTTCAAGCTAGGAAAACGAGGATATCAAGCACAACATTGTTCAGATTAAGATCTACAAGGTACCACTGTGAATCGGGTGTGCCTCACATTTTTAAATGAAGAGTTGCTTGAAATTAAAACTACTGTCGTCCCCAGAAAGATAACAAGAGTTATATTAAAGATTTCAATAAAGGGACTGTTACCTAAAAGAATTCTGGCTCCATGTGAAACTAATGAGGTAGGACTGTGTGCTGCATTCAGGTACAGAATGTGTGTTTTAGAGTCATCTAAAAACAAAAATCATTATCTTAGAAACATAAAATTATTACNATTTGATTTTATTTTAGGAATTTCGATCACTAATTAGGCGTGCACCCAAAAAATTGGAAGATTTGAACCAAAAATGAAGGCAGGGCCCCCCCCCCCCCTACATCAAATGTGCCAACTCCACCATCCCCTTTGCAACAACAAAAAAATCATTTGCAAAATCCAGTTTTCTAGTAAAAATACTTGCAAAAAAAAAATGTCTAAAAAGGACAAAATATACAATTTGGAAAGCCATTGACGATGCCTTCGCAAAATCTTAAATAATATGATTAAAGGACACTTAATTGTACTTGTACAATACATTTGAAAGAAATACCACCATTCATTACCGTTAATAAGAATTAAAAAATACTAATCAAATCTAAATTTTATCTCCATTTTATAAATAAAAGGCTAAATGTTTCTTCCATGGATCAAACAGACAACAGCGAATTCCGACACAAATTAAGTCTACGATTTTTGGACCCCCCCCCCCCACACACCTCCCTTTAACCTGGGACTCTCTCTCTCTCACACATGTTTGCTCATTACCACCCCTGAAAATGTTAAAAACAGACAAACTTTAATTAATTTACCTTTTTTAATATGTTGAAGGTGTTCAAACCCAGATTTAAACATGGATTGTCTGCGAACCCCGGTCCAACTTAAACATCTGGTAAATCTGCTTTGCACTAGACATTTTATCATGATCCCTTGATCCCTAATCTGAAACCTATAAAATGCATTAGAATCAGTACTTGAATCACAATGTTACAACCGTAGAAATATGACAGAAAGATCTAATTTTATAAATATAAAATGTTTCAAGTAAACAATATTAATAATACGTAACAAATACTTAAAATATATATTAATCACAGATAAAAAGTGGTTAGAAATTTTGGAACCTGGAGTGTCATTTGGGTATTTTACAGGAATGTTTTTAGAAATATGAATTTTAAAATAGATGAACCCCTAGACTTACAAATCCCTTTTACAAACAATAAAAAATTATGTGAAAAAGCAGATCGAATAAAAATGCATTATTTTCAACGTAAACATGTGTAGAACAAAAATAGAAATAAAAGCAAAAAACCATAAAAAGGACTTTGATATGTTTTGTTATAAGAAACCAGCACCAAAAGCAGGGTAATGAAAAATATGATAAATTAAAATATGATTGCCAGATAAACAGATGCCAGTTTATTAAACTTAAATTTACTTTTAAACATACTTAATTGTGAACAAAAAAAAATCGAGAATAGTATAACAACTAAAGGTAGATGGAAGTGGCAGGGTGGAAACATGCATTAAGATAAATGTTTGTTTTTCCTGGCAACCACGGTTCTGACAATCATATTTCCAGCCGTTATATCTGCACTGAGGAATTAAGTTAAAGAGGGGGAAGCTTACGCAACAAAGATAGCACCAACAGAAGGACGAAATGGACGAGCGGGGACAAAAGGACAAAAAAGAGTCGGACGGATTGGAATAGAAAGAAAAAAAAGAGTATAAATCTGGTCGGAATAAGAATAATGAAGAATCAAATCACAGATCAGAGGGAAAAAGAACATTGATAAAACCACACTGAAAGAAAAAGATAAATTAATGCAATTAATACTTGAAAATCTAAGCCTAAGAAGAATAAAATCCTTGATATAAATGTAAATACATTACATATAGAAATATGATACTATTTGCATATATACATTATCAAATGATTCACACATTCATGAGACTGAACCTTGCAGTATTATAGAAATTAATGCAAAAAATTTAGTTAATATTTTTAGAAATCTGTCGCTTATTCCATAAAGATCTTGACACCGTGCGCCTCTTATTCATCAAGCCTATACGTAGTGTACAAATGTACAGTGTACGTGCACTGTACAATATAAGTATGTACCCAATGAACTACATGATATTAAAGATTGGAGGTACCGGAGCTAGACTGGATCCGTTGAACCAGATAGGACGTGTTGGATACGGTACTCCCTCATCCTCTCCGCATATATCAGGGTAGTCAGAGTTCAACCTATAATCAGAACAGTAGGCGTCATCAACTTTAAAGGGACTGTAGTCGTCATTTTAAGTGACTCTCCATTTAAAAAAAGGGGCATTAAATCTGATTCACAATGGAACCATTTAAACCTTAAGATGGTCAATAATGTGGAAGATTACGTCGTTGAAACGACTTTCTCCAATGTTTCTGAAGCAAAAAATGCGCAAGTCACTTTTCAGAGCAAAAAAAATGATAACTTGAAACAATTAAAATTTCGTTTCCAGTCCTTTTAAGATGGAAGAAAATAATAAAACAGAGAAGAGAGTAAGGGTAAAAAATTGACAAATTTGAGGCAGATTGGTTATATTTGTTATTAAAAGAAAAATGCTAAAAACTGAACTTACTTAATGAAAGCCAGAAGCTCTGCTCCGAGCTCTGCTTGCTTCCGGGACATGTTCTCCAGGTTCTCCTTGTTAACCAACCCCTTAGTGAGGATCTTTTCCATGATCTCCTTGTTGAGGTCGGAGTTGAACAATGGAATCCCGTAGGTTATATTCATCACCAGCCAACGATCCTTCACACAAAAGAAAACCTTTCTATTAGAGGGAGTGTTCTCGAAAAATTAAAGGGGGTATAGGTTGAATTCGAATCTCATTTGGATTTGTTTGCTATCAATCTTACTTCCATCTATAGCGTCAACATGAAGAGAATGGTTCAGCCTATATATCCCCTCTCATTTTTCGTGCATGCTCTTTAAAGATGTGACCCTCCATTCATAGTTTGGCATGTCCGATTCCCAACGGTACCCTCAAAAGCTTTGGCGGATCAAGACTGAAAGAGATATCCATAATTTCATTAATTCCACATTATTAGTCAGATCAGGTTTAAAGGGTACAATTGAGAATCGGACATGACCTTCTTTAAAATAGAGGGTCAATTGAAATCACGACAGTCCCTTTAAGAAAAGTGTTTATGGTGAGGGAGGGAAGGATGAGACTGCTAGGACGGTTTACTAGTTCTCCAGCTAGCAGTATATCTAGAATACCTGTAGTGTTGGTGTTGAAGGGAGGATGAGACTGCTAGGACGGTTTACTAGTTCTCCAGCTAGCAGTAAATCTAGAATACCTGTAGTGTTGGTGTTGAAGGGAGGATGAGACTACTAGGACGGTTTACTAGTTCTCCAGCTAGCGGGGAATCTAGAATACCTGTAGTGTTGGTGTCTAAGGGAGGATGAGACTGCTAGGACGGTTTACTAGTTCTCCAGCTAGCAGTAAATCTAGGATACCTGTAGTGTTGGTGTTGAAGGAAGGATGAGACTGCTGGGACGGTTTACATGTTCTCCAGCTAACGGGGAATCTATAGAATCTAACTCCTCAGCTAATAATTGCTCACTGTCAAAGTCTAACATGTCTCCTAAAACACAAACATTTTGATTTATTCAATAAATATTTAATTTTTATTATGCTCTGAATCTGATATCTGAATCTGATATAATTTGAGATGATTAAATACCTGCTGGAGAGAACTGCCTTTCTTCCATTTTCTTTTCCGCTAGGTTAACCAAAGTTATATACCCACAGGAGGAGGATAAATCTACAACTCCTTCTAGTTTATCAATCCCTTCTCCCAACCCCTTCTCTAGCTCATCCTGGAGAGGGAAGGAAACAAGCTTCGTCTTCGCTGTCTCGTCGTGATCTGTACTGAAGGCCTGGAGAAGGACTGGAGAATGCAACAAAGCATCTTGGAGGAGGGAGAGAGCTCCAGAGATTGGAACCTCTGTTGGTTCATGGCCCCAGGTTGTAATGTAGAGCACGGCGCAGGATTGAAGAGCTCTAGGTAACGAGCGCATTTTCCACCCTCTGGGAAGCATCAGAGAGACAGGTCCAGATCCAGTCTTATCATAAATATAAAATTTAAACCATGGCGAAGCAAGCTCAGGAAGACTGGGTCCTAGATTGGCAGGCGTTACGCTGTTCAGCGCGCGTAGTTCATGGGTCATGGGTGCCATTGATACCAGGAGACTGTAGTTCTTCTGAAGGAGCCTGGAGACTGTGTTCTGATCCAGGGATTGTAACGATTCAACCCGAACCAGATCCAAACCCAGACACAGCTCAAATTCCTTAAGACTAGGATTATTTCTAAGACTGATAATCGTCTCTTTGAGGGTCATCGCGGCTGTGAAATATACGCCGGCCTCGCCCTCCGCCTCAGTGGCGGATATTTTTTTGAGCTCCGCCAGAAATACGTCCATGCTCTCGTCGGAGAGCTTTCCAACCTCAAACATGGTGACGGCGTGATTCTTAAGACTGGGGCTCAGGTTTCCCATCATGAGGTATGCTGTAAGCGTGGAGTCGAATAAAAACCCTATCTTCTTAACAGAGCTCTTCTCCTCAGGAACCTAAACATTTTAAAACATTTTCAGAGTGCTTTAAGTAACCATCCGTTTCACAATGCTTTCAACGATTCACAACAATGCAAGCACGATGATGGAGAAATTTACGAATTTCCATCAAAAAATTTCAAACTTGCAGCAGAGAAATATCTAAAAACAATTTCGTGGATTAAAATACCGTCATTCAGATAAGGTCTTGAAGTACATCGTAGATGGCACTTTTTCATGTAAGATTTACTTCATTCCCATTGACAAGCATAAAAACAGAATATTTGCGCATTGTAGGCCCTAAACTGAACTAGTACCTTCTCCTCCGTCTCCTTGTGGTCCGAATCCTCCTTATAATCTCCAGTATCCTCCCAACTCTCTGTATCTGTCTCTAGTGCATGATTGAGCTCCTTGAGCAAAGAATCCTCTTCATCGGAGCTAACACTAATCACTGATCCACATCGGATGCTCACACCTCCTGTATCCATGTGATCTAACCAGGATGGATGAAGGGTATCAGTATCAAGGTCCGCATCTTTTTTACGAGCAAACCCCAACCTGGAAAGGTGAATTTTAGAAAAGATAAGAAGAAAAAACGTTCAGTTCTTTACCAGCAGTATAGAGAGATTGCGTCTTTAACTAGTCCTGGATCCATGTATCTGTACTCTACCTGCAGTATAGGGAGATTGCGTCTTTTACTAGTCCTGGATCCATGTATCTGTACTCTACCTGCAGTATTGGGAGATTGCATCTTGTACTAGTCCTGGATCCATGTATCTGTACTCTACCTGCAGTATAGGGAGATTGCGTCTTTTACTAGTCCTGGATCCATGTATCTGTACTCTACCTGCAGTATAGGGAGATTGCATCTTTAACTAGTCCTGGATCCATGTATCTGTACTCTACCTGCAGTATAGAGAGATTGCGTCTTTAACTAGTCCTGGATCCATGTATCTGTACTCTACCTGCAGTATAGAGAGATTGCATCTTACTAGTCCTGGATCCATGTATCTGTACTCTACCTGCAGTATAGAGAGATTGCCTCTTTAACTAGTCCTGGATTCATGTATCTGTACTCTACCTGCAGTATTGGGAGATTGCATCTTTTACTAGTACTGGATCCATGTATCTGTACTCTACCTGCAGTATTGGGAGATTGCATCTTTTACTAGTCCTGGATCCATGTATCTGTACTCTACCTGCAGTATTGGGAGATTGCATCTTTTACTAGTCCTGGATCCATGTATCTGTACTCTACCTGCAGTATTGGGAGATTGCATCTTTTACTAGTCCAGGATTCATGTATCTGTACTCTACCTGCAGTATAGAGAGATTGCATCTTTAACTAGTCCTGGATCTATCTGGAGCAAGGTTGCAGTCTCCGCAACACTAGTCTGTTCGTCCATTGAAACAAATATTTTGTACAACAAAGTCTCGAAATAGTCCCCTGTCACTCGGTTCATGACGAACCCCTCCAGAGGGGGCATTGTCATGAGGTCCTTATCCTCTATGATGATATCCAGGTATACTAGACCCTGGAGATACAGGCTGTGCACGTCCTTGTAGTTCAGCATACCTGGAGAAAAAATACATTTTTGGGACGGATATAAATAATATCAATCACACTCAAATTCAAGAAATCATTCAAAACAAATCTTAAACGATGAACTGATCACAACGGAAAAAACTTCAATAATTGATTTGATTTAATTAATCTTTGATTTACCTGCTGGACAAGGACCAGAATCAATTATTTGATCAATTATTGATTTCTCGGGTTTAGCCAAAAGTTTAACATCATCCTCAGTTATATATCCAACCTGGATTATATAAACCAAGATTATTAAATTTTCAAACTTTTAAAAACAAGAAGGTCAGTCATTGCATTTTTTAGGACGGATTTTATAAGAAAAAGTGTAATTTTTATATAATTTTGTTGAATTTTTTATTTAGATAAAAAAGTGTGACCTGAACTACCCACCAGGGCAAGATTGGAATATCACTGACAGGACGGGTTGGTAGAAGATCTTTATAACTTTTCCTAAAACAAAATATACAGTGAGAACCAGAAAACAGTGGAATTTTAATCATGAACTCGTAGCATTTTGTAATTTGCAACTATATAATTAATCAAAAAGTGTCCCCTGGTCATTTTTAGTGATTTATCAGTCGCAACAATTGAAACTTACAAAATCCTTCAGAGACATTCCTAAATTAAGTGAGAAAACAACGCCGACATTCATTCTAAAGTTTTCCAATTCTCGTTGTACTTCAGAACTTTTAAAGAAAAATTTCTCCAAAGGCTGCCCCCCTTATCTCATTATCAAACCTGAAGAGACTGGTTGAAAATCCTCCAAACTTAGTTTTTGATCTAGTTTGGTTCATGAGATCAATATACTGGTTCCTGCCAATACCTAGCAACCTAAATATTAACACAAAACTCTTTATTCATAAGTTAGTTCCAGTGTTTTTGTTCTGAGTACATCATACATTACCCCCACCCCCCCCCCCGCCACGCAAACCCCATTATGGTCAAACAAAACTTGAAATTATGGAGAAAAAAAAAATTATTAGTGTTGAGGGTAATTATCATAAATATATAACCCTGTAAATATTTAGAGGGGAAAGTGTTTATTACTTTTCATTTCTTATAATACTGTTAGGAAACTTGTAAAAGTTATTCTCAACTAAATAAAAATTCAATAAAATATTAATTACCATGGATTTAGCAAAAGTCATGAGAATTGTAAAAGTTAATCTTAATCTGAATGAAAATAAATACAATATTAATTACCATGGTTTTAGGAGAATTGTAAAAGTTATTCTGAATCTCAGTCAAAAGTAATAAATAAAATAAACAAATCAAACATTCATTCACAAAAATAATAATGTAAAAGCGTTCAACAAATACATCTTTACAAAAGGTATTACCTAACACAATCCACAGCTGTGAAGTTTGGTAGAGAATCATAACTTCTCTCCTGTCCCATTATACTCTCCAGTACCATGATATAGTACTGGAATGGAGTAATCCTAGAATATAGTTCATTTTACAGTAACTTGATATAGTACTGGCACGGAGTAATCCTAGAATATAGTTCATTTTACAGTAACTTGATATAGTACTGGCACGGAGTAACCCTAGAATATAGGTCATTATATTCTTCAGTACCATGATATAGTACTGGCACGGAGTAATCCTAGAATATAGGTCATTACTCTCTAGTACCATGATATAGTACTGGCACGGAGTAATCCTAGAACATAGCTCATTACACTCTTCAGTACCATGATATAGTACTGGAACGGAGTAATCCTAGAATATAGGTCATTACTCTCTAGTACCATGATATAGTACTGGCACGGAGTAATCCTAGATAATAGTTTATATTCTTCAGAACCATGACATAGTACCGGAACAGAGTAATCCTAGAAAATATGTTCATTTTACTCTCCGGTATCATGATATAGTACTGGAACGGAGTAATCCTAGATAATAGTTCATTTTACTCTCCAATAGTCAAATTCTGTTGGCATGTTTAATTTAAATTAAGAAAAGAAGCAAACAAACTTGTTACAATTTAAAAGATATATAAATGAAAATGATAAAGACAAAACCATACAAAAAGCTGTAGAAACAAGAAGGATTCCTTTTCTGTTACTATCCTTTAGTACAAAACGTCGTGCATTTATCCAACTCAAATGAGGTTTAATAAAAATATCAATTACAGCAGGGTTTCATTATCTATTTGTATTTAGTTTATTTCTAATTTTTTTCCTAAACAAACATCTGTTTATTTTACCTGAGCCCCTTGATGACAACATCAGAGAGATGGTAGGGGAAGAGCATAAGATTCTTCTTACTAAACTCTAGAAGGTCTTCATAGTATCTCTTCTCATCCTTCTTCACGTGACGGACCAGGTTACCCCGGTATCTCAACTAGAATATATTTAGTCAAGCAACATTCTATTATATTTGATTTGGTCCCTTCATGTAGTTTTGCTCTTGTTCAGCAAATAAAGCATCCTAATACAATTTGAATCTCATATTTTTTTCTACACAAAATTGCCTTTACATCTTAAAAAGCATTATAGGCCCCCTGGGGACCTTGAATCAACTCCTGGAGATCCATAAACCGGTGGAATAGAAAGACGACTGTTAGACTCCAGTTATGATACAAAACAGTTATACTCTGTACACAGGCCGTATAAATTGTACACAGGCCCGTATAAATTATAATGAAGCTACTGGTAAAAATATTTGCTTGAAAAATTATGACAAAATCAAATACACAAGATTGATTAAATGTCGTCTTCCTATTCTACAGTATTACACGTATTACTTCAGTAAAAAAAATGTATGGGTTACAATGAAAATTACAAGAATACAAATAAAAAAGATTACAAGTAACAAGTAAATAAATAGTGAGTAATTACCTGATTTTTTATACTGAACTGTACAATACTTTTATCATATTCCTTGCTTGTGTTTCCTAACTGCTGCTGAATATATGCAGGCAGGGAATCCCACGCAACCTAATAATTAGGTTAATCGTCTTAGTTTAAGGTGAACCTCCATTTGAAGAAGGGCATGACCGATTCACAATGATACCATTAAAACCTCGATTAGATTAAAAATGCAGAAGCTAACGTTGTTTTTCTTGCTTGAAAGTTTTTTGATTCTGATAACTTTTCCGTTTTTTCGAAGCCTAAAATGCCCAAGTCATTTCTGCTAAGGAACAACAAATGAAAATAAACAATTTAAAAAACAAAAACATGGATATCTAATTCAAACTTGATCATACAAAACTTCAAGGGTACCGTTTGAATCAGAAATGCCACTCTATCAATGGAGGATCTCTTAAAAGTTCACTCCTTTCCATAGAAGTTTCATGTATATTGAACCGTTTAATAATGGGAATTCTTACACGATAGGTTTACTACTATGGAGCCGAACAGATATGATATTATAAATATTATTTCTCTTTTTGTTCCAACATTAAAGAGAAAACAGTAGTATCTCTAATGCCAAAAAATACTCAATCATATATTTTCCAATCCAGTCAACCGAATATGACTATTAAAACAAAATACCTTTTGATTAAACATAGTGGCAACAGATCAAATCTAGCTCTTAATTAACCAAATGGCAACCACTCAAAACTAAACCTTAATCAACTACATGGCCACCAATTAAAACTCGCTCTTAATTAAACAAATGGCAACCAATCAAATCTAGCTCTTCATTAAACAAATGGCAACCACTCAAAACTAAACTTTAATCAACTACATGGCCACCAATTAAAACTTGCTCTTAATTAAACAAATGGCAACCAATCAAATCTAGATCTTATTCAAATAACATAGCAACCATTAAAAACTGGCTCTTAATCAACCAATTAAAAGTAGCTCTTAGTCTACCAAACGACAACTTTCAAAAGTAGCTCTTAATCAACCAAAATGGCAACCAATCACAAGCTATAAATCAACCAAAATGGCAACCAACCAAAACAACCTATAAATCAACCAAAAGGGCAACCAATCAAAACAAGCTCTAAATCAACATAATGGAAAAAAGCTCTAAATCAACCAAAATGGCGACCAATCAAAACTAGCTATACATCAACCAAATAAACATATTTACTTTGTTCCGGATGAACTCCTCTATTTCTGAGCTCAAGTTCGCCATTTTATCAGCATTCCATCATTTTCTGAAAATTATCATAAATTCACTTTTGACATTATCAAAATAATCATCATCAAAATGTATCACAATTAGTCTCTTGACCGATCACAGTAAAAATACTAGCGGTTAAATGTTGGTAAACAAAACAGAAGCCAGAGGTAGATTTTTAACTGAATGGGGTTGAAGACACAATTTCAAGTGACCCTCTAATTAAAAAGGGACATGCGCCCGATTCACAACAATACCTTTTAAACCTTTGTCTGCCCCACTGTTGAAGATAACGTAGTTTAAAATTCTGAAAGTAGATTTGCGCAAGTCTCTTTATTGTAGAGAAACCACACTTTTTGAAATAAGTTTTTAAAATTATAAACATGGATATCCAATTCATACTTGATGATCAGAAAAAACTCTTAAAGGAACCTTTGTGAATCAGACATAGGGTCACTCAAAATTACGAAAACAGTCCCTTTAAATGAATAGATTATTTGAATATTCTGCTAATCAATCTTTCCACTTGAAGAAATCACATTGTTCCTTTTTCGGTTTCGGGCAAACGAAGAAACTTCGTCCGTTGTTTTCATTCTGTTTGTAAACTTCCCGCAGCAGGGTAATACATTTATGCTGACACCTAGATATATTTTCATTATTTCATTTTATGGTATTGAAAAATGTAAAACTAAGATTATACCTTGGATGTTCTAAATCGGCCCAGGCAAAGAAATCGCAAGCCTTCCCTCTGAAAAATCCACTAATTTAACAAATGAACGCAGCATAAAAGTCAGCCATTTTGAATTAGGGGTTACCTTGTTAAAGAACACGTGTAGAAGAGACGACCTTTGTTCTCTCCATCTTTGTTCACGGTTTTCACATTGCAAGGTTTCTTATGTCCGCTACAAACATCAACCTTGCTTTTTTCAGTTCCAACATTAACCTTTACATTGTCGACAATGCTCTTCACATTTCCATAACAACTCTTCACATTTCCAAAATTGCTCTTCACATTTCCAAAATTGCTCTTCACATTTCCAAAACTCTTCACATTTCCAAAATTGCTCTTCACATTTCCAAAATTGCTCTTCACATTTCCAAAACTGCTATTGCTAGAAGTGCTTGCCTTTGACGTAATTCCTGCAAGATTTTATGATGATTATTAGTGATAAAAAAATAATAAAAAAAGTTAAAAGGTTTCAAGAAAAAATCCGAAAACATAAAGGATTAAATTGTGAATTGTTTTGCATTATTCAAATTATAAATAAAAAACCTGATGGACCCGAAACACTAGTTTTCTGGTTAGACGTGTCACTCAACATCGGCCTCGGACCTAGTTCAGGCCTCCCTGCCAGCCTTGGCCTCGGTCCAGGATCTGACCTCTCTGCCAATCTAGGCCTCTTACTGAAGAAGTTTACAGGTTCCGAGGATTTTCTTTTTGCTTTGCTAGTTCCACACGTGAAACATTTAGTTGAACCAGGTTTATTTTCATATGTGCACATCTCACAGCTCCAGGTTGAAGGGGAAACCTGAGAAAAAAAGGCAAATTTAACAAGTTTCTACCCAAGTTGGTTATAATAAGAAAACAATAAAGGCGCTATGGCATTTGCTCTTTCACAATTTTCTCAATGTCAATTTGCTCTATGGACCATTTGATCCATTCCCGTTAGACCAGTTGTTCTAAAGACTATTTACTATACGGACAACTTTCTCTATGTGCCAATTTCTTCTTCTTACAAAATACTTTATTGAAAAAAAATATCTTACACATAAAATGGTTCTGTTAATATATATAAAAAGGACATTGGTATATATTTCAGACAAAACGCAATGTAAAAAAACAAACAGAATTTTTGGCAACTATGAAAGATGGCTGAAAAATTGCGAAATTGCTTATCACCTGTAGCCAGCCTCAATTTGCGTTTTAAAATGAAAAAAGGAAATATGAATATAAAAATACAATGGCTTGTCGCCATATATATTTATAAGTATGATAACGTTAAGATTAAATATTTAAGGAAAAACTAAAAAAAAATCATAAAGGCATAAATACATAAGTGCTTATCGCACTACTCTAGATTGAGTTTAGTAACTTAAATTTTCAGCAAAAACAACCGGATTTAACGAACTTGGATTTTGCAAATTTGAGTTCTTGAATGTCTCAAGTACGAGATTCAGTGCGGATGATAATATGATAAAGCAAAAATAGTTGAAGGCCTGAACTCTTCGCGAATAATCTTGGTCTATCATGTAATAAAATCAATTCTACATTGTTCAGTTCGGATCGAAATAATCCTAATCCTAGACCCAGAGCCCGAAACTTTTGTTGCAAAAAGCGTTTCTGTGCAACGATTCAAAAATATCAACAATCGAGACTTTAAATTTGAGCCGATTAAATACTTAATAAAAAATCCAAGAAAAACAACTAACTCGTACTTCTGCAATCCCTCATTGGACAAAAGCAGTTTTGTGCTATTCAAAAAGTTTAAATTTAATCCTTTCAAAACAAAAAATCTAACCTCTGAAATTATTGTACGTTTAACAAAACAAGAGTAGGGAAAATTAAGATATTCAAAACTCTTACTCCAGCTGTGACCCATCCAATGATACTGTTTGTAGAAGGACCTGACTCCAGGGAATTGGTTTGACAAGATCCACAGAAATATGTTCCACGCTCATACTCTCCAGGCTTACACTTAGTAACCTTAACAGAATACATAGATCTTAAAAACAAACAAACAAATCTCAAACATATTATATATAGAACATTACTTATAAATCTATCTAGCTTTTTAATCTATTGATTGCCAACATATTAAACTTTCCCGCCAAAAAAAATATAAAAGGCATATTAGGGTAACATTACTTGTTCAGGAGAGAGAGAAAAGGATTTTTAAAGAAAATATATCAAAGGTATAATTCTTTTAGAACCAACCTTTCCATTGCACTGTTTACAGGTGGAGAACCTATATATCTTGAAGAACTAACCTTTCCATTGCACTGTTTACAGGTGGAGAACCCATATATCTTGAAGAACTAACCTTTCCATTGCACTGTTTACAGGTGGAGAACCTATATATCTTGAAGAACTAACCTTTCCATTGCACTGTTTACAGGTGGAGAACCCATATATCTTGAAGAACTAACCTTTCCATTGCAGTGTTTACAGGTGGAGAACCCATTATCTTGAAGAACTAACCTTTCCATTGCACTGTTTACAGGTGGAGAACCTATAGATCTTGTAGAACTAACCTTTCCATTGCACTGTTTACAGGTGGAGCACCTATATATCTTGAAGAACTAACCTTTCCATTGCACTGTTTACAGGTGGAGAACCTATAGATCTTGAAGAACTTATGGAGAGGTTTACCAGTCTTCCTACAGTCGTAGAAGACCTTGGAGAAATCCCTGTTCATCTTTACAACCCGGCTCACGTGACCAGCCGTCAGATCCTTTACAGCAGTCAAAGGGTTTACACCTGCACAATAATTTGGATTTGATAGACTCAATATTTGTTCTATTTGTTCTATTTGTTCTATTTGTTCTATTTGTTCTATTTGTTCTATTTGTTCTTTTTGTTCTATTTGTTTCTTCGAAATTTTCACACAAAAATTTTAACAAATAAATATTTTGGGTAGAAGATCAAAATAAAGAGCCTGTTAATTGATGCATGACTTGAAAACTTATTCATACCTACGCCTGAATACAATGTACAAAATAAACGAGTTGAATACCTGCATCAAACAATGCCTCGTTTTTAATTATATTTCCAACCCCAGGGAGGATTTCTTGATCCATAATAACGTCACAGATTAATCTTTCTTTGTTTCTCTCGGCTTGGATCTCCTAAAAAAAATTTTTAAAAAAACAATTTGTGGTTAATTTGGAATGGGGCCGTTTTTTAAAGCCATTAAAGGGAATTCTAAAAGTTGCATTCTAATACGAAGAATTTGTAAAGAAATTTTTGCGGTCCCCAATTTTTTTCTAGAACTCTTTGAAAGATTTAATTGGGGAATGAATTGTTCCGTTTTGTGATTATGAGTGTTGAATAATTACAATTGATGGAAAAATTCATGTTTAAAACACATAACAGTCCCTTTAACTGTTTAAACATTAAGTTTACCTGAGCCGCTCTTTTTGCATTAAAGGATAGAGAACATATATCCAGATCGATCTGGTTCTCCCATCTATGTAAAGTCTAGAAAGAACAGGTTTTGTTAATATACAGGAACAGACAACATATATCTAGATATATCTGGTTCTTCCAATTTTGAAAAGTCTAGAAAGCAGTGCTTAGGATCCGGATCCGGATCCGCTGGATCCGCATTATTTTGGCTCTCTGGATCCGGATCCGGATCCAAGCAAAATTTTATTTTTCAAAATGTGCAAAACAGCGTTATTTTTCCTTAAATATCCTATTTTGAATTGTTTAAAAGATTTTAAAAATATTCTCAAGGTCTCAGGTTTCTATCTTGCTCAAATCTTAACTGAGACCTCCAACGTGAACCCCCACCCCCTTTAATAACTAGAGAGGGGGGGGGGGAGAAGTCTCCCTTTTCCCATTGCAACTAAGCAAATTCAGTCTTCACAAATTAAGGTGTAAGGATGTGTAAGAGTGAGGGGAAAAGGGTGGGGGCGCACATATGCTAAAAAGATACAGATGCTAAGTAACATCTTGTGTTCCCAGTATAAAGAGACTGTTTTCTGCACTGAAGATATTCAAATCAGACCTAAGGAGTTGCCTGAAGGCAGATATTCTAAACGCCCTCCTTCTACTAAAAGCTAATATGAATTAGACCTGTTTTTTTTCATCCCATAAAGTAAAAAAAAATCATTATCATTTTGTGCAAACTAGTACAAAAATAGTATAAAAAAATGTTAAAATGTTTAACATTTTTTTAGGCATGAAAAGATATTTGAACTAAAATAAAAAATTTTTTGATCAATGACCTGGATCCGGATCCGGATCCATTTTTTTGAAAAGCGGATCCAGGATCCGGATCCGGATCCGCATCAAAATTAAATGGATCCTAAGCACTGCTAGAGAGAACAGGTTTTATCAATATTAAAGAACAGAGAACATATAACTAGATATATCTGGTTCTCCAATCTATGTAAAGTCTAGAGAACAGGTTTTGTAAACATTGAAGAATATAAAAGAATAGAGAACATATATCTAGATTTATCTGGTTCTCTCATCTTTGTAGGTCTATGTAACAGGTTTTATAATTTATAGAACAGAGAACATATATCTTGATCTACCTGGTTCTCTCATCTTTGTAAAGTCTATAGAACAGGTTTTACCCATATTAAAGAAAAATAAACATATTTCTAGATATATCTAGTTCTTTCATCTTTTTAAGTCTAGAGAATAGATTTAATCAATATTAATGAACAGAAAACATCTAGTTTCCTCATCTTAGATTTAACATTTAACAAATCGTTGATACCTGCGGACCGTCTCGGATATCCGTGGAGCACTGATATAGGCTTACCGTATCTATCTCTAGCTGGAGTTGGAGCCGGGGAGGTTCTGTAATCTTCGCCTGGAATCCTTCATCCTGATCCTCAGCTTTATCATTATACCTAGCATACATGAGTTATTGTTTAAACCAAGGTTTAGGAGTTCGTCTTCTACAGAGCTATGACGAATTATAAATTACAACGTAGTTCGTCTTCAACAGAGTTATATGACGATTAATAAATTACCATAGACTACGTGGTTCGTCTTCAACAGATATACGACAATTTATAAATTACCATAGACTTCGTAGTTAATCTTCAACAGAGTTATATGACAATTTATATATTACCATAGACTACGTAGTTCGTCTTCAAGAGAGTTATATGAGGATTTAAAAACTACCATAGACTACGTAGTTCGTCATCAACAGAGTTATATGACAATTTATAAATTGCCATAAACAAATTTAAAACCACTTCGAAGGGTAAGTCCATAGTAATTAAAAGTGGCATTAACTTTCCACTTCAGAATAAATTTTCAGAATAATGCTAAACAGTGTTTTTAAAATCCCATTCTTACATAACCTTAGGCCAAATTTAAAGAATTTAGCAGCGGCTTAACTTTAAGCAGTTGCTCAAATATGGTTGGTTCCACTTAAAATCGTATTCAATGTTTCAAGATTTATACCGGCGCTCAATTTAAATCGGTTTTAGGGAATTTGAGACGCGAATAAAATTCATCAAATTTGGACTCTTGAATAATAAATATTTTAAAAGGGAATTTAGTTGTAATTTCAAGTGACCCAATATTTAAGGGGCATGTCAAATTTTTAACGAACCTTTAAACGTTTGTCTCGTCCAGGATGAATTATTTATTTTTATTTGTCTAGATGAATTGATTATTTTCAAATTTTAACGTATTTTGTGCATTTTTGCGTAAGAGAAAATTGCACCTTGAAAATCGGATATACCACTCTTTAAATGGAGTGTCACTTATAAGTGCGGCTACAACCCATTTCAACTGTTACCTGACGAACCCCGCCATAAGAAAGTGAATCCTGAGACAGGATCCGGAACTTAAGAATATAAACAGTTCCTTCCCCAGGGTTCGGATATCAGTTATCTAAACAAATTAATTCTTCAAATAAAGAAGAAAAAAAATTCAGGAAATAAATGTGATTTTTCCTGAAATGGGAGTATTTTTGGATTTAAGGCCCCCCCCCCCCCCTAATCAATTCTGTCGTTTTTTTCTATCGATTAATTGTTTAAGTGATTTGTTATCTTACAAGGAAAAGATTTTGACATAATGAAACCTACAATCTTTGGGGAAAATATAGCTTATTCTGCAATCGTCAAAAACATAAAAGTAAAAGATATAACGGACTAAAAAATTACCAATAAAAATCTTAACCATTTTTGACAAAAAAAGCTTTTCCCAACACTTTTACATACGATAGTGTTTTAAAAGCTATATCCAAGTTTACATTTTTTTTCGATTATCATTTCACATAATTCACAAATATCATAACTAGTTTTAACTTAAAATAATTCAACTTTGAGTCCTATCATATCATATCATATCATACAGCTAGGGATGCGTCCAACAGCTCTTTGACCTACAAGGGGTATGCCATCACAATCCCCTATAGGTGAAGGCTTTTCAGCCTGACATAGTTTAAACCTAACGTCGGACACACGACCAAATTTGAGCCATGTTTTCGAGTTATAATAGAAAATGATATGGGGATAGGTCTCTTTGTTTTACCTTGCATCCTATCAGAGTATGATATGGGGATAGGTTTCCTTGTTTTACCTTGCATCCTATCAGAGTATGATATGGGGATAAGTTTCCTTGTTTTACCTTGCATCCTATCAGAACATGATATGGAGAGGGGTGTCCTTGTTTTACCTTGCATCCTATCAGAGCATGATATGGAGAGGGGTTTCCTTGTTTTACCTTGCATCCTATCAGAGCATGATATGGAGAGGGGTGTCCTTGTTCTCTTTTAGGTCTGTTATCGACAACATTCCCTAGGCATCGGTTGATTTATATAATGCTTTAGTTAAAAGATGAATAGCCCGAAAATCAAATTAATTGGATTCTTTACAAAAATTTTAAATATGAGAATTTCTTGCATCAAATTAAGAATATTTCTTAATGTCTGGCTTTTCATCGTAATTTTGAATATTCTTGTTCTATTATGATAATCTTATGAGGTAAAAAATGTAATAATGGAAATTCTTAAACGAGATGAAATAATCTTGATGCATTCTTTAACGAAGGCCGCAGGCCTGAGTTAAAGAATGCATCAAGATTATTTCATCGAGTTTAAGAATTCCATTATTACATTTTTATCCTCATAAGATTATTATTATATCATATTTGTGAGGTTCCATGGGCACATACCCAAGAAATTATATTAAAAAATAATTCTGGTGAAATCCGACTATTTTAAGTTGGAACAGTTCACATTATGAAAGGTTGCAAATAAGTTTTATGCTCTTGTTCTGACTAAAGCTTTTTTATTTTTCTAATGTTAAAAAAAAACATTTTAAAAGTAAAAATTGGTTCTTAATTTGAAAGTAATGCATGTGGTGTGATTGTTTCCTTAATTTAGTTTAGTTTGTTTACCAATTTCTAATGATTTTGCTCGTTTTTTCAAGTTATTGATATACAGCATGTTAAATGTGCCCTGAGTTTTTTTTAGATGGTGAGAAGGTATTGTATTGGGTTGTCTTAATCTACTGAACAATATCGTGTCTTCATTTATAGAAGAAATCATTTTCTGGATATTAGATCCTAAATCTTCCAAAAAGAGGAGATAAAATCAGGTTATCTAGTAAGAATCAGTTCAACATGAACTGATGAAGATCTTTGTCTTTTATTCATGAAGCAAGATTTACTGGTTTGTTTTCATTGCTATGGAGTGCTAAGACTCCATTAAAAATGTGACACTAATATTTCAATGATAAGTTTTTATATTTTTTTTGGTTTTGATTGTGGTTTCACTTCCTCATCTCGAACTATGTGAGATATGGTGACTCAGACTGAAAAGCTCTGACCATACTATACAAGTATGCAAAGATTTGCAAAATTTCACCGAACTTGGTTTGAATGAAAATGAACTGAAAAAAATTAATAAAGTAGGCAGTCGGGCAGTATGCTTTAAGACTCGGCAGTTTGATGGAAGTGTCTAATGGAAGGCTAAAAGCATCGTCCATATTTTTGGGAATGGTCAGAAAATGTTAATTTCCACTCTTCTGTCAGGACTAGGGTTGAGATTCAAATTGATATTTCTGAATTAAGGTATATCAATACTTCAAAAAACAAAAAAGGTAAGTGAGCATGAAAAGGTAAGTGAGCATGTTTTAATAAAGTAAAAAAGGTAAGTTTGCATGTTTTGATATAAAAGAAAAAGGTAAGTGAGCATGTTGTTTTTAAGTTAAAAAAGGTAAGTTTGTATGTATTAATGTAAAAGAAAAAGGTGAGTTTGCCCTGTGCATGTTGTCAGTACAAAATAATTAAGTTAATATCTATATTGATCTATACTGAAAGATCAATATAAGGAGCGTGTAAGAATGAATATTCTTCAACTAGTGTAAGAATTTCCATTCTTTAATGCTTGGAGCGTGTAAGAATATACATTCTTTCACGCTCTGACCGTGTAATAATTTCCATTCTTACACGGTCTGAGCGTTAAAGAATGAAAATTCTACACCTTCAGTGTAAGAATAAGCATTCTTAAACGCAAGGAAGCGATCAATATTAAAATTTTCCTCCTGAACCGTGTAATAATGGGAATTCTTACACGATAGCTTTACTACTATGGAACCGAACAGATATGATATAATAATTATTCTTTTAATTGACAAGTAATATGAATAATACAGAAACTAGGCAAATTATTAATATGAAAATTAATATAAAATCAAATGACTGTTCTCCTTGATTTGGTACTAGATTTAATGAATAGAGGAAAGTGGTTTAGCAACTTACCACCGGTTCAACCAGTTCTCTTATGCGCCGCTGTATCCGTAGTTCTACTACTTCTACTATTCATTAAATCTGGTCCATTATTAATCAATAAATTCCTTACCTGAAACATTATGAACAGTTTGATTGAGGATTTTCCCTCTCATTTTCTCCCCTTTCAGCTTACATCCTGGACCCTCAACCATCTTTTTTACTCCAGGTAGGGTTCAGATCTTTACTCCAGGTAGGGTTCAGATCTTTTTACTTCAGGTGCGGTTTAGATATTTTAACTCCAGGTAGGGTTCAGATATTTTTACTCCAGGTAGGGTTCAGATCTTTTTACTTCAGGACGGTTTAGATATTTTAACTCCAGGTACGGTTTGATCTTTTAACTCCAGGTAGGGTTCAGATCTTTTTACTTCAGGTGCGGTTTAGATATTTTAACTCAAGGCAGGGTTTAGATATTTTTACTCCAGGTAGGGTTTAGAATTATAATTCAATTCAAGAATGTTCTTTATTCTTTAAAATCTGAAAACAAACAGATCATGAATAAGAAATAATCAATAGTTTGTAGAAAAATAAATATTTCTTGTATACTTCACTTTTATCATTGAAACCGATGACACCATGGAACTATTTAACTGCAAAGTCCTCCGTAATCAAAGGAGGGGGGTTTAACTGACTAGGTGTGCAAAACCAAAAACTGTCCCTGCAAAATATGACTACATGAATATATCATCTTGATCTTTTCAATTTTGATTATAATGCTATTCTATCACAGGAAGGAGGCCTCAAATCGAAAATTATCAAATCGGCGACCCCTCTTAAAATTTAAATTCATTTGCTGGAGCACAAAGAGGCGGTTTTAAAATGAGGGTTTGGTCATAAAAAGATCCATATATTCTATTCATGTAGTCATTTTGGAATATTTTTGCAAGTATTTAGCAGGGACTAGTGTTAAAGCACTAGTCTTGAGGATTCCAAAATGCTATGTCTTGACCCCTGATCATTTCTTCGGAGTAAATTTTCATTACGGAGGACAGTGACTGGTCACGCAGGTTATTTTTTTGAATCACTGAGAGTAAGATCAGCAATAATGTTGTTAATCACCGACAGTTCGTCACATTTTATGATATTTAATAATTTCAAGATATAACACAGCACAGTTTTCAAATACATTACATTTACTATAATGTTGTATTATTTGACTCCTATTCTATCCAGGACCTGCTGGGGCATACAGAACACCGGGTTGACCTGGCCTACCCCCGGCTCCCCCAACAAGGACAGACCGGCTACTCCGAACAGGGTGTGGAATGGATCAGGAAGATCTCCAGGCCGGTCAGCGAATCCTCCTGTCTCAGGGTCCTGGAGAAAGCACGAATATTTAAGATTCTTTAATTTTTAAATATTTTGTGGAGATAAAGAAATATTTTTTAACGTTTTAAGTCATTGTTAAGTTTTTCCAAATGAATATATTTTTTAAACAAATATTTATAAAAAACTAGTTAAATCAGCGTAATATTATTAGTTTAGCTTAAATATTACCATTTTTCAATTACCCTAGGCAAGCTTTGAATAAATGTTATTTTGAAATTTTCAGACAGTTTTATTTCTTAATTTATTATTTTTTATTTCTTAAAAGTTAATTATTTACAATAACAATAATAATAATAATAATAATAATAACAATAATAATAATAACAATAATAATAATAACAATAATAGTAATGATGATAATAATAATAATAATAATAATAAAATGTTGTTAAGCTACCTGACAGGCAAGCATAAAATCTTTTAATTTCTCTTTATCTATCCAATGCAATCTATACCAGACTCCGCTCTAGCAGACTAAATCAATCAATCAACCATCCTACTTTATTATCTATTAAACATTGATGGTCAACAAAATTTAATTCAAATATGTTGATGTAATTTCGAGAGATTCTTCATTTATATAGTTGTTTCAGCCTGATTTACAACGGTACCCTTTAAACTTTCGACTGAACAAATATAACAAAGATATTCTTATTTTGTTATCTAAAAAATAACAATTTTGGTAAAATTGACCTGTGGACTGTGGAGTGTGGAGTTATGTACGATAGAAATAATACAGGAAATTGACGGAATTAACACGTTTTAAAAACAAAACATGATAGCTTCCTTATTTTTGCTTAGATAAAGGGCAGGGGTGTATATTAGTTGTGAGACTCATAATTTGCCCCCACCCCCCTTTTCAAAATCATATTTTTCCTCAAATCCATAACTTAAAAAACAAGTATATATATCCAGGTTTCTGAAGCCCGCGCAAACTTCGAAGAAGTTTGCTGTGGCGGGGGGATGCAGGAAAGCCACATTGCAAAGAAACATTTTGGATTTCAGTAGTATAATTGAGCATTTTAATGCCCTAAAAAGGTCAACTTCAAGGTCCCCACTGAGTTTTTTTAAGCATTTCTGATACTGTTTCTTATAGATTTTTTGTGTTTTCTTCCCTTTCCTCTTCCCCCTTTTCCCTTCCCTTCTCCCTTCCCTCATGCCCCATCTCCCTTCCCTCTTGCCCCTTTTTCCTTTCCCTCTTCCCATTTTTCTCTTCCCTCTTCCCCTTTTCTCTTCCCTCTTCCCCTTTTCCCTTCCCTCTTCCCCTTTTCCCTTCCCTCTTCCCCTTTTCTCTTCCCTCTTCCCCTTTTCTCTTCCCTCTTCCCCTTTTCTCTTCACTTTTTCCTTACCTTTCCCCTTCCCTTTTTCTTTTCCCCTTCCCTTCCACCTTTTTCCTTTTATCTTCATTTTTTCCCGAACCCGAATGAAAGCTCATATTTTCTGCCCGGGGGGGGGGGGCAAACAGAAAAAATATAAACCCCTGAAAAAGGGTTAAAGGTTATCTTATCCTTTTAAATAACACAAAAAACATATCCGTTGAAATATATAAAAACTGAAGAAAAAAAAACTTGAAAATTAGAAGAAAAAAAACATGAATGAAACAAGTAAAATTAATCATTAGTTTTAGACAATACTTGAAGGGAGGTGTTCAAAGATTTTTAAATGTATCAGATATTCATATTCGGTTTGTTAATGTTAAACATTAACAATAAGAAAAGCTCAGTTAATATTGAGTATCCATTATATATAACTAAGTCTGCTAAAGATGTTCCTATTGAGAATAGCAAGGCTGGCAAGGACCCACCAAGAGTAGCAGACATCAGGTAACTTTTCAGGTCTCCCATTCAAACCTAGAAATTATACATTCAAACCTAGAAATTTTACATTTAAACCAGAAATTAAACATTTAAACCTAGAAATTTTACATTTATACTTCTAGAATTAAATTTTATATTTAACCTTGAAATTAAATTTAAGTCCAGAAATTTATTAAAGTCAAGAAATTGAAATTGTAGCCTAGAAATTAAAGTCTCATAATTGAGCATTCCAACCAAAAAAAAAGAAAATAATGTAAATTACCCCCTGAATCTAGTTGTCTCTCAGCCAACCACCAGCCAAGTCGGTCAGCATCTATATAATGTAGATGTCCTGTAATTGCTAGTGTTCCAACACAGGTATATATCAACCCTGTATCATAAAGAATCTACAACCAATCATTTAATCGTCAATTACAATAATAGAATTTATGCTAAATTATTACACACAGATTTGGTTCCTTGCACCTGGAATTTTTTGTTGTTAAATAATTTAACAGACCAGGCTATTTAGTGCAAAAAACTTAACTTAAAAACTTAAAATCTTTTAATTATTGGCAATTTAAGAAGAATAAGAATAAGAGGTTATATTTTCTGCAAGCTGAAGAGCCATTGCCCGTGGAGAAAAAAGTTGAAAAAAAAAATTCAAATTTTTTTTTGCTATAACACCTCCGGCCACCTATGAGTGTCCACAAAAAAATCAACCCAATCGGTCCAGCAGTTAGGCCGGCTATAGGAAACATATATATATATATATACGAATGTCTTGTTTTATTATATAGATTTCCACACCTTATTTTTACGACACCGAAAATTGATTGATTGATTGGTGTATTAATATTCCTGCGTGTGACTCCGCCCCAGGCCTGGATCCAAAACCTCCATCAAAATTTAAACACGCTTTAACAAACCCGGCAGTTTTATCAACGTCCAGGCGAGACAATTTACCTAAAATAGAAAACAAATGTTCAAAAAATGGAAATACCGCTTAAAAAGAAGAATAAATTTGATCATGAGGATTTTTGTAAGTATTTGAATTAAAACCACGGATGATCTCCTGAAACTAATGTTTTTTCAAATACGGATTACGCAGACAAATGTCAGGGGAAAGTAAACGATATAGAATTACCTAGAAGAGCAAGGCAGGCTACTGCACAGAATGTAAATCTATTGTCGACCTCCCCAAACTTGTCCCCCATAAAGCTGCCGTTCTCCAGCCTCAAGCTGAGCACGTAGTCCACCACCTTCTCAGAGTCGATCTCCTCCAAGCAATCAAATATCACGGCGATCTAAACATTTGTTTAGATTGTCTCCAACTTTAAAAATCACTGATTTATATATATATATATATATATATAAGTATATATATATAAATATAGATATATAAATATGTCTATTTATATATTCATATCAATATATATATATACAAATACAGTAGTAATCTCTGTTTGTCTCTTTGGATGTCCGATGATATCTTATTTAAAAGTCTATGTTGCGTAGGTCGACTTTTATTGGGAAATCTTCAGGCCAAGCTGGGTTCCCAAGCAAGTATTATTATGAAGTAGGGATGACACTTTGAATTTTGTGAAGAAAATTCTTGATATTGTTTTACAAGTATGTTCCTTTGTTCAGTATAAAATAATGCATTCTTCCAACAGTTCAAATTCTAAAATAAAAAAACTTTAAACACTAAACACAGGGCTTCTTGGAAAGGGAAGGGGGGTATTTTTGATGATGGAAGGAAGACATAATTACCTGTACAGCTGACAGGGTATTGAGTAAGTGGGGGTCATGTCCTTGAACAGGTCTAAAACCACCATTTTCATCCTGACACGAATACACCACTTTATTTCAGGAAAAAATGTATAGCTTTAATTTTTATAACTTCTTAAATTTTTTTTTGATATTTTGCATTTTTTGTCGTTTAATTTTTTTGCATTTTGTATTATTTTATTTTACGTGTTATCTATCTAATTTTATGTTTTATATCAGTTGAAACGCAACAATCTTCTTATAACATTTTATTCATAAACAAATTGTTTCATGCTTTTTGCAATCATCAGTATTTTATGTTTTATGTATCTCATCAAATGATTCATGTAAGATATATGAGGTTGTTGTATTCCTGGCAATCTTTGAGAAACTGAATTATCTCTTGTTTATCCATGGAATCCAATTTACCCATTAGATGCATAGCAGAGCAGCCCCAGTACACACCGTTCATCCTGGACATGTGCACGTTTAAAGTATACGTTCATGTACACCAATTCTTTAAAGAGTTCATTTAAAAGGATATCGAAAACAAAATCTAACGGTCCATTGTAACTTTATATCTAATCAATAATAATATAAAAAGACAAACGTAAAAACTTTAAACGTTCCTAAGAAACTCTGACATTGCGTACTCATAATCATTTGGATCATTTCCATATTTGCAGATAAATTCCGCGTGCTTTTCGAGCAACAAATGCCGCGGGTAATTCTCAGGAAGCTTAACGTCCTTCCGACTCAGCGCCATCTTGATTTCTGAAAATAATTTAACATAAAATTTAGTTTCCCATACCCAAGGAACCTAAAATAAAATGCATGTTAGAAATTCATGATTTCTGGTATTTATACTATCACAATTTGTTGAGATTGGTTTTGTAATTAGTCCATATCTTCTAATAAAACAGGAAGTTCTATTTTCCCAAACGTCACAAAGGAGACTGTGCCACCATTCACTGAAAAATTTTTAATCTAAATTAAATAAAATTTAAAATTAATCATGTTTTTTAACAAATGGTTTCTGGAAGCTCTTACAAATCTCCATTATGGAATATATTAGTGTAGTAGTTTTTCTACTAACAACAACTTTGATTTAATTTTGCCCCCCCCCCCCCTGAAACCCTCAAATTAAACTAAAATTATTGGGTCATTGTTCACAAATATAAAATAAAATGGTACCCAGAGCAAAAAGTATTGGAGCATTATCCCTGATCTTGTTCTCCAGGTTGATCAGTTGACTGGAGTCTGGAACTGGAGAGTTAAACTCTAGCACAACAATTCGATAGTCTGGTACAGGGCGGATACTCTTCCTAATACAAGATCAAGTTACTTTCAAAATTTTCCTTCCAACTCATTTATTTTCTCAAAAAGTTTTTTCCATGAAGGGTAAAATAAAAATGTTTTTTTTTAAAGTAAACCTCTGAATAAATGGAATATAAATTCGTTTACTTGAAGGTTGTTGAAGATTTGTAGCAATCAAAGACGATTTCTAGTTCTGGGGATTTGGATTGTCTGAACTGTGTTCTAGGTGCTCCTGCTACTCGGATCCTAAGTGAAAAATTAGTTTTGACAAACAACAAAACTGAATTTTATTATTCCAAAAAATCACGGTTTACCTTTTTAATATAGCCTCCATCGATTCTGCCATTTCTGGTGAGATAAGGGGTCCCACCTCCCCCTCATACTCCCAGAGTGAACCTAAGCAGCTTTTCTTCAGATACCTTAGTTCCTAGTAACAAGTTTACTTTACAATCAATCAATAATTAATCGATCAGTAAATAATTTTCAATCCATTTATATTCCTTAATCGCTCACTGTTGAGTCCAGTGTTTTAGTAACTTATTTAATGTTTATCTTTTAGTACAGAAATGTTTAAGCATTCTTCTTTCAAGACCAGTTTACTGTTTAGCTTGATCAGTTTTTTGGGGGTTTAATTTGTTGAACAAAATACTAAGTTGAATCCAATTGTTCCCAATTCAACCTTTTTTCTAAAACTTCTATTTTTATTCTTTTCCTAAATATTGAAAACCATTGAATTATTTATGTAAGCTTACCGAATGTGCTGAAACATCATCATGGTATGTTGAACTAGTGGAGCTAGATCTAGAATTTGCAGAGCTGGATCTAGATGTAGTATTGGTTCTAAATCCCCCAGGGGGTTCTTCTTGGTTTCTCCGAATAATGATTCCATTACTATCCCTCCCTGGACTCGATGACGAGCTGTGAGAAGAGAAACTATCTTCGTCCGAACCTGAAGATGTTAGTTCGACATAAGTTGTAGATTTCTGAGTTAACATTGAGATATCTTCACTCTCATTACTTCTTCTCCCAGTCGGGGTTCCCTTTTGTTTTTTGCCAGGATTAGGGGTTTCTTCTGCTTTTCTTTTTAGAGAGACACTTTTGCTAGGCTTGGATCGTTCAGTTTGGTCTTCATCATCGGAGGTGATATCTATAACAAATTTCTCCGTCCTTTCAGAGTTTCCTGATCCTCCTTCTCCGTAGGCTACAGCTCGAGACTGGAGATCAGAGAGAAATCTGTCCTTCTGATTCTCCGTCCAGTTCACGTTCTCCATCTCCGGGAGGGTCTGGAACTCTCCGTTCTGCTCCGACAACAGATCTTGTCTCCACCTATTTACAGCCTTCATGCTTAGACCTCGTTTCATACCTTTCCCAGTCCTCAAAAGTTTTTTATTCTTTACTCGTCCATCAGAATTCGGCGGAGAGTGGAATCCAAAATTGTAAATTACCTGAAATAAGTTTAATCACTTTTTTACAAACAAAAATTATTAATGATATACCTCAGAATAAAAAATTGTAAATTACCTGAATAAAGTTTATTCACTTTTTAACAAAAAAAATTATTAATGATATACCTCAAGCTTATCACTTTTTTGAGCAAGGGGAACAAGTCTTTCTATGGCTGGCCAAAACCCTCGGCACCTTTTTGGTCCATCTTCGAGCCGCAAAGTTTTATCTCTGGATTTATTGTTCCGTTCCAGATCTACAACATTTTCTGTTCCTTGGTTTAATTCTCTTCTGTTCTCGGCAACCGTGTCGGGAGGTCTAAACATCAAAGTTAAAAATCCAAAACAGGGAAAAAACTGAATATACACAATAAGAAAAATAAAAAAAAACTAATTAAAACTCTACTCGAAGTTCAACCAAAAAATCCTGACTTAAAGGGAATGTTCACGAAAAATGAAAAATAATCGCTTTTGATCGCTACTAATCTTACTTACATCTGTTGCGTCTGAGGAGAAAATTGTTAAAAACTGAAGAACGTAGCGTCCATACAAATTCAGAATAATATACGACTCGTATTGTAAAATAATCAATTTAATTTCGAACAAATCATTCAGATATTACAACCTAAAGTCATAGATTATTTTCAACGCATTCGTTTATAGTTAATATTTCATAACATTTGTTTAATTTTTAAATACAGTACACTTAAAACGACTTTTTTCCGCTAGGTGTCTCTACCACATGTAATCATTCAAAGCATCGAGAGCTGAGACATCTGGCGGCCAACTATTTCGGCATTTTAAGTGCATTGTATATGAACTATACACGAATGCGTCGAAAAATAATCGATGACTATAGGTTGTAATATCCGAATGATTTGTTTGAAATTAAATTGATTTTTTTACGATCCGAGTTGTATATTACAGCTTTCTGAACTTGTATGGACGCTACGTTCTTCAGTATAAGTCGTTTTTAACAATTTTCTCCTTGTAGAAGCAACAGATAGAAGTAAGATTAGTAGTGATCCAAAACGATTATTTTTCGCCGTAAACCATACCCCCTTTCATTTTTGCGAACACTCCCTTTGTTACACTTCTATGAAAAACTTATTAAGCTAAAAAAACTTACGGGTTTTCTAAAAGATCAAATAGATCTGGTGAATCGAGATTTGATCTTAGTTTCTCAATATCTACAGAGTATTCATTTTGTGACGGAATACAGGACATCGGCAATAAACCAATCCGCATCCTCTACAAAATATAGATGTATTAAAGTTTAAAAATTTTATTCATAACATCTAGGTACAATTTATGAAAAAAAAATTTGACATTCAGTTAAATATTGCTATGTTAAACTATCAAAAATGGGGCAAACCTTGATAATCATTTTCTGTTGTTGATACGCATTTGGGATCAAGTTCTTAAACTCTTCTTTAGTGCCCAGTTGATGTTTTGACTTCTCACCCTTCTCCTGGACCTTGCCAGAGCCCAACCCGGCATTCTCCCCCACTCCCTGGACCTTAATGGTTCCAAACCTGTGGTTCGTCTCTCCGGAAACCCTGGACCCGGACGAAGAGATTAAAGTTGGAGGATTTAATCTTGGTTCTTTAAACATCTTGGTTTGCTGAGCAACACCCTTAGAGTAAACATCAATCATTATTCATTTTCTTCATTCATAATAATTTGTTGATAAATAATAATTAAACAATAACTAATCATTCATTAATATCTAATTAATCTATAGTTGATAACTAATAATTTATAATTTCTGTTAAAATGAATTTTATGAAAACAATTTAAGTGCAAGGCCAAACCGCCAAAAATATTTTTTTTCTAACTTTTTTTGGATCTGCAGGAATCTTGCTTAATGCTTATAGTCCCATAAGATACCTATATATATACTTTGCTTGTCTGTCTGTTTGTTTGTATCCAATAAACGTCAAAACGGCTAAACCGATCAGGCCCACATTTTTCGTTGGATGGATGGATGATCGAATTTTCAAAAATTTGCCTCAAACAAAATTTGATTTTTTAAAATTTTTAAAATCCACGAAAATATTTTTATAAATTTTTTTTACTTTTATTTAAATTATTAAATTATTTTTATTTTTTGTTTTTGTTCCAAAATGTTTACACAGTGAAAATGTTCATAATTGAAATAGAAGACGCCCATGAAAGCCTATTATTGGTTAATGGCTCAACATCTTTAGATTTTTCACGAACAGTCCCTTTAAATGTTACCTTGAGTGATTTCAGATGTCTCTTCCCCTGTAGATGAAGTTTATGGTTTGCAACCGAGAGAGATTTTACTGAACAGATCTCACAGAATAAATGGGCTGGAAGTTTAGGAAACGGGGTTGGATTCTCCCCATGGGAGGCAGCTGGTTCATTGGAGGAACTCACCCTTTTTCTAGTTGTTCCTGGTTTAGAATATATTTCAGTACCTGATCCATTATTAGAGGCTAGGTTACTAGAAACAAATTTCTCTAAATTTTCCATCTCTTGCCTGTGAACCTGAAATTAATTAAGTTTACAATAATATATTATATTATATTTATATAATAAATCAGGGACCAAATTTAATGAATAACGGACGTAGGTTTACTATGTAGACTGATTTGAACCACTTTTTTTTTAAGCTTGAACCATTTCAAAAGAGAAGTGGTTCAAATACCTGGTTTAACGCAGTCTGCATCAACTCCATCCTTCGATCAACACAAACTTGAAAAGAATCGTCCTTAGGGACTTCTTCTATTGACTCGTCCGAGGATAAATCGACGAATTCGAAATCGTCTTGGCCATTCGTATCACAGTTGTTTCGGCCAAGGTTATCACAGCTTTGTTGATTCACAGGGTTTGAGTGATTCACTCCAGCTATCTCTTCACAACCATCTCCACTATTATCTTCGTCACTCAATAGTTCTTCAGTATATTCCTTCTTATTGTCCCCCGTCTCATCTGTATCCTCTGTATCATCAACACAAATCATCTCCGGCGGAGGGGCCCACAGATCTTCTTCCCGGAACCTGAACCCAGTATCCGGGTTCTTTAATCTCTCTCGGATGAATTCTCGCATTCCGATACTCTCTACATGATGAATACGATCATAATGACCCCGGATACCGCAGATTCGGCAGATTTTATCTAGTGCATAACATTTTTCAGCACCTCCAGGATGGGTCTTAAGGCACCTAGAAATATCAAGATTGTGTACTTACTATTAATCAATCAATCAACTGACAGATTGCTTGTTCCATATCAACAACATTTATGTAACTCTCGGTCTATTTAATCTGTTGAACAGAAAATCTTTAAACTTTTTCATTATGCACAAAATCAATTATTCAAACAATAAATTTATATGTGCTATTAAAAAGTTAGTAGTAATGCATAGTGTTATTTACTAACAAAGGAGGGATTAAATAATCAATGAATTTTTATATATGGCATTTAACAATTTAAACGACTATTTCATTATAAAAATCTGTGTTTCTACAACTATTTTCATTTAATCCCGCTAATCTTAAAACTTTTTTATGGAAGACCAACTTTTTACAAAGGAATTTCGTTTAATTGTTATATTACTATTAGGAGAATTATTATTAAAAAATGTATTTATATAAATCAATTAATCAAATCCAATTTGTTCACCATTAACAAACCTGTAGCAAACATTTTGAATATCCTTCTCCATCACATCATCAACAGCTTCGTATTTAGGAGAATTTGGAGCGTAAAGTTCGTCAACCGTCGACACTTTATCATGTCCGCCTTGATTCAAGGATTCCTCCGCCATTTGAACATCATTTAAATCAGGCTCACTTTCCGCCTTCGGCATCTCCGCTTCAGGTTTAGTCTCATCTTCAGGTTTAGTCTCATCTTCAGGTTTAATCTCCGCTTCCGGTTCAGTATCGGTTTCTGATTTGGGCATTAGCTCCTCTACAGATGTCAATTCAATATCTGTTTTACAATCTTCTTTCTTAAGATCATTCTCAGTATTTTCCGCCTCTGCTTTCATAACATCTGCCTTCTTTTCACAATCTGCATCTGTACCAGGTTTTATTTCCTCAACAACTAGTTTTATCTTTTCCGGCTCTGTTAAAATCTCCTCCGTCTCAGGTAACATTTCCATCAATGTCGTACTTTTCTCCGGTTCCGATTTCCTTTCCTCTTTAGATAGGTGAGATGGAAATTCTCCGTTTTCAGAATCTAAAACATACTCTTTTGAAATAATCATTTTTCTTGTATAAAAATATTTTCTATCTTTTCAACGAAGTTATCCAATTGATTATTTTTTCAGTCAAAATTTTTATAAAATCCTTTTATCTTAAAACAAAGAGTTACCCCCAAAAAGAGAACAAAAGAATCTTCTGGTTAAAAATAGTAAAGTAAATTTTTTTTTAAATAATAAAGATTCTAAAAAAATTTAAATTTGTGTTTCAAACAATAGAAAATTAAAAAATTAAATCGAACAAAATCCTTGGAAAACATTCTTCCGTACCAGTGAAAATTGAAGTTCCTTGAACAGGTTTGGATCTCTGAGCTCGATTTCTCCGGTTACAAGTCTGGTACTGATCCAACCTAACCTTTCTCTCGTAGTCTGTAAACTCTGTGCTCTCCTGGTTCTCCGGAGTATCCAGGTTTATCCTGTGCCTCAGCACCTGGATTAGGTTAAAAATATAGAAGAGAAAAAATAAGGTTGGTTAAATTTCTTTTGCGAATACCTAGGTTTAATAAGCATTTTAATTTAATTTTCTACTGAACCAAAAGAATTAATTTTAATTGTTTCAATTCAGCAATAAAAACCCTTAAACTTTTTCATATTTTGGAGATGAAATAATTTTTAAGAAAGTCTGAAATATAATAATAATCGCGGTCACCTCTTATTCCAGTAATCAGTCTACCCCTACTGTATCTAGTTGTCTACCCCTACTGTATCTAGTTGTCTACCCCTACTGTATCTAGTTGTCTACCCCTACTGTATCTAGTTGTCTACCCTTGCAAAATGTGTTCTTTCTCCTTTAAAAGATGAAGAAGTACAAAAATTAACTTCTTATCAATAGGTGTTCAAGTCTTGCTAATTTGTAACAAATGAAAGTGTGCTTTATTAAGGCTCACCCTGTATCCGATCTTCATTAGCTTGGCGTAGACCAGATACTCCAGCAGTGTGCAATGAGAGTCCAGTAGTGTAGTATATCCTTGCTGTATAGACATAGGGACATCATCATAGTATATTTCTAGTATATAGAATATAGACATAGGGACATCATCATAGTATATTTCTAGTATATAGAATATAGGCATAGGGACATCATCATAGTATATTTCTAGTATATAGAATATAGACATAGGGACATCATCATAGTATATTTCTAGTATATAGAATATAGACATAGGGACATCATCATAGTATATTTCTAGTATAAAAGAGAGATTACATCTATATCTGATACAAAGAGATTTATTTCCCCACCTAGTTGTGAGCACTCCATGAGATATAATCCTTCCTCTGGTCTGAGTTCTAATCTTCCTTCAATCATGCAACCCATAAATTCATACTGCTTACCAACCTGTCTACAACATTATTATTCAATAATTATTTAATAATACAATTTTCAATTTCTTTAGAATAAAATGAGTGAATTATTACTATCATAAAATCAAATAAATAAAAATGTATGGTTTATTTTAATGGTTACATGTTTAAAAAACTTGATTTTAAATTTTAAAATTTGTCTTCTGTTAAAAAAGCAGTAAATATTAAAGAAATGTCCATGCCCTGGATACGGATTACGGATCCTAAGCACTGGTGAATAGGGTTAAAAAAATGTTCGTGGATATCTTTTCTCGTCCTTATCATTATTTTGACACGACCGATCTGACTCAAAAAATCTGAAAATATCAAATTTGTTAAACCTTGTAATGACAACTCGTCCTGACTCCGGGTTCCAGTATCCTAGGCTGAGAGATCCTCTAGTCTCCACCCTGCACCCAGAGATAGGTTTAATCCAGTTCTCTAGTCTACGCTCTACCTAATAATCAATCAATCAATCAATCAGTACAAGTATCAAAATAATTTTACGATCGATCAAATAAATAAAATGATTCAACAATCAACATTTTTAAAAATCGTCAAATAATCAATTAATAAGAAAATTAATTAGATTAAAAACTAATTTAACAATTCAATCAATTAACAATCAATGCAAATATTCATCACAAAATGAATTAATTTAACAAATCAATCAATAAAACATCTAATCAAACAACAAATTCAAAAATTATTAAGCATAAATGATTTCATTCGAGTAAATCTGAATAAAGGTAGCACATACAAACCATATCACAACAAACCATAGCACATACAAACCATATCACAACAAACCATAGCACATGCAAACCATATCACAACAAACCATAGCACATACAAACCATATCACAACAAACCATAGCACATGCAAACCATACCACTACAAACCATAGCACATGCAAACCATATCACAACAAATCATAGCACATGCAAACCATATCACAATAAACCATAGCACATGCAAACCATATCACAACAAACCATAGCACATGCAAACCATATCACAACAAACCATATCACAACAAACCATATCACAACAAACCATATCACAACAAACCCTATCACAACAAACCATTTCACAACAAACCATATCACAACAAACCAAATCACAACAAACCATATCACAACAAACCAAATCACAACAAAACATATCACAACAAACCATATCACAACAAAACATATCACAACAAACCATATCACAACAAAACATATCACATCAAACCATATCAAATCAAAACATAAAGAAATAGAAAATATCCAACTGCTAAAGATATCATAACACAATAATTATCAAAATACATAAGATTATAAATCACTTCACTTGTCAGAACATCAAAACAAATCAAAACCAAATCGCAACTTACTTTAACTTTTAATAAACCATTTTAGATTTTGGAAGATTTAGTTCGAGAAAACTATTTCGGTTAATTTTTTATAAAATGATTTATTTGTAAAAAGAAAATCCGGGTGAAATACCCCGGTTTCTGGATATATTTTGTGTAGGATATGTTACTTAATATGATAATGAAGTCTTATGTATTTGATAAGTTTTGTATTTCGATACGTTTTCTCGGAGACTTGAGTAGATTTTGTTTTGTTTTCATATGTTTTAATGGGATATGTTTGGTATGTGCTCCGAAAAGATTCCAAAAGTTAAAAGTATTCTCATGATTTCAGTTCTGATAATGCAAAATTACAATGCTTAAATGTCAAATCAACAATTGTGTAACAAAACTTGGTTTTACATTAAAAAAACAATAAGACTAAGCTTTCAATGAGACTCCGTAGATGTTAGTAGGACACTTTGCAATAATAATAAAATGAGATTTCAGCCTAGTTGTCAGCATAAAGTCATCTAAAAGAGATTGCAAGCGCAATTCAAAGTGACCCTTCTTGCAAAGATGACAGTTCCCGATTGACAACAGCACCCTTAATAACCTTTATCTGGTCAAAAATGTGGAAGATATTGTCGTTTTCTAGGCTTAATGTGTTTAATACTGATAATTCCTATTTGTTTTTCTGCAGTAAAAATGCGCCAGTCACGTTTGTAGAAAAACCACACTTTAAAATGTTTAATTTACAAAATTATAAACATTGATATATAATTAATACTTGGTCAGGCAAAGCTTTTAAGAGTACCGTTGTGAATTGGGCATTGTCATCTTGCTTACAGCCCCTTTAATATAATTTCCTATTCATCTCCTAGCTTGGTCTATCTAACCTCGTCTTTCTCCCAGCCAGAGTTAGACCAATCCAGGGTTTTCCTCGATTCAAACCCTAACGAAGAATCACCGTTATAAGACGGAGTGTCACCGTTCTTTATCTTGTTCTGCTGCAAGTACACCAGGTCAGCGGGGTTCAAGAGTTCATCGTTCTCCTCATCCTCCATCTTTTATCTAAAAGCTTGTTTTGTAATAATAACTCCAAATGGCAATGTTAACTTATTTATTTTTATTTCAACTAAAACCATGTTGATTTCTTTAATAATAATGACTATATGATTAAAAGAAGATTAAAGGTCTGCCCTGACAAATTGTCCAGGACCGGGAGGTTTCTCGGTCAAGGATGTAAGAGCTCCGAAAGGTTCAGCTGCGTATCTTCCTGATCTGGGTCCTGCTGGAGGTTTCTTCCCGGCCTTCAGGTCGGCAAATATCTCATGAACATCCTTCTCCGTCAGATCCTCGTAATAGTCGTCGTTAATCTGCAGCATTGGTGCGTTCACGCATGCGCCCAGACACTCAACCTGGAATATTAAGTTATGAATCCTTCTCTCATTTCATTCCGGTATTATGTCAGGGTATATGATTTGGACCCCCCCCCCCCCACCTTATTTCATGGTAACCTCACGTGACGGGCGGATACAGGATTGAAGTGAGGGGGGTGCTAGATTTATTTCGGAACCAAAAATCCAGATTTAGGAAGTAAAAGACGCGGCGCAGGCGAAAATTTTTTAGGATAGATATTTTTTCCAGTTTTGCACTATGTTTTCTTTCCTTTAAGTGCTACTGAGAAGCTATTCTAAAATCTCAGGGGGGGGGGGGACCCCGCCGCCCCCTGTATACGTCAGGGGGTACAAAGGTTCTACCCCATCCCCCTGTGAATCCGCCCCTGGCTTTTTATCTATTTTAACCAAACCTGACTTAAAAAAGTATAATCACGCGAAGTTGTTTAGATATGAGATGGGGGGAGGGGAAAATGTCTATAGTAATTATTACATTGATTAATAATTAAATAAATACAAGGCTTTTAAAAACAAACAAAAAATATGTTTTAATTCCTTCTTTCAAGTAGTTATAATTTGTGTTAAAGTTATTTTTACATTTTAATCCACTGTTTTAGTTACATTACCATGGTTATTAAGGGTTATATTTGTCAAAGTTACAGATAGAATTACAGTTTGAAGCGTCCCACCTCTGAAATGGTGAAAAGTTTGTCGGGAGTGGTTTCACCAACTCCGATGTTTAAGGTTTCCTTGCAAGCTTTCAAGATCTCATCTGAACCTCTCAACCAGCAGGGGGTAGTAGTGCAAACCTAGATCAGAACATTCAACAGGTTTAAAAGAGAGCTGAATAAATAATATAAACTTAAAGGAAACCGTGAAAAAAATTTTATTTTCTTATAATGTGAATTATTTATTCTGCTATTAATTGCATGTAATAAAAAGAAAATTGGTTAAACCTCAAGAAAACAAATCTAAAAAAAATAATCATATAAAACAACATGTTCCGAAGAAAATTTGTCTTAAAATTATAAATCCTATGATACCCTCTGAGAGAATCCGTTGAATACATTTAAACATAAACATAAGTAAACATGTTGACTGGCTAAATGTCTTGCAAAGTGTATGTTCAGTCTGGAGGATTATATTTTCAGATTTGCTGAGCGGAAAGGAGAAAAATTTAATTAAAGGGTTTCCCATGGTTCATTAAAATTATCAAAATAAATCTCTATCTAAACAACTTAAAATATCGACTGTTAAATTTTTTTCACCTGGACGTGATATTTTCCAATTGGGTTCCTAATAAACATGGTGTAAAAGGTTGCCACCTCGTAGACGCGCATGCGCGGCATACCGATGACATCGGCAACATGGTGCATTGCGCTGATTGGTAGCCAACCACCGTTCTGTCGCTGGGCAAGGTCAAGGAGGGGGATAACCTGGAAACAAAGAATCAACCGATCAATGAAAACTTCATTTAAATATTTTCAAAAATACTCGATGGCATAAATAATTTGTTGTTATTACCGCAGCACGTTTATGTCCCTCGGGATAAATGGAGAGGATAGCATCAGACCTGGACTTATTCTCAGCTGAAAACTCGAAAGGAGTATCAGCATTGTTCTCAGGAGTATCCCTAATGGTAATTTGTCAGATTGTTAAAAATATCATATATGAAATTTTTATTTTTGAAAGGTTATCAAATTTATCAATACACTGACAAGCAATATGAAAGTTACGTCTTCTAAAAGTGAACAAATTCAACACTATACAATAAAGAAAAATATAAAATATGATTTTTTGTTTCATAAATTAATCAAATCCAAAAATATATGACATTTTACGTCATTACGATTAAATAATTCAGCTTTGAGGTTCAAATGCAACAATTTTATTCCACATAAATAAATTTTACGCTAGTTTTTTCATCCCACTACAAAGTATAGCATAAATGGAAAGTATAAATAAATAAAAACCTAGAAATTCAAAGATTTTAAAAAGATCAGCCAGTTATTTTCCGAAAAGGGAATATTTAGGGTCTAGAAATTTATTTGCCGGTACCATAAACGGTATAATTATATACCTGTGAACCTGGAGACCATCTCCTCCACACCTAGCAGCACTGGTGGAGATTGCCCTGTTGGAGGTTCGAACCAAGGAACCCAGCAGAGATTTAACCAACATTGTCTTTCTGTAACAACAAGATCAGTTTTATGAGAAATGCAAATTAACAAGAACAGGAAAAAAAGGAAAATACATAACATCAGATTTCCATCTCGTGTTCATCCAGTTCTTTTCCATCTTGTTCTTTTCCATCTTTTTCTTTTCCATCTTGTTCTTTTCCATCTTGTTCATTTCCATTTTGTTCTTTTCCATCTTGTTCTTTTTCATCTTGTTCTTTTCCATTTTGTTCTTTTCTTTCATATTTTCCCTCAATTTCTACAATTTCAGATTCTTCTTCTACCTCATCGTAATCTTCTTCTTGCCATCTTCGTTTTGGTTTGAACCATATATCTGATTCCTTAAGCGCTAGAACAGCTGCGTTATTTTTTGCGGCCTTTTTACTTTTCCCGGTCCCGAGGTAGCTCCACTGGTCTCCGATACTCAGTCTGAACGTGAAGTTTTTATCATTGGGTTGTCCAGTCTCCTCCACCTGGCTGAACTCGTGAGTGTGATTGGATTGCAACACTTTCTCGTTGAATATGGCCAAGGCAGGTCTCCCACCTGTATCCTTGTCCATCCAGGTGCTGGTATTGGACCGCTTCAAGGTGTCCTCCGTCGTTACATACTGAAGCTCCTGAATAATAGATGGATTGATAGAACAAGTTTAAACCTGGGGAGTATCCGTGTGAGTGGGAAGTCAAAATAAATAATAAATACAATATGCAAAAATTCCAGGATAAATTACCTCCAAACCCGGTTTCAAAAACTGTCTTTTAAAGAAGAAATTAAAAACATTAGAACACGATACGGATTCCTTTTATCTAAATCAAGATTCATTATTGATTTTTTAAATCTAATTAAAAATCTGTCAATGAAACCCTATATAGTGCAGAGGCCTTGCAACTATATATTTGCAGAGATAAAATGAAAAGAAAACACTTCTAAAGTTGTTTCCAAATTATGAATTAATTGATCTCACCTTAGGTATAGAGTATCCCTGCAGCTTCCAGGCCTCATACATTTTAAACAGTGCTAGGCTAGCGATTACTCCCCAGGGACAATGGTCTTCACTAGGTTTCCTAATCAATCAATCAATCAATCAATCAATCAATCAATCAATCAATCAATCAAAAGATGAAATAATCTAGTCAATTTATCCATCAGCTATTTTAATCTAGATTTAATATTAGAAGTAATGATGTTCATTATTGTCTAAATGTAAGGTTTAAATGAATTTATAAATTAAAGAATATTTAATAACAATCAATTTAAAATTATTTATTCATTCTGCTCTTTTATCAATCGCACAAAAAAGAACACTTTTGTGAAGATGTCAGCTGGCCCTTGAAGCCCTAACCCTCTCAACAGTCAAGATAGCGAATTCATTTCATAATATTTCCGAAAATTAAAATCAAGATTATAAGGTTAATAAATCAAACCGGTTTTCATAATTCAGTTCGCAACGATTAACGATTTCTCCTTGAATCGCAGCCTCTGCTGCAGAATTCCGGGCATCATTCTAAAAATAGTAAGTCCGTTGAAGAATAAATATTTTAGGTAGAAAATACACATTAAGATAATAAAATAAATAAAATAATGTAAATTTGGTTTATTAGGTTTATATTCGATTTCTGAAGGGTGAACAATTTAAAAATATCTTATAAAAAGTAACTTTATATATCTAGACCCAACTCAAAGAGATGCAACAAAATTAACTACGTTCATTCTTAACATAGAATAGGTGATATTTTATGCCGGAGATTAAACGATTCGACACAGCAGGCCATATTCTTGCTGGATGATCTTTAAAAAATACCACGTGCAACGCTGGACACTTGAGCTGGTATTTAAAGGGATTGTTCGCGAAAAATGAAAGGGGGTATAGGCTTAATGCGATAAAAAAGCGCTTTTGATCACTACTAATCTTACTTCTATCTGTTGCGTCAATAAGGAGAAAATTGTTAAAGACGTCTCATACCGAATAAAATGGCGTCCATACAAATTGGAAAAATTGCAACATACGACTTAGACCGTAAAAAATCAATTCAATTTCAAACAAATCATTCAGATATTACAACCTATAGTCATCGATTATCTTTCGCCACATTTGTATATATTTGGTATTTCATACTAGTTCTGATTTTGTTTTTTAAAATAATATTTAGCTTACAACTTGTTTTCGAACATTCCTGGAAAACATGAAAATGTCGTCTTCATTACCAAAAATCCTCGAAACAGGAATAAATGTTTTTATAAGTAACTCTCAGATCATAACAATTAAAACATTTTATGAAAAATCAACTATATATAAATGTGGCGATAAAGTTATTCGGTATGAGACGTCTTTAACAATTTTCTCCTTATAGACGCAACAGATAGAAGTAAGTTTAGTAGCGATCAAAAGCGCTTTTTTATCGCATTAAGTCTATACCCCCTTTCATTTTTCAAGAACACTCCCTTTAATAACGACTATATCGTCACCTTAGTTGGTCCTTCTCCTATATATTGATCAGGTCCTAGAATACAAATACAGTCAAAATTTCCAACCTAAAAATTCAATACGAGTTTAACAATTATTTCAAAAATTTGGCATAGCATTAAAAATTAAGAAAAACTGAGTATGTATTTTGTTTGGTATACCTGATCAATTCTAATATCATTAAATGATGCTCTTCTCTCTCTCTCAACCTCAGGAATATCGTAGAATTCAAATCTGAAAGAAACCTCTACAATTCCATTGTTTACAGTGATACCCCCTTTATCATAAGGGTACAAGCAGAATACAATTTAATCGAATTATTAGGTTTATATTGTTAGCCATCATGAGGTTCCGCTTAAATACACGATTTCTGGACCCCCCCCCCCCCTCCTTCCTATCTATTATGTACATGACCACTACCTTTCGGCAAAATTATTCTTATTTATTTTATATTATTTTATGGTTAGGTTAGGTCTAGCCGCAGCGTTCTGGACAGAACGCTGCGGCTAGGACAGGCTACTGGGCTAAGCGCTACGACTAGGACAGACTTGGGGGCCTGGCGCTGCGGCCACAAAACCAAAAATCGTTCTCTAGGACAGACCCAAATAAAATACCTAGATTTCAGAGTTTACTCAGTCCTACCTTGGTTTTTGTTGAGATGAAGTTGTAAGTTCTGTAAGTAAGCTGAGAGCATGTTTGGGTATAATCGCTTTCCGGAGTTTGAAGGACGCTCTTGGAACCTGAGGTGCACTTTTGACATGATTCGTAGGGTCGGAAGGATTGTGTGAGCCCCCTAAAGCCTGCGAGTTCAATCTTCTTGAACCTCTAGATGACCCGAGGTTACCCCCTCGCAAAGGTTCTCCACGGCCAAGTGGTTTTCTACGTTTGCCGATCGGTATATTATTTGGATTCATTTTAAAGCTTGTTAAAGATTAATGCAACATGAAGACTTTATGCAACTTAAAATGGAAAACTACATAACCAACTAAATGCGCAAAGTAAACAGATTACCGCGGAAAATTATTAAGTTAGGTTTCAAATCACCAACTTACCTTTCAATGTTTAAGCAATAATCAATCAACCTCGAAAATAATTTTATTTTACATTGTACGAATTGTACAGGGTGTCCCACATCAAATTAGACCGCGTCAATGGGTATAAATTAAGATTTGGGGGACAAATCAGAAAATTTAAGAAGAATGAATCATTTTGAAAAATTTAATAAGGCTAATAGAATTTTGTATTTTGTGATTTCGCGGACTCGAAAAATAAGTTTAATTCTAATTCTCAATTTTTTTCACAGAAGTCCTGAATTTAATCTGAGGTACTCTAGACATGAACCCGAATCATCTTGAATCCAAACCCTCCCATGAAGATCAGAGAGGAGTAGGGTTCAGAATAGAGAGGAGCAAGGTTCAATTTAAAGAAGAATAGGGTTCTGCAGGTTATAGAAGATGGGGTTCAGATTAGAAAGGAGTAAGGTTCAGATTAGAGAGGAGTAAGGTTCAGATAAAAGAAGAATGGCCATTCTGATTAGAGATGATTAAGGTTTAGATTAATGAGGAGTAGGGTTCAGATTACAGAGGAGTAAGGTTCAGATTACAGAGGAGTAAGGTTCAGATTAGAGAAGAGTAAGGGTCAGATTAGAGAGGAGTAAGGTTCAGATTAGAGAAGAGTAAGGTTCAGAAATTAGAGAGGGGTAAGGTTCAGATTAAGAGGACCAAGGTTCAGATTAGAGAGAATTAAGATTCAGATTAGAGTGGAGTAAAGTTAAGATTAGAGAGGAGTTTAAGGTTCAGATAAGAGAAGAGTAAGATTCAGATTAGAGAGGAGTAAGGTTAACATTAGAGAGGAGTAAGGTTCAGAATAGAGAGAAATAAGGTTCAGATTAAAGAGGAATAGGTTTCAGATTAGAGAGGAGTAAGGTTCAGATTAAAGAGAAATAGGGTTCAGGTTAAAGAAGAATAGGGTTCATATTAGAGAGGAGATTAATGAGGAGTAAGGTTCAGATTAAAGAGAAATAGGGTTCAGGTTAAAGAAGAATAGGGTTCAGATTAGAGAGGAGTAAGGTTCAGATTAGAGAGGAGTAAGGTTAAATAGGGTTCAGGTCAAAGAAGAATAGGGTTCAGATTAGAGAGGAGTAAGGTTCAGATTAGAGAGGAGTAAGGTTCAGATTAAAGAGGAACAGGGTTCAGATAAGAGAGAGGAGTAAGGTTTAGATTAGAGATGGAATAGGGTTCGATTAGAGAGAGGTAAGGTTCAGATTAAAGAGAAATAGGGTTCAGGTTAAAGAAGATTAGGGTTCAGATTAGAGAGGAGTAAGGTTCAGATTAAAGAGGAACAAGGGAAAATCTGCATCAGATCTCTGTAAACTATGTTTACAGGCAGGTGCTGAATTGCAAGGCAGAAGACAAGAAACTAAAAACCATATTTTGAATGGCTGCAAGGTTGCACTAGACCAAAAAAATATACTTGGAGGTACAAGAATCTTATTAAATATATCACTGGATTAATTGATATTGACCGATTTTTGATGTATGCCGACATCCCGTCCCATACCCTTCCGGGGGGAGGTACTGTTCCCCCACCTCTTGTGACCGCACAGAAATCAGATCTAGTAATTATTGATAGAATGGGAGAAAAGATGGATATATTTGAGCTTGCTGTCCAATAGGAAACAAATATCAAAAATGCCAACGCTCAAAAGATGAACAAGTATGAACATATCAACTAGGGATGTGTCTGTTTACCCTTTTGAAATCGGCTCAAGAGGATATATCCTTTCTCCGGATATATCTCACCATTAAATAAAACAAATCTAAAGAAACTGCATAAGTTCTGCAAACCCAGTGTTAGTTTCAACGCAATGTGCGAAAATCTATCAAGCCTTGTAGTGCTGTCATACCACATTTTTAGAAAACGAAAAACACTAGACTGGGACCAAGAAACTCTGTTTCCTTAAAAGTACCACTGAATAACTAAACTATACTCATGCTAAAAGTCTTGTATGGCACCTGTTTTTTTTTGGCAAACTCTGTCAATCATAAAATGTGATATACAGAGAAAAGGGGATTAGTATTAAATTGTAAGCCTTTATATTGTTTAATGTAATTTTGCTTTAGACAAATATAAATGATGAATATATACATTAGAGAGGAGTAAGGTTTAGATTAGAAAGGAGAAGGGGTTCAGTTTAGAGAAGAGTATGGTTCAGGTTTGAGAAGAGCAGTGTTCAGATTAGAGAGTAGTGAGGTTCAGAGAGAGAAGAGTAAGAGTTCAAATTAGAGAAAAGTAGAGTTCAGGTTAAAGAAGTATTGGGTTCGGGTTTGAGAAGAGTAGGGTTCAGGTTAGAGAACAGAAGAGTTCAGGTTAGGGAAGATTAGGGTTCAGGTTAGAAGAGATGTAGGGTTCAGGTTAGAAGAGAGTAGGGTTAAAGAAGATTAGGGTTACGAAGTGTAGGGTTTAGGTTAAAAACGAATTAAATCGAATATCTTGTTAAGAACATATTATTAAATTTTCTTTGTTCCATAGTTTTTTTCTGCTGCCCTCCTTTCTCTCTCCGAACCCGAAGGACAAAGGAAATGAGTTTTTGCCACAACTTTTAATTTTTCAATCCCTTTATCTTTGCATCACTTTGTCGCTGACCTTTGATATTTCAAACTTTGAATTCTGTTGGATCAAATAGTCTGAGTTGAAATATTAAAGATTTGCATCATCAGGTAGCAAAGATATAGGGGTGAAAAAATTTGAGCTTTTGGCAAAAATTTTGTTTCTTTAATTATCTTGTCAGAAATGTAATTTTTGCACCAAGGTCATCAGATGTGCATTGTGAGTTAAATAAGGTTATTATTATCTACATCCATGACCTCCATTGGCATACAACACTTCTTTTAACAATATTCCTTTTTTTAAACTAAACTAATTATCTCGCATCTTATGGAGTACAATAAACAAATATTAATTTTGTTTATTAATTCATGTTTAATTTAACGCTGGTTCATTGTTTGAAGACATTTTTTACACAAAATTTTAACGTTTTACCTGCAAACTTTATATTTTAACATTAGTTCTCTGGGTTTCCAGTTTTCCACCCATATATCGTCCAATGTCCAGTTTGTATGTATTTTACGTTTCTAAGGGCACCACGAGCTTTCCCTATAAACCAACTTCGCTTTCATTAATTCATAGTAGAAAATAGATTGTAGATCATATACAACACACGTATAATTTATTTTATAGCTTGATATAAATACGATAAAAAGAACTCAGTGAGGAAAGGGGGGTATTTAAATTTCTAGGCGCCTAGAAAAAAATATATAGAATGGGAAAAGAAGATTTTAATGGTTCCAGGAAACCGAATTTATCATTTGGCCAAAATTACAAACGTGATTTGAAACATATACAGACATTTCAGTTTTTTTTCAGAGACATATCTCACAAGGGTGGGCCCCGGGTGAACGCCCTGTATCCTTGTATCTCTGTATCTCTGCATCTATGAATCTCTGTATCACTATACCTATATATGCATATATCTCTGCAGCTCTGTATCTTCAGTGGTAGGCGATTATATCAATACAATATTTAAGTTTTTATTGTTTACAAAGCTTTTTTCGAATTACAAGTAATCAAAGAGAAGCATTTTTAACGACAGCTTCTCTGTTTTCTTGTTTATGTGTATCAATGCTGTTTAAAAGCTTTGATACAAATCAAAATTTAAATCAAAAGTCGTCTTCATTGTATTGATTTACTCGCTTACCATTGTATGTATCTCTGTATCTCTGTATCTCAGTATCTCTATATCTCTGTATCTCTGTATCTCTGTATCTCTGTATCTTTGTATCTCTGTATCGTTGTATCTCTGTATCTCTGTATCTCTGTATCTCTGTATCTCTGTATCTCTGCAATATATTAAAAACTGCGGTGTTAAAGACTTAAAATTTGATTAGTTCAATTCCTCATAAATAAAGTATCACCAACAATGTTTATTTTTCACTAACATAAAAAAGTTTCCCCTCATACTTCCCCGCCTTTAAAAATTGTGCACTTGCTTATTTGAAAAACTGTTAAATATTTAGATGCATGAAAATGGGATCCCGTGGAACACAACGAAAAAACGCGAATTTTAATAGGTACAACGGAATTGAGTCTTTGCCACAAACTCTGCTTTTCTAATCCCTATAACTATGCGATTAAATGTTCACTAGTTTCAGTATGAAATAAATATTGCCATTTACTGATAGCGGCGATTGAAGGATTCATAACTCTGATAATTTGGATAATCAGATAGATAGAAAGATAGATGTTACCGCCATACTATTTCTATGGTTCAGAAAAGACAAAAACACATGACTGAACCCTGATTGGATCAGGCGCTAATGGACTCGGCATACAGGAGTGTGTCGTAGACCTTAGATATGTTAAACTATGAATTCTGTCAGATAAATTAATCAAAGTTTGAAATATCAAAGGCCTACACCATAGAGATTAGCTTTGAGTTTGTGGCAAAGACTCAATTCCTTTATTCTTTTTCTATGATGATATATGAATTTGACATTATTTGAATTCCCCAAGATTGACAGTACTTGCATACCAAAAAACCTAGTCTTTTTGTATTTTATACTTTTTTGTTAATCTATGTTTGTATATTGTATATTTGGTGTATTTGGTTCTCTCTATATTTACATTGAGACAGTATTTTTATATCTTCAGTAAAAAGCGAAAACATTTAAAAAGATACTGTATAAATAAAGTAAATGTGCTTGCCATGTTACAAATACGTTTTTCAACAATGTATATTTTGATATTTGAATGATATGGATTATTTTGTAGGAACTGATTACTGATTCATATTCTAGTTTATAAACCCTTGTATTTTTTAAACATGACGTTTTAAACCGTTAACTATAAAATTTGTTAATCAAACAGTTAAAGTTTTAAATATCAAAGGCTTACGCCTTTAATATCATATAAAATTACAGATCTAGGATTACTCCTCCCTCAATATCATATAAATATATTGATCTAGGATTACTCCTCCCTCAATAACTGATAAATATATTGATCTAGGATTACTCCTCCCTCAATATTATATAAATATATTGATCTAGGATTACTCCTCCCTCAATATTATATAAATATATTGATCTAGGATTACTCCACCCTCAATATCATATAAATATATTGATCTAGGATTACTCCTTCCTCAATATCATATAAATATATATTGATCTAGGATTACTCCTCCCTCAATATCATATAAATATATATTGATCTAGGATTACTCCTCCCTCAATATCATATAAATATATTGATCTAGGAATACTCTTCCCTCAATAACTGATAAATTTCATGAAAAGGATTCCTTCTGTGAGGAATTAAAAACTAGGAAAAGAAGAAATAAAAAAGCATTCTAGACAGGGGCGTCAATAAGGATTTTTTTGGGGGGGTAAATTTTAACATTTTGCGCGGGTAGCACACCGTTTTTTTAACCCCCTAGAATTTTTTTACTCCTCCTTAGACCATGTACAATCCCATTCATGATGTATATCAAATTATGGGTTTTAGCTGGGTTTCATTTCAATTTCTTAATCATTTCTGGGATTAACAAACTCTATCAAATAAAGGGCTTTCTTTACCACCTTTCTGCTTTCACCTTTCTTAATTTATACCTTGAAGGTTGTCCATTATAAATTGAGACTTTTTAAACAGCTTTTAAAATAGAAAATTCACCAAAATGAAAAATCCGCGATGATCAGCCACCTATGCCCTGCGGGAACTTAGTTGCATTGTTTTAAAGAATATTCATCATTAGCTTTAAGGGCCCATCTTCTTTTTCATTTCTTAACATTTTCTCTTTGAATACATGATAAAACAAAATTATCAAAAAGAGAAGTGGATGAAAATGCTTTTTTGGTAGGTTCTACATCAAAAACTACCATGCCAATTATAATTTATATTTTTCCCCGAAAGTTGAATATTCAAAGTTTTTAGACCAGTTTTGAAATCTTCAAAGTTTTAGACAAGTTTTAAAATATTCAAAGTTTTTAACTTTTAAAAGGGTCCACAAGAGTCTGAGATGTAAATCCAATAATTTTAAAATTGCAGATATGACAAGTTTGCTTTTGTTACATTATGCAAATTTTATTCTATTAATTTTATTAACAAAAACAATTTTTTGACACGATTAGAAAATTGTTTTTTGTTTTTGTTTGGAAAAATCGTTTTGATCTAAATTTTTGATTAGAGCAAAAAAATTGCATAAAGTAATAAAAGCAAACTTATCGAGATTAAAATGTTTCAGTTTGAATAATAATTTAAATTTTTGTGAAACACTTTTAATGTAAATAAACCTAAATGTCTCAAAATAATCATAAATAGCGACAAAACAAATTATTTTTTTAAACCTTTTGATTTTCCTGCAGACCCTGGATTTTCCTCCAGACCCTGGATTTTCATCCGAATCCTCAAATTTACATTATTTAGATTTTTAACAGTTGAAATTTTAGAATATATTCTTTAACATTTAAAAAATAGAATTTTGAATTTTGATATTTCTAATCTGCAAAGTGAACAAGAAGAACCCTACAGAGTGATGTCTTCCAACAAAAAGACAAGTTCAGATTCAGAATTTAGGAATTTATTTCTGACATTTTGAACATTTCTTAAAGGGACCGTTCACTTATTTGGGTAATTTCAGGGTAAACTAAACAGCTATTTACAATTAACGATTAGTTACTACAGTTTAGTTTTATATTTGAAATTTATTTTGATCCTCAACATATTGACAAAAACAACAAATAGTGTATATGACAAAGGTACCATACCTTTGCGCTCAAATTCTGAACAAAAAATCGGTTTTTTTTTGGCCAAAGTTGTCTTTGAAAATTAAGACCAATACCAATCAACAGCGAATAGGCTGTTTAGTTTACCCTGAAATTACCCAACTAAGTGAACGGTCCCTTTAAAAATACTTAATGCTAATTATATTAACTAGATTTAAAGATTAAAATCAAATTTAAGTGTAAATTGTGACCTGTATGAAACTATATGAAACTGCAGAAAAGAAAGATGAACGATGCTATTCTAAAAGATGCTGCAAACGTAATTTCAAGTGATCCTCTTTTATAGTGTGGAATGTCTGATTCACAACGGTACCCCCTAAACCTTTATCTTTTAATTAATGTGGTAGAATAGTCGTTTATTAGTATGAAAAGTGTTTAATTCTCACAAAATCCTCAACTGTTTCTGTAGCTTTTAAGGATACTGTTGTGATTTGGACAATAGGGCAAACCACTCATACAAATAATTGAAAGATCATTTAATTCTTATACGTCTATACAGAACCTTCCAGTTAGGATTTAAAAAGAGCGTGAAACAATAGCAATCAAGTGTAATGAATAAAACAGGCCAATTTATCTTGATAAATTGATTTTGAAGCTAAAACTAATTCTATTTGCTTTTAAACACATCAAATGAACTTAGGATTGCTTCAATGTCGTCTTCCTATTCCACTGTTTTAAGGGTCACACTGTAAAGTAAACTGATTTTCAGCCATAAACATGTATCTTTAGAAAAAACTTCTTTTCTTGAGATCTATTATACAGAAAGAATGTTTTGAATGAACAAAGGTAACTTTGTCATAGATAATATTGTCAAAATAAAACATTTCCATTAAATATTTTAGTTAGAAAGGAATCCCGTTAAAAAATTTAAAATTCATTTAAATTTAAGATTCTCTGAAGAAAAACGTACTGCAAGGCCTGAGACAAACAGGGATGACAAGAACAAAATGTTTTCAACAATATTTTTACATCCCATAGTCATGAAAATATTTTATTTGACAGTCATGAAAAGATATTCAACGAATTTAATTAAATCGCTTGGAAATATTTCCTGTAAAATACAATATTTTCTTTGAATTGACTGTAAACGTATAATGTCAGGCGAGTCTCTATTAAAGGAGTGGTATGCCCGATATACAACGATACTCTTAACTGCTTTGTCTGAACAAACATGAATTCGATAAATATCAAGTCTTTTTCGTAAAACTGATTATTTTTAATTGTGGTTTCTCCGTAAAAGGAACTTGCGTAGTTTTCGCTTTAAAACAACTGACCGGTTTTCAAGCTTGAAAAATTATTTCATCTTCCATATTAATGCTGTGAATCGGGTATGCCCTCCTTTTTTTACAAAAAAAAGGTCACTTAAAATTACGACAAAAATTCCTTTAAAGACTTGAATGAATGATGAATCCATGAACAAACTAGGTAAAATAAAACTTCCAAAAATTATTATTGCATGGTTTTGATAAATATTTTTAATGAATGTAAAATGCAATGACATCTTATTCATTAAAACATTAAAATCATTTTTAAATTTAGTAATACCGTTGGAAAGATATTCTTAAGATTGCGGATTCAATACCTCACTATAATTTCAGTAGAAGTAAATATTTCCATTTACTGTTATAGCGCCGGTATAAGGATTTATCTCTAATTTGATAATGAGCTAGATAGAAAGATAGATGTTACCGCCATGCAATTTCTATTGCTTCAGAATAGACACCAAACACATGGCTGAACCCTGATTGGATCAGGCGCTAATGAACTCGGCATACTAGAGTTACGAGGTCGCAAGGTACCTTGCGACCTCGCAACTTCTAGAATCTTGTTTTAAATCAAGAGTTTATGTTTTTGCTGAAACCTTTACGATTAAAGTAAACTATTCGAATTTAAGGCTATGTTAGAGGATGCGAAATTTACAGCTAAAGCGAGAGCTTTAGTTTAATGGGATGAAAGTCATAAATTTATATAATAAAGTTATAAAATTAATATAAATTTGAAACATGTTTATGAAGTCGTGAAATTCATATTGAGTGGCTAATATTGAAATGAACAAAAATGTTTTAAATTTCTTAATAAGTTACTGGATAACTTTGATTTTCTCATACGTTTGGAATAAATCTATGCCACGAGATCACAAAGTCCCATCAGTATTTTAGCTTAATTTTGACGTTTTCCTTCTATCTAGTTCTCTGAGTCTTTCTGTAAATTGAATTTAATTCTTTTTTTTAAGTCTAGATATTTATTATCTCCGTATCGAGATTATTTAAATTTAATTCTAAAAAGACATAAAATATGAATTTAAATTTCTTAAAAGAATTTAATTTGATGATTTATGTAAGAGGAGTTTTTTTCTGGTTAAATAATAAATTAGTAATTACAATTATCAAGAATAGAATATTTCTCTATTTTTTCATGAATAAATTTGTAGCGGGGATTCTGGATCCGGCTCTAGTGGAACTATTAGTATAATATCCAGGTATAGAATATATAATATCCAGATATAGAATATTTACAATATCCAGGTATAGAATATATTATATCCAGGTATAGAATATTTATAATATCCTTGTATCGAGTATTTATAATATACAGATATAGAATATTTATAATATCCAGGTATAGAATATATAATATCCAGATATAGAATATACAATATCCAGGTATAGAATATATATAATATCCAGATATAGAATATACAATATCCAGGTATAGAGTATTTATAATATACAGATATAGAATTTATGTAATATCCAGGTATAGAATATATAATATCCAGATATAGAATATATATAATATCCAGGTATAGAATATATATAATATCCAGGTATAGAATATATAAAAGGGAAGAAACATCCTCCTGCCGGCGCTCTAGTTTCCCGACCAGGCACAGGGAGCTTGACAACTTAAAGCCTTGGAGCCGAACTTGGCATGGTACCAACAAAAGGACGGTGAAACTGGACGGCGAGAAGGAGCTGCAGGAGTCTGAGAACGGCGGGAAACTGGACTAGAAGTTCTCCGAGAGCGCTGATTACGGCGGTTCTGTCTAGAATGAGGAGTACTGACAGCATTCACTGAGTCCAAAGCGTTTACCGACGAATTAGAAGACAAACTACTCCGGTAAATCTCGTCTGCACGTTGAGAGAGAACTGCGATATCGGCGGTTTTATCGTGAACTAAATGAGACCTGACATCAGCTGGAAGTTGCCTCAAAAACGCGTACCGCAGGAACAAACACTCCTGATGTTCTGATGGAAGGAGAGCCCTCATCCTGGATAAGAGAGCTGAAGGGAGCATATCTCCAGACAGAGGAAGTGACATGATCGATTCACAACGTGCATAATCCGTCAGAGAGTGTGTCTGTAAAAGACGAGACCGCAAAACACCATAAGGATCGGCAGTAGGCGGGCTCCGTATTATATCTACAACATTATCTATCTCGTTCTGGGGTAGAGATGCCACTACATGATGGAACTTGGTGATACTGTTGGTGATATTCTTGAGGTGGAACTGGGACTCAGCGTTGATGAACCAGGATTCGCAGCTGTCAGGCCAGAAAACAGGCAGTTTCAGAGCAACTGCATAGAGCTGGCTGGGAGAGGAATCTAACTGGTTTGACGCGCCTGTGCTCAAAGCTGGATCTCCAGGCATCGTGACGCTGAAAAAGAAAGCACTGTCGAGCTAGGTTTTTGCTTACTGTGATAGCCTGTGGAGAAAACAGGGAGGCTGGTTCACTTTTCAGCCGAAAATAATACTAGCGAGCAAAACAGGACACTAACTCAAAACACTGAGTTTTAGGTGGAAAAATACAACGCGGTGGGTTGTTTAACTTTGGACTTATAAAGAAACGTATTCACTAGTCCAGGGTCACCAATTTGGCGGAGAGCAATAAGACGAGGGTTTAAATAACGACTAACTATATTTTTTATATAAAGTTACAAAGTTAGAAAATATATATATATCTCGTGGCTTCTAGAAACTCCCCTATCCTTCTCCTTGCCGCGAGAAGTTCTTCAAGGAAAGACGACTTTCATAGCCGCCACACAGGTATAGAATATATATGATATCCAGGTATAGAATATATAAAATATCCAGGTATAGAATATATAATATCCAGGTATAGAATATTTATAATATCCGGGTATCGAGTATTTATAATATACAGATATAGAATATTTATAATATCCAGATATAGAATATATATAATATCCAGGTATAGAATATATATAATATCCAGGTATAGAATATATATAATATCCAGGTATAGAATATATAACAGGTACGGAATCCGTATGATATACAGGCCCTGATTTTTTCTCCATTTACAAAGTTTTTTTTTATTTTCAACAATTTGACTGGATTAAAAATATGAAAACGAAACAAACAAATATTTTATTTTCAGATTATCTGAAATTGGGAAGCGGCGAGATGGCAGCAGATCAACCTTCACGGTCAACCTGCCCCCTCCAGACATTAACACTAAAATTGGTATTTTTCAAATATTAACTTTTTAAAAATACATAGAAGACCCAAAGTTTTTACATTAAAAACACAACTAAGTCAATTTTTGTCAACTTTTTGTTACAAAACCGGGTTTTCTGGTAAATTTCGTAGATTTTAGAAAAACTTTCCTGTTGAATCTACTCTATTTCAGTTCAGCAGGAAGATGAATGTTTACTTTTTGTTTAGCTTGTCAAAAAGTTGAGATGAATTATTGTTTAGATCTGACTGCTCAGCTCATGGGAGACTTATCTCCTTTATCCTTCACATCGTCTACAAACTCAGGAACCAGGTGAACGGAATATAAACAACAAAAACGGGGCATTCTAATCTTTCTTGCGCATGATCTTAAAAAATTTCCACGTGTTTAGGCATCTGCGTAAAATTTCTAAAGTTACAGGAGGCAAAACAAGAACAACACAAGAAGATCTAGCTCAGGAAATTAATAACAAAAAAAACTTTTTATTTACAATATAGAAAAAAACTTTTTCATAAATTCATCAAGAAAATGAATGTTATAAAGATATTAGATTATATTCAAAACTTAAGGTTAAGGGACAAATCATATTCTAGAGAAGCATAAAAATAATTTCAGTTTCTAAGCACCCTAACAACTTATAACTAACTTATAACTTGCTTCAAATTCTAGTTTGCTAGTCTCTCCTTTTTTCTATCAGATGTCATGGAACTTTGAATGTTTTAAACAATCAATTCTGCTAAATTATAAGAGTTCAAAGTTTGATATATCAAAGGTTTAGACAATCAAGTTACAAAGATATAGTGATCAGAAAAGTAGAGTTCCTTTGCTACTTTTTACTTGATTTGATGGGTGCAGAAGCTTAGACATCTGATCCTGTTCTCTCTCTGTAGAGATCAAATAGACGGGGTCTCGGTGAAGATTATGTAGCTCTTCGTCCTGACATATATTATATAATATATATGTATATATCAATGATTCGCAACAATCTTCTTATAACATTTTATTCATAAACACAATGTTTCATACTTTATGCAATCATCAGTATTGTATATGTATATCGTATACTTGAGTTCACCTTAGAGTTAGATTAAATTCAGGTTTCTAGAATTTTCTAGTTTTGTAGATAGTTGATTTTGGTAGAGACAACACGGTTACTTAAAAACATTTTCATTACTTTTTGATGGTATCAGATTCATAGCGTATTATGATACTTCTAGTTACTCACGGGCAACCATAGTACATTTGAATTTCCGAGCCGGTTCAACCTTTTTGGTCCCAGTTTGTACTGTATCGCCCTGACATTGGGTAAATAAAGCAGACACTCGATAGGACTAGCCGGTGCAACAAGGTTGACGCGATCTGAATTTAGTTTAAATTTACTTTTACTTAAGGGTCAGAAGTGCGTTAACTGCTATTAGTGAAGCAGTGTCCGAATTTAATGAATTTGAGCCGCGGCATACATCTGCCAAAAACCGGATTCAATTGAGCGCCGGCTTAAATCTTAAAAAATTGAATACAATTTTATGTGGAACCAACCATAATTGAGTCCCGGCTTAAATTCAAGCTGCGGCTTGAATTCTTTAAATTCGTCCTCAGGTTGATTTTAAACAACTGAACCATATCAAATCTTTTACGTTTAACACTTAGGGTACACAGATTTGGTTCGTGTAATTCTCTGCTGTACCTTTTCAAGCAGCTCAAGGTCTCCAAAAACCATGGACTCCAAACCGGAAATTCAAATTCAAAATGGCATTGTTTATGAAGTTGCAGAAAAGTATGTTTGTCTCTGCACATAAAAACCATGAAATTCTGAGATAGGACAGAATGCAAGCTCTGCGAGCTCCTTACTACATATCTGAAGGGTTTACGAATTTTATCTGACATAACTTCTGTATCCCTTCATAGGCTTCTATAGATTGGGGTTCTCTCATCTCTATTCCTCTTAGATTGAAAACCATGATTATTTCTTCCTAGTCATACATCATCAAGTACTTCATATTTTGGGACATGTCATGACTCATACCATTTATCCGGTTTAGAAGGTCATTCATTTATTTTTGCAACCTCTACAGATCATTATCTGTGTTTAGTTACCCAAAATAATGTCATGGTCACTTTTTTTAACGAACTTGTCCTTTAACAGTTTTAACCATTCATTAATGGTGGTTGTTTCGGGGTCTACAAATTTTAGGAATAAAATTCTATTAACTGTTATTAGTTTTAAATTTACTAGCATATACTGAAAGAAGATACCATTGTAATTTAGAAACAAAGATCTATTGTTTGGTTTCCAAGAATTAAATATATGCCTGAAAGGCGTCTATTGGTTCAACGAAAATTAATTAGCGCTAGTGAACAATTACTAAGATATTTTGGAAGTGTTCTATAGAAATAGGAAATTCTGATATTTTAGTTTAAGCATTTGCGCAAAATCTTGAAACTTTATTAACCGGAATTGAGCTGCAAGGGGAGGGGGTCAATTTCCAAGAACATAAAATAAACATCTACAACTATAACGCAATGATCAGAGCAATCTCATTTTTTCATATTTATTAATACAAATTGTTTCGGATTGCTCATCTTCAGTCAATAAACATGGTTAACTATCTATATATAGTATACATGTAGCATTATCTGCTGCCAGTCCGGTCATCTATATTCACCGTATTAATAAAGTAGTAATGTATGAAACGTTGATTTAAACGGACGTGTACAGAGCCTTGAGTTTTGGGCTAGAGATAGAGTCAGAGAGACTAAATAAGAATAAGAGTCGAGTAATCTCGGGACCTAGATTTATCACATACATATATTACCAGCATGGGAACCCAGTTTGCCTGGATACTAAACCGTTTACTCCATGAGGAACACCAACTTAACTTACTTAAGCCTCGTTCAGAACATTTCCTTTATTTTATCAAGTTCCACAAGTAAAATGTGAGACAACAAGAGGTTCATAGGTCGTTATCAGACATACAAACAGACAAACAAATACAGATTTATTCTTTTGTATTAATACATTTCATTTGTTATTTAAATTTTACCTGAAGGCGGTACTGGAGGGAAACCTGAGAAAAATAGAAGAAATTATTGATGTTTTCATCGCAATGAATGGACCTAGGAAAAAACCTAAATTTTAGCCTTTTTGCATAATTTGATTGGTATACACTTTACAGTATACAGGGGTCATGTGGAATATAAAGACGACATTGTAGCCATACCTGAGCTTATTTTATGATTTCACAAAGCAAATAGTTTTACCAGTAACGTATCAAACCAGTTATTTAGTTAAATGTGTCAGTTTAAACTGCACAATTGTTTCGTCTCTGCTTCATTTGACTATTGAAAGTCATATTTGAGTCAAAAGTAGTCTTTCTATTCCATAGTATTCTGGTTTACTGTAAAAAATGCAATATTCATTGTTTATGTATTCATCCTCTAAAGATTAAAAAAACATATAAAAACAATATTTCAAAGTTTGAGACATTTAAAATTCTGAGATTTTTAAACATCAAGGGACTTCAAAAAAGTATTTTTTTCACACTTGCAACGAAATCCAATCGAAATCTCTACAAGTGTGTAAACCTTTATGATTTCAAACTTCGAATTTTTAATTTAACAAAATTCATAGTTTGAAATTTGTTTTTGTTGTATTTTTTATCTAATTATGTAAATGTAAACATCCCAATATTGCCACCTAAATGGTTGAATGCAAGACTGTTTAAAGGGACATATAGACGTACTTCCAGATTCTCGGAATCAAACTTTTAGTTTGGAGAACAAGGATATCTTCGTCAGCATTAAACAAAGGTTTAAAGAGCACCTTTTGACATTCGTCATACCACTCTACGATTTTAGGGTCACTTGAAATTAGGCTTTCACAGTCCCTCTAATGTTATCTATCTATTAATGCTTATGATTTTTAAACTATTTTGGTTTTCTGTATAAAGCGGACTGGACATTGTGCTAGGATACAGATATGATTATGATACAACAAAACAAATAATTCAATCTGTTCATACATTTTCACATTTTAATCAGGTAGATTTACTTTATAATCCCTAAATATTTGCAACCTTTATTGCTACATTCCAAACAATCACTTCTTACTTGGAGTTATATAGAAAATTTTAGTAAAAGAAACTTACACGGATTTTTCAATTGTCAAGAGATGTCGAGATTTTTTTTACAAGATATCCAAATCTTCTTTTATTAGGAGAGTTGTGAGAAGTACACAATGAACTTGAGTGTACTCGGCCTATGCTGTATATTTGATGCAGAGCATGTGATTTCTCTTCTCTCCCTCTATGGAATATTCAGGATAAAAGGAAAATTTCAATTTCTAATAACAATAAACCGCAAATTGGACTTTGCATTTTTTTCTAAATTCTTTCAATGCAACAATATGAAAATCTACAATTTACTGCAAATGTTTTGCATTGAAATAGTTTAAGATATAAAAAAAATTTGAAATATTGTCGGAAAATAAAAAGTTCTGAATGAGTTTATTTATTTTTAAAGATTGAAATCCTTTTAAAGAATTGTTCCATGCCCCTCAGTTTCCTTTACACACTGCTGCTATGTACGGATCCATAGGATGCATTAAGATCCTAGAAAAACTTGGTAAATGAAAATATTTATGTATAGTAAACAACCAATTATTTTCCTATTTAATTTACTGGCAGCAATTAGTTGGATTTAAAAATTTATATGTTCGGAAAACAAGAGTATAAATATATATATTTGAAATATTGGAAACATATAGATATATATTTGAAATATTGGAAACATTTAGATATATATTTGAAATATTGGAAACATTTAGATATATATTTGAAATATTGGAAACATATAGATATATATTGGAAATATTGGAAACATTTAGATATATATTTGAAATATTGGAAACATTTAGATATATATTTGAAATATTGGAAACATATAGATATATATTTGAAATATTGGAAACATATAGATATATATTTGAAATATTGGAAATATATAGATATATATTTGAAAAGTTTGGTAAAATCATTTATTTGAAAAGCTAGGTTTTAAAATTTATATTTCAATAAATCTCTTTCCCTGGAATTTCAAAATGAAACCAGAATTTAAAACATTTTTCTTAAGGAATTTCAACATTTAAAAGAGGGGTTTAAAAGAAACACAAACTTCGCTAATACAACTTTAAAGGGTCGTTACCCCCCCCCCTCCTTTTTTAGGGCGCTTCACGCCCCCTTTGTATTAACAATTTTAGCTTTGCACTCTGAGAGTAACCATTTTTAATTGTTCTCAAATTTCACGAATTTCTGTTTTTAAATTGATGCATTTTGAAAAATTATGAATTCCTACATTTTTTCCGGGAAAAATTGTTCAACTTTGACCAGCAAATAAACCTTCTCTAGCTAGGGTCATGTGCAAGTTGCCTCAAAAATGTAGGGTTCAATCGGTTCAGCCGTTTTTTACATTTATTAGACACAAACAAACAAACGGACAAACAGACAGACAAGCAAAGTATATAGATAAAGAAGCAGGAATCTCTGTTTGTTTGTTTGGATGTCCGACTACAGCTCATGAACCCATTGACTGATTTGCCTCAAACTTTGATTGGGGAACTCGGTAGAGCCATGGGAACGTTCTTAACTTGGTTCAAACATTCTTAGTTGAGTGAGTTAACTATTATAGAGAAAGTTTAGTTTCCAGCCAATACTGGGTTCCAAGGGCGTATACAGAAATAAATCCCGGGGGGGGGCAAATATGCGCGAAGCGCAAAAAAACTTTCCCCCCCCCTTAAAAGCTCCTATGAAGAGGCAAAATTTAATATGTACATTCAATTTTCAAAACATTTGGCTTCTTGGATATCAGGAAAAAGTATAAGATACTTTAAAGGCTAATTACCTATATCTAGATTTTCTCATATTTCTGTTAGTATTTATACTGAGATAGTAAAATGAAATTCTCTCAACTCAACTCTGTGAAATTAAAAAACGGAAAATTAGGTTACAGCAATGCAATAATATATATATTTTTGTCACACCTCTCCAACCCCCAATTCAGAACGACATCAGCAAACTAATTTTTTTTTATGTTCTTCACTCTTCAGTTTAAGATTTGAAAAGTGTGATAGCTCTGAGTTCTAGGAGGAGGCACTGCCCTCTTGCTGTATACGCCTTTGTACACCCATACTGGGTTCCCAAGCTAGTTTTATTTTATGATAAGCTGAGACGGTTTGTTTTCTCCAGGAGTAGATTTGGATATGGTTGGATACAGGGGCGAGACTGCTCTACATACAGCTGCTAGAGATCTTAACGAAGATGCCATCTTTACTTTACTGAAACTAAAGGCTGACCCTAATATCCAGGTATATTTTCGGCTAAATCTCAAAATATTAAAAAGAAACATTGATGGTTAAAAATAGAGAATGGTACTAAAATTATTAAGATTAAAAAAGAACACAGAATTAATAATTTCCTCATAAATAAAATGAAAAATTTGAAAGAGTCTTCTTGAACTCTAAACTAATTTTTATAGTGGGTTCAACGAAAGCTTTAAAACTTAATACTGGGGGATCCAAATAACTTTTGGACATCTTAAGATTCAGAAATTAATATTAGGAATCAGAAAATTTGAATTATTCAATATGGCCACCATTATTGGCAAGGCACTTTAATGCTCTGCCTCTGACATCCAGGATTTCTTTTCTTAAAAATGCAGAGAATGATGGAAGGCTCTAGTTTATGTAATTTGATCCGAACTTGTTAGTATATCTATATCAAATGTGTTCAAAATCGTCAAAATGTGTCCAAAATATGGCTACCACTACGTTTTTTGAGTCATTATCGTTGTCTACTTATATAGCCCTAAAATAGTGTATATAATATCACCAAATACAAGTATATAAATATTCCTACTGTAGGATGACACCCAACGAACCCCCCTGTTTTACTGCATTAACAACTATGGATGTTTAAAAACCTTGGTGCAATTCGGAGCAGACTTAAACCATGCAGACAGAGAACGCAAGACCCCCATACATTTAGGTCAGTTTCTAGTTCAAAAACTTGGTTCTGTTTCCTATACGACTTCAGAACAGAGATTATCTATTCTCTTTGCTTCTTTAAAGGGAGTGTTCGCGAAAAATTAAAGGGGGTATAGACTTAATGCGATAAAAAAGCGCTTTTGATCGCTACTAATCTTACTTCTATCTGTTGCGTCTAAAAGGAGAAAATTGTTGAAAACTACTAATACCGAATAACTTAGCGCTCATACAAATTGAGAAAATTGCAACATACGACTTAAACCATAAAAATTCAATTTTTATTTCAAACAAATCATTCAGATATTACAACATATAGTCATCGATTATCTTTCGCCACATTTGTGTATAGTTTATATTTTATAATATTTTTTAATTAATTTGTTTTGAATTTGATTATTTCTCTTGTCGCTTGCGCAACTATCTAAGAATGCCGCGGACCACTCACAGTTATTTTTAATCAGTTAAAACGTTTTCTAAAAAAATAAAATATTATAAAATATAAACTATATACAAATGTGGCGAAAGATAATATATGACTATGGGTTGTACTGTCTGAATGTTTTGTTTGAAATTAAATGGATTTTATACGGTCTAAGTCGTATGTTGCAATTTTCTGATTTTGAATGGGCGCTAAGTTATTCGGTATGAGACGTCTTTCACAAGTTTCTCCTTATAGACGCAATAGATAGAAGTAAGATTAGTAGCGATCAAAAGCGCTTTTTTATCGCATTAAGCCTATACCCCCTTTTATTTTTCGAGAACACTCCCTTTAAGGTTATTTGGCTTTGAAGACAACACAAAATAAGGTTCCAAGTTGCAACATTTTGAAACTATATTTTGTAAAAAATGAAGGATTTGTATCCTAAGGAAAAAATAAAAGAAATAAAAGAACCAAAAAGTATGGTTTTAAAACGGTGGTTTTTGGTTGGTTTTTGCATGTATATTCTCTCAGGATTAAAGTTTCGGAAAGTGTAAGTAGAGCAATTACATATTTAGAATAAACAATTTTGAAAGTAAGGTTAGCATACAAATTTGTGTATAATTATTATAAAGTTCTATACATATCATTTTGATTTTAATGCTGGGAGATCTTCAATATTTGTAAATTATCATTAATTTTTTAATCAACTTAATTTAGTTCGAGATAAAGTTTGTTTGGTTTATTTACTGGAAAGTGGAGCAGACCCAAAACTCAAGGATTCACAGGAGCTCACCCAAACCAAACTTTACCTCAAAAGATACAGTGATACCCACACAGAATGAGCCAGTAAAGACTTAAAACTCTTTAAATATGACTATCCCTCATAATTTGCCAAATAAAGAAACAAGCTTTTTTTTGCATGGAATCTCGATGTAATTCTGAATCAGAAAAAATTACGCTATGAGCACATTTTGCCTCTTTGATTTTTTAAAGATTTTTAGTTGTGTTAGAATCCATAAAAAATTGAAAATTGTCAAATGTTCGCAGTCAACATTCTGGAATTCCATGTATAAAAAGAAAGAAAATCTAAAAATTTAATAAGTCCATAAAATCCCCCCTAGAAATACGATCACTCCGTATACAAGTGTACAGTGTTAGATACGAAAACATATCGTGATGTACACAACCGACCACGTTAGAAGGACACTGTTGTGACTCAGACATGCCTGAACTTCAGATTTTGCTTGATTTTGCAAAATAATTTGGTTTGGTTTAAAACCAGGGAGGTGATGCCATCCATAGATTCCTTGAAGTAAATGTAGATCTTCTCACAGCACTCCTGGATTTCTACATCACCTCGTCTACTACTGGAACAAGCAAGGGACTAGAAGGCAGGCGTTTAACCAATTCTAAATCAGTCTACTCAGCACTAATAGAGTTTAACGAAACTTAAATATTTAAGACCGGAAGCAAATAATAAATGTCAGGTTTAACAATTCTAAACATTTTTTTTTTCATCTAAATAGTTTTTGTTTATTTTTTACTCATATTTGTTATCAACAAAAATTCTTTTGTTATATAATATATTTTCCCTAGCAGAATTGTAATTCAATCTAAAATGGTAAAACTTTAGTTTTAACCAAATATTATTGGACATTTGTTATATTATGACAATATATATTTTTTTCAGTTTCCTTACAGTTTGGAGAATTTGTATCCCCTGATTCAAACCTAGAAAAAGGTAAACAAAATCGAGAAAAAACTTAAATCGATAATTTTCCAGTTTTAAATATTCGAAATAAAGAATTTTACGTTTAATAAGCTGGAGTAAAGTTTAAATATGCTTTTGGAACTTTTGAAAGGATTATTATAATAAATTTTTGCCATCTTTTTTACCCTGATATTTGAGATTTTTTTCTCCCCCCTATTTGAAACAGCGAAATTAAATGATTGCATAAGTCATGGTTTACTTTGATTAACAACTAACAATCATCAATACTTTAGGTTTAGAGTTGGCCATTACAGCAGTATCTGAGGAGAAAATAGAACTCCTTAAACATCCAATCATAGAAACATTAATTCATTTTCATGATACTTTCGCTGGAAGAACATTCAGGTTATATTTAAGGGACAAGCATACGCGTAGTTTCAAGTGACCCTTCATGCAAAGATGGCAATGCCCTATTTACAATGCCTTAAAAGCTTTGTCTGATCAAGTATGAATTAGACATCGATGTTTTTTGGTTTTTAAAACTTTTTATTTTCATTTTTATGTAAAAGTTTTTCTTTGCTTTGTCTCATGATTAAGTCTAAATTAGATATCCATCTTTTACTTTGAACTGTTTATTTTCATTTTTGGTTCCTCTAAATTAATTACTTTAATTGTCAGAAAACGAATGTGTCTTCCACATTTTTGATCAGATTAAGGTAAAAGAGAACCGTTGCAAATCGGGCATTGCCATTGCCACCTGAAATTACGCTTAAAGTCCCTTTAAAGAACTGTTACCGTGATCTCCAGTGAACCTCAGTTTAAACAGAGGAATGTTTGATTAACAATGGTACCCATTAAACGAAGGAATGTTGATTAACAATGGTACCCTTTAAAAGTTCGTCTGAACAAGAATGATGAAATTTAAATAGAAATCAATAATTTCCATTTTTGGTTTCTGTTTATATAACCTGCGCATTTACCTTGTAGAGAAAATGAAGGAAATTGTCAGTTATTGACACTTCAGTGAAAAGACAACATCCTCTTTGTTGCTTAGAAAAAGGTAGAAAAAGGTAGAATAAGGTAAGAAAAGGAAGGAAAAGGTAGGAAAAGGTAGGAAAAGGTAGGAAAAAGTAGGAAAAGGTAGGAAAAGGTAGGAAAAGGTAGGAAAAGGTAGGAAAAGGTAGGAAAAGGTAGGAAAAGGTAGGAAAAGGTAGGAAAAGGTAGGGAAAGGTAGGAAAAGGTAAGAAAAGGTAGGAAAAGGTAGGAAAAGGAAGGAAAAGGTAGGAAAAGGTAGAAAAAGGTAGGACTACGTAAGAAAAGGAAGGAAAAGGCAGGAAAAGGTAGGAGAAGGTAGGAAAAGGTAGGAAAAGGTAGGAAAAGGAGGAAAAAGTAGGAAAAGGTAGGAAAAGGTAGGAAAAGGTAGGAAAAGGTAGGAAAAGGTAGGAAAAGGAAGGAAAAGGCAGGAAAAAGTAGGAAAAAGTAGGAAAAGGTAGGAAAAGGTAGGAAAAGGGAGGAAAAGGTAGGAAAAAGTAGGAAAAGGAAGGAAAAGGTAGGAAAAAGTAGGAAAAAGTAGGAAAATGTAGGAAAAGGTAGGAAAAAGTAGGAAAAGGTAGGAAAAGGGTAGGACTAGGTAAGAAAAGGAAGGACAAGGAAGGACAAGGAAGGACAAGGCAGGAAAAGGTAGGAAAAGGTAGGAAAAGGTAGGAAAAGGTAGAAAAAGGTAGGAAAAGGTAGGGAAAGGTAGAATAAGGTAGGATAAGGTAGGAAAAGGTAGGAAAAGGTAGGAAAAAGTAGGAAAAGGTAGGAAAAGGTAGGGAAAGGTAGGAAACGGGTACCTTTGTGATTCGGACATGCAGCTCTTTATGTGGAAACTAGAGGATCACTTTTTTACTACTATATTATGTTGAAAATAAAGAATTTATTTCTTTAAATTAATTTTATACTTTTCTACTAAATTAAAATTTGGAATTTTTCGAAACACACTGTTAAATAAACTGTCGTTCTTGTAATTTCAAGTGACCCTCCATTTAAAAATAGGAATGCCGATTCACAACGGTAATGTAAAATATATCTTCGCTTTTCTAAGCGTTTAATTCTGACAATTTTCTCCATTTTTTCTTCAGCAAGTTTTCCGCAAATCACATTTATAGAAAAACCATAATTGATGTCAATAACCAATGACCAAAATAAAAGAGAAATCATGGATACCTCATTTATTCTTGACCAAGCTTTTCAGGGTACAGTTGCGAATGGGAAATGCCAATCCGAAATTTGAGGACCACTTGATTTTACGTCGACAGTTTCTTTATGCATTTAATTCCGTTACAAAAATATTTCTATACGTACTGTCAACATTGTTGAGATATATAATGTTGTTCATAAAAAAACCATCCAGATATTTTGCTTGATTTTACTTTATAAATATTAAATTAGTTTTATGAAAGGCAAACCTTAGAAGTTTGAGAGAAGTAATTATGTATCCTGTTCATAATTACTTTTTAGTATGAAGGGTTATGTAAATTTGTACAATTTGTACGATTTATTCAGCAATAAAAATGGAAAAGTGAAAATTCTTGGTTACCCAGGAGACAAAAGTGACATAGGGTCATTATTTTTAATTTAGTCATTTTTTAAAATTCGTATTGAAATTAATCTTGATTTCCTTATTGATTGATTTAATTGATTTCTTTTAGCTTCACTCAGGGGCGTATACAGAGTGAGTAAAAGTATTCATTGGGGCCAATAATGTCTAAAGACTTTAACATTTGCATCGGTAGTAATCACTCTTTTGTTATATTTCACCTTGTAAAATGAGTCCATTTTCTGAGATTTAAATTTTTCCCTTTTTTCAGAATTTTTCTCATTATTGTTTACATCTTCTACTTGGCATCAATAACTTCCCTGGTAACATTGAACCATCATAAATACTTCAGGCACCAGTTTTTTGTTATGAAACAAATATTCATGCTCTGTTTAAAACCCTCCTAGTCTCTTAGAGATGCTCTGTTTAAAACCCTCCTAGTCTCTTAGAGTTCATAACTTTTGTGTTATATTGTTAATGTTAAACACTTGATCTTGATATCCAGTTTGAGATCAATGCTTGATCTCTCAATTAAAGTTATCCCTACATGGTATGACAAACACAGGGTATTCAAGAGGAATTAAATATTCGTGTATGTGCAATGTTATTGTTATTGTTATGTGAATCTCGAGATTCACATAACAATAGTAGTTCTGACTCAAGGTGTCCTCTGAAGGCTAAATTTAAGCCATCCCTTTCCAGAGATCATTTTTTTCTCTCTGTGATTTCCCTTTTCTGGAAATAAACTCCTCGGGGGGGGGGGGGGGGGGGGCAACATCCCCCAATCCTGTTCAGTGTGACATTCCTCCATATGCCCCATTATGACTAAACAAAACAATAATGTTTTTACAAACCAAATTAGGCTCCTTAGAGTCCTTATGTAGATATCTCTACCTCTTAGTAAAGGGTTTTCCACAAATTTGATGATCTCAAATTTTAATTCAGCCTTCAGTCGATCTTTAAATGTCTAAATTTAGAAAAGAAAGATATAAGTTTAAAGTTGCAGGGTAATATAAATAGGAGGAAACATACAATATAAATTCTGCAGAGTCGTCTCTGAAGTTTCATCCTTTGTGGGTAACTCTGTACGTTATAAACTGGTTATTATGTAAAAAGAAATTGAATATCTTATGATTAAATTTCGTGAGTTTTATTTAAAAGAATTGCGATGCAAAAAGATAAACTACACAATAAAACCGCTTACGTTGCTTTGTAAAGAAAAAGATATTTTGCTTGAAAAGAATTTTTTTATTGTTGTGTTCAGAAAGACTTTCAATTAAAATGTAATCGAACACAAATCAACAAGAGAGTTTTTAATCACTACACATCCTCCCTATATTTTTGTTATCCCAATAATAATCATATATCAAATATAGATTATATTATTTGCTTAGAGCTCAATATTTCTTGCGACACCACTGTAGGAAATGTGAATATTTCTTTGACTCGTTTTTATTAAATTTCAACCGGCTAGAACATATATTTGAAATTTAGACGAACACTAAAAATGTGCCACTAGAACGATAAAATCGGAGAGGTGAACCAAAATTTGTTAAAAAAAATTGGTGGTAAAATTCTACTGATCTACACTTTTCCATTTAAAATTTTTTGCAGAAATTTTTTTTTTATCACATTATTTTTGAGTATTCTCTTTGAATGCATAGTGTTTAATAGAATGATTATCAAAAGAAACCGTAACCTCAACGTATCTCTAAAGAAAAATCGGATTTTTGAAACATTGTGCAGAAACATTGGATGGAAACTTTAATTATCATGTTTCAACTTAACCAACCCCTTTTAATGAAATTCTCTAGTCTGTTTAAGTACAAGTTTAAAAGGTTGGTCTCCAGGATAATGTTATTATGGTCAACTTAACCAACCCTTTTTCAAAATTCTATACCAGTCTGTTTAAAGGGAGTGCTCCCAAGTGCCGATATCGATCACTACTAATTTTACGTTTATCTGTTGCGTGTATTAGGAGAAAATGATTTTAAAACATCTTATTCCATTAAGAGTGTAGTGTCCATATAAGACGTTTTTAACCATTTTCTCTTTAAAAACGCAACAGATAAAAATAAAATTGTTAGCAATCGATATCGAATTCAGCCTATACCCCCTTTACTTCATCGCGAACACTCCCTTCAAGATAAAGTTAAAAACCTGGTCTCCAGGATGATGGATGATGAATGGATAAGATTGGTGAGAATAATCCTGGGAGTAGGAACTACAGTAATGCTAATACTAATCACAATACTTCTCTGGAAAAGAAACTTCTCCAGAAGGGGGAGTAACTACAGGTAGAAGGGGGAATAACTACAGGTAGAAGAGGGAATAACTACAGGTAGAAGGTGGAATAACTACAGGTAGAAGAGGGAATAACTCCAGGTAGAAGGAAGAATAACTACAGGTAGAAGAGGGAATAACTACAGGTAGAAGAGGGAATAAATACAGGTAGAAGGGGTAGTAACTACAGGTAGAAGGGGGGATAACTACAGGTAGAAGGGGGAGTAACTACAGGTAGAAGAGGGAATAACTACAGGTAGAAGGGGGAGTAACTACAGGTAGAAGGGGGAATAACTACAGGTAGAAGGGTGAATAACTACAGGGAAAAGGGGGAATAACTACAGGTAGAAGGGGGAATAACTACAGGGAAAAGGGGGAATAACTACAGGTAGAAGAGGGAATAACTGCATGTAGAAGAGGTAATAACTACAGGTAGAAGGGTGAATAACTACAGGTAGAAGGGGGAATAACTACAGGTAGAAGAGGGAATAACTTAAGGTAGAAGGGGTAATAACTACAGGTAGAAAGGGGTAAGAACTACAAGTAGAAGGGGGAATAACTACAGGTAGAAGGAGAAATAACTACAGGTAGAAAGGGGAATAACTACAGATAGAAGGGGGAATAACTACAGGTAGAAGGGGGTATAACTACAGGTAGAAGAGGGAATAACTACAGGTAGAAGGGAGAATAACTACAGGTAGAAGAGGGAATAACTACAGGTAGAAGGGGGAATAACTACAGGTAGAAGGGGGAATAACTACAGGTAGAAGAGGGAATAACTACAGGTAGAAAGGGGAATAACTACAGATAGAAGGGGGAATAACTACAGGTAGAAGGGGGTATAACTACAGGTAGAAGAGGGAATAACTACAGGTAGAAGGGAGAATAACTACAGGTAGAAGAGGGAATAACTACAGGTAGAAGGGGGAATAACTACAGGTAGAAGGGGGAATGACTACAGGTAGAAACGGGAACAACTACAGTTAGAAGGGTGAATAAAGAAGAGGGAACAACTACAGGTAGAAGAGGGAATAACTACAGGTAGAAGAGGGAATAACTACAGGTAGAAGAGGGAATAACTACAGGTAGAAGGGGGAATAACTACAGGAGAGGGAATAACTACAGGTAGAAGGGGGAATAACTACAGGTAGAAGAGGGAATAACTACAGGTAGAAGGGGGAATAACTACAGGTAGAAGGGGGAGTAACTACAGGTAAAAGGGGGAATAACTGCAGGTAGAAGGGGGAATAACTACAGGTAGAAAGGGAATAACTACAGGTAGAACTAGATATATTTTAAAGGGACTGTGAGCGTAATTTCAAGTAACCCTCCATTCAAAGATATCTTGTCGTTCTCTGATCAATAATGTAGAAAATATTATCCTTGTTTTAGGTTTAAAAGGGATTAATTCTAATAATTTAAAGATGTTTTTCTGCAGAAGAAAAGTAACTTTAATTGTAGAGAAGCCACAATTGAAAATAATCAGTTTTTAAAATTATAAACATTGACATCTTTGCATGGAGGGACACTTTTGAAATTACACTTACAGTCCCTTTAAAACCTTTTTATTTTTTTTCAAAGGATTTTTTTCGTTTTGTTTTGTGGAAAATTATAAGATTAATCTTCTTAATAATCTTTTTTCATTAACCCACAATAGTCATTGCTAATATTTTTTCTAAAAAGACTACTCGTGCTGCAATAATCAAAAATAGAATTTGATTCTCATAGGATATTGTACAAAAAAAAATTTCCAAAATGATCATAATGTATAAATTAAAAATTATGTGTTAGTTTAAAGTGAAAGCTTACCTTTAAAGCAATAAATTCAAAATTCAAATATTTTCTTTCTTGTATTTTTAGGTTTATCTGGCTGCTGAATTTTCTTCTGGTTCTTGCCTACATAACCTTTGTCTCAATACAGCACTTGATTCAACCCATAGAGGAACTAAAGAGTGGAATCTAGATTAATAAATACCACAGAGTAGAAAATAGAGTTAAATTTTGTCAAGAAGTGTAAAACTGCCATTTTGTTGTACTGGTACCACAATGAAAGTGTACTTACACTAGTGTTTTATAACCTTTTGGTATCTGTAACTCCTAAAAAACATTTGTCTTGAAAATTATATTTAAGAAAAAATATGTCTGCGCGGATAGGGTTAATGAAACTGCAATTTTCCCTAAAAAATGTTAACCGTACAATTCAAGCTATGCATATATACTGGGCCGATGTAACAAATAACAATACAATATTTTGATTCACAATATTATTATGATTTTAAGTATTGTGCAAAGTTTAAGGTTTCGCTTGAAAGTACTACGGCTCAGAGACAGCTGGGAGGAGAAATTATGCTAGGTTATAATACCTTTCTATGATACCGCCGCCAACTGTCTTTTTGGAACACCCTCACTCCCATCAATGTTAGTAATATCGAACTATCGAACGCATTTCTAGACAACGAACATTCTGTTAAAAATTACGTGAGAAATGGTTAATTTAATTTAGATAGTGGGAACTTGTAACGGATTGTCTAAAGTCTAAGGATCATACTGTTTTGTTGTATTGCACTGCGTTAGAGTAAAAGTTATGAACATTTGCATAAAATCTTACTTTTTTACTTATTTTATAACTCAAAGGAACTGAAAATATTCTCTACTCTAAAGATATTTTAAATTTTTATTAAAATGTAGATAGTAGATAGGATTTTCATTTGAATTCTGTACCCTTTCCACCCCCCCCCCCACCCTCCCTTCAAAAAGCAAGAATTTATTGTGCAACCTTACATTACAATTATTTATCACGAAATTCGGGGATGGAAAATATCTTAGGGTTTTTTTCATTTCCGAATTAGAACCATAAAGAAGTTGTTCAAAATGCATACCTTCGTCCTCTAGTTGCGGCTATGATTAGGTAGAAAGGTTTACTTAAACAACTGGGAAAAGATAAATTGTAAAAAAAAATTCTATTCTTTAAATTGATCTCTGGTCTAGGCATCAGTTATACCACAGCTTGGAACAATGTGTTTATTTCTATCCTGGATTTATATAACTGATATCCTGGGACAGTTTCCTAATGTTGGGATCTATATACTCATGGTCCAGGAGGTGGCAGGGGATCTACTTAAGGAATATTTTCATTCGTGAATTCATGAAAATTATGCATCAATTTGTGAGACCGAGTCGGCCTTAAATTATCGTCATGAAACGCACTTGGTTTGACTTTACTGTCCCAATATATTTTTGTAGCCCTCGATAAAAAATCCAAGCTTTAACGTGGATGTTTTTAAAGGAAAAAACGTATTTTCAATGAAAATATGTACCGTAGTTTCTTCTAATGTACACAACTGTGCTTCTGGCTTTCACACTAAGTTTCCAGGTAAGATATAGAGGTCTTGTGCATACAGGAACCTCCATCTCTTTGATCAAATAAACTTTATTATGTACTGCAATTTCTGGGGGAAATGTAAACAATTTTTTTTTCTGCCTAGAACAAATTGTTTTTTAGTCTTCCTCCCAGAAACTGCAGTTTACGTTTTACAAAAACGCTGGGTTTCCTGCCGCATAGATGCATAGGTGCTTTGATAGAAATAAATTGCTTAAGAAATTAAGTATTTTAGTTCGTAAATTGTTTCTTTTTGAGACACCCTGTAGATATAAATATTTCTTATGTTCACCCTAGTATTGGGTTTATTGAAAAGGAATAAATAGGAAATTAAATTCTTTAGTTTTATAGAATTTAATATTCAAAATGGATTTCTATTCATTTCTGTTGGTTTTGAATTGTAAATGAAACTTAAACAATTTTAATTTAAAATGTTTATTCAAAAAGTTCTTTTACTGAATAAAATAGATACAAATTTAAGTTATTAAAAAAGAGAGCTGAGCACCCGCCGCAAATATTAATGTTTGCAACCTAATGAATTGTAGACCTTTGGGATTTCAAACTATGAACTCTGTTCAGGGCGTACTAAAAATTTGTCAGGGGCTAATATTTTCTTTTCGTTCAAGGGGGACTCAGCCCCTTCTGGGACCTTAAAACCCCATGGAAACCATAGATTTCGCTGATCCAAGGGGGGGGGGGTGCTGAGCCCATATGGACTCCCCTAAGTACGCATCTGAGTTTTTTGTTGAAATATCAAAGGTTGAAAATATATTATATTAAATTAAATGGCGAATTCTTTCATTTTAGATTGTATTTGAGCATGATTCCAGATTCTCCGACCCTTTCCTTTCCCTACTCTCGACCATCACGATGATGATGGGGGAGATGGAGACGGCATCCCTGTTCTCAGAGGTAAATCAGTAAAAAAAGCTTTTAGCTCATATATTTATGTTAGCTATAGCTGGTAAAACGGTGGGACCAAATTGGTTAAATTGTTTAGGAAACCCATACGGGAACACTGGAGGTAACAAAGGCTAAACTAAATTCGCAACTTTTGCTGTTATTAAATTTGTTTCTCTTTTCTCAAGTGTTTTTAAAATTCCACGGGCAACACAGGGCACTTCGGCTGGTATTTATTAAAAATTTAATTTCATAATCACTCTTTTAAGATATTCTATACCAGCTGAAGTACCGGGTTTGTCAATGAAAATTAGAAATTTTCTGTCAATACAATTCATTTGAGGCTGGGAGGCAAATCTTTTTTTTTATTTTTTCTAAACATCCCTATTATGTTACTGATTTGCATTACAGGCATCATTCAGACACGCATACATATTTTCTTTTCTATTAATAATGGTACTTTTTAAAGATTTGTCTGATCAAGATTGAGTTATATAATAATGTTTAAAATTTTAAAAACAGTTTATTATTAATCGTGGTTTCTCTAAAAAAGTGACTTACGCATTTCTTCTGCAGGAAAACATATGGGAATTTCTACAAGAACACTTTCCTCACCTCGAAAAACAACTTTAGTTTCCACATTGTTGATTAGATAAACGTTTCAAGGGTACTGTTGTGAATCGGGCATTGCCATCTTTGCCGGAGGGTCACTTTTAATTACGCTTACAGAGCTGAAAACTTTAGAATGGTGGATATCGAGATTAATGCTTAAACTCTTGGTTTTACTGAACCCGAGATTATGTTGATACACATTTGATATCCAAGAAATAAGTTTAAAATCAACCAATCAGCGTGTTAAGTTTAGATGACCTCTTTAACTTTTGAAAACCCGGTTTATAGTTCTAGCGCACTTCTGGTGTAATATCAATTAGACTAATGATCGATTGTACGAACGAAAGTTTTTGATAAATGTTTATTTAGACTAACGTTCAAAATGACTATAGGTAAAATGTGATAAAATTTGGTTTTTAATAAATTTATATTAACATGATTAAATTCATATTTGTTAAAATGCTCTAAAAGACCGCTTGTGAACAGCTGACTTCAGATGAATCGGATATTAGTCCAATCGATATAGCACCATATCTGTAATTGTTGTCAAAAGTAGCTTTTATACAGTAGAGGTATCCAAAAAGAGAAGAGAAGATTAAGAAGTAAATCTAAAGTGTGTCGATTAGATACACAGATTAAGTAATCGGGATTAAGGATATCTCATTCTAAAGTTTTCAGCTCAGTCCGTTTAAGTTACGGGTTTCCCAGCTATAGGCAACATCCATGTAATCCATCCTTTTTCAGGAACTCCATTACTCTGGAGTGTCTCATCTTCTTTTCTTCCTTTTCCTTCTGTTTGTTTCCAACTATAGGCAACATCCATGTTATCCAATCTTTATGTTTCAGGAACTCCATTACCCTGGAGTGTCTCATCTTCTTTTCTTCCTCTTACTTATGTTTGTTTCCAACTATAGGCAACATCCATGTTATCCAACCTTTATGTTTCAGGAACTCCATTACCCTGGAGTATCTCATCTTCTATTCTTCCTCTTCCTTCTGTTTGTTAGTGTTGTCATCATGAATCTTCTTATTGGTCTAGCAATTAGTAATCTTACAGAGGTTAGTTCAGTCACCCATCTTTTCAACTTAAGGGGACTGTAAAAGAAAAATGAAAGGGGATATAGGATGAAACCTGAGAACCTCATACGATACATTATAAAACATCTATCTGATGTTCCTGTCTCGAGAAATTGATTTAAAACCGTGTCAAATTAATACGAAAATTCATATAAGTGCAATTTTGTATATAAGTTTTAGTATTAGACAGATCATATTCAACAAATATGCAACCAATCTGAAAACGACGATATCCCACAGGAGCCTGAGAATCTCAGGTTTGCTCCTTAAATAATTTTTTTTATTTTGCATTTTTAATTGATATAATTGATAATATTATTACATATTGTCCGTATTACTTCACCAGACCATCAGCTATTGGCAGTGTAGTATACTAGTCACGTGATTTCCGTCTGTATCACATGACAACGATACTGAACTGCCATTGGCTGACAAGTTCATTGTTTATCGTACAGGGTTTCCCACAAAACATCACAGTAGAAAGACGGTCTTTGATCTTTAAAATTATAACCTAGTTTTTCATGCAAGAACTAAGGATTATTTCAAAAATCAAAGACGACCTCCAAGTCATCTTGCTACTGTTATGTTTCGTGTGATACTCTGTATATCTTTAAACAAGAATTTTTCAAGTTTTCTGATTAGATCTCAAAAGTTGGTTTATTTCCTTCAAATTGATTTCAAATTGAATCAAATTTATCTTCATTTTTAATTCTGATCAGGCTTTTTTTTATACAACTCTTGATTTTAAATTAAGTTATATTTTCTTCCTGTTTAGAGGAAAAGCGTAAAAAGGAATTGTTTAGATATTCCAGAGAGCCGGAGTAGAGAGGTTAAAAGTAACAGTTCTCAACCTGACCAGTATTTACAAAGTTTACACAATTATTCGAAGGAAAAACAAACAGAATAAAATATTTTAAATTTCAATTTTTTTCTCATTCTCAAACTTATTTTATCCTTCTTTTTTAAAACCAGATTTTTATGTTTATGCATATTCATGTTCAGAATGGAAGAGAATGTATTACAGGCGCCTTTTTTGTTTAAATATATAACTAAATATTTGTTACGGTTATCATATATATCTAAAAAAATTTACAGCATTTCTTTAGAGATAAAAACTTGCACATTTAAAAATCCCTTGCACCACTTTGATGAGAAGTTTTGCTAATGGACAGTATAAGTTTGAATTATGAGACCTAATTACTATTTTAGCAGTAAATACATGCCATTGCACTGCAAACTAACCAAGAGGCGAAGGTTAAATTCAATTGAAATTGCTGCTACGACTTTGTGACTCCGTTGCTCCTCTAGTTCTGTTTTTAAGCACAAGTGTAAGAAAAGCAAATTTATTTGGTTTACATATCATGCGTTCAAAACATTTTTGTTCTTCTAAATATCTCTTCAATAAGAGGAGATATGATAAAAAGCATTTAAGAATTTAATTGTAAGTGCATTTAACTCTAATTTGACGTGATTGCTTCTAGTATTATTTTTTTACCAAATCTAAAATGGGAAAAATTTGTATTTCAATAAAGTTAAGGTTTTCTTACAACTACATATCTCTTATTTAACTCAAATATTTGTCTGTGGGTTGCAGAAAGAAGGGCTTGTTCCGGTACCTGAAAAAACTGCAAGGATCAAAGGATCCTGAATCTGAACCAACAGAACTGAGTAAGTTAATTTCTTAATGAAAATCTTATTTAAATACTGTTTTATGCTTTACAAAGCTAGCTAGCTAACTGAATTGTACACCATTACACACTTAGAGGAATATTCAGATGTTACTCAAAAAGCAAATGTAGCATTTAAAATTTTTTGCAAATTATTTTTATGTGTTACAGGTTATAAGTAATATCTATCTAATAAAACAGACATTTGTATATTTATATGTTTCATGCATATAGCCGTCCAAACGGCTGGACTCAATGGGCTGAAATTTTTTGAGTGAACTCACGGGTAGCCCGGGGGTGACATAGGCTAAAAAAATCAAAAAAAATTTTCTTCAAAAGTTTATAAATAAAATTTCTTCAAATTCGATTTTTTTCTTTAAAAATCAAAAAAAAAATTTCTTTTAAAACTTATATTTTTTTCTACTTTAGTCTTGTACACTGGTACACAGGCTGAACAGTTCTTTGTGAGAGATCAAGCATCTGGTACTGTTCGTACTGGGTTTAGGTTAGCAATGTATAATACCTAGTTATATATTCTCTTTGACAAACTTCTTTTTTGGTTTAAAGGGACTCAACAAAACTCTAAGCACTTCTTTTTTTGTACAATTTGCTTGTTAATGTTGTTTAAGTTTTATTTCTAGAACTTGTCGAATTTTTAGGCAGTAGACATAGAAAAAAGATTAAACCAGCCGTTTTTCCGTTTCTGACTATAATCATATATTTTACACAAGGTTTTTAATAAGGATGTAATAAAAGTGAATACGAATTTTGTGGGATCTTTGAAAAGCCCAAAACAACTTAAAAGTTCGAAAGCTATCTTTATCTACACACGTGGATTTAACGGTTCTGTCAATATTTCAGAAAACTGTGACTTTAAATCAATATTTGACCCCTTTTACATGATTTTATAGCCTTTTATCTTAAATACTTTTTTGTTGGCATATACATTTTGAATGAAAAAGTATGAAATAAACAAATCAGTAAGTCTGAAGACTGTTGAGTTAGACGAAAACACGTATGATTTCAAATAAAAGAAACCGAATGCATCTCTCTCTCGTTAGTTCAGAGTGTACATTATGCAAAAAAATAATGGGTGCGCCGCTTACACCACTTTAGATTTTATGCGATTTTATTCTATACACAACTTCTTCAGCAGAAGTAAGGAATACAAATTTGATAATAAGATTTATTCAATTTTTATAATTAATATTAATTATCAGGGTTCAGCCCTGGATCAGAGAAAATGCAAAGAAGGCTTTGGAACGAAAAAACGAGATAAAAAAGCAGAGAGACATGCTTGAAGTTAAAAAAGACGGGACAGCATTGAAATTAGAAGAAAATGTAAAAAGTTTAAAGAAAGAGTTAAAAGATCTTCATTCTGATGTGAAGTTTATAAAAGAAGTGTTGATGGCCAAAAGATTATTGTAGAAATTATAGTGAATGACGACGCAATTACCTTTCCCCATTGTTATGAAATAATTATCTTACTCCTCCTTGTTTTTAGTAGTACCTTGACCTATATATATTTGAATGTAAGCTTTTTAGTATATTATAGTTCTGAAATCTTTTCAATATATTTTTTTAAAGAAGATAATGAAGATATTAATGATAATGATAATAATCATCATCATCATCATCATTATATTAATAATGATTTATATATATAACATTAATATTAACATTAATATTAATATTAATATTAACTGTCGTTTAGAACTATTTATTTTCCCAAATTGTCATCTGTCTGCTTCTTTCTCTTTAAAACTTAAAAAGTTTTGTTATCTACATTTCCTGCTCAGGATCTTTAGGCATTCCGAGTAGAAAATTTCAAATGTATTTTCCAACTTTAATTTTAAAATCTACAAGTATTTAATAATATTTTTTACTATCCTATAACAGTGCAGTTACTTGTAACGAATCAAAAATTCCATAATCATGAACTTTATCTCAATAGTTTAACGGAAGATTTATAAAATGAAATATCTAAATATTATCTAAAAGGAACAACTCGTTACATGCATTTTTGAATTCTTAAATCTTTTCAACCTGGAACCTAATTTAATGATTTAAGCTAGGTTGCTAAACTACCTACCGCCGGTTCAAATCTTAAATCACAAAAAGTAAAGATTCATGAGCATTTGAATCGGTAATTAAGAATGAAACGGCGTAGGTAGTTCAGCAACCTCTTCCATTCATTAAATTCGGTCCCTGATGTCATAGACCTTTGATATTTCGAACAGTTAAGTTAAATATGAAGTCAAAATTTGAAATATCAAAGAGGTTTAAAGATATAGAAAATATGAGTTAGTTGTGAGTAATGAGCTCCTTCAAATTTAAATATAAGATAAATATACCAGTAAACGAAATTGGAACTAATAACTATTTTACTGTTTTTGAGATTGAAGAATCCCCTCTATTAAATACATATCGGATATTTTGGTTGAGGGATGAAGTGAAGTTGACCCATATACCGTAGCTCAGCATTGATCGGTTCATTAGATTTCATATTGATCGTCTTCAAAGTTTTACCATCCTCTTCCTCTTCACTCCTAGAGCAAAAATAAATATATTCAAGTAAAATATATCACAAATCCTCTTTGTTTACTTGGAAGATGTACTGCAAATTCTGGGAGGAATGTAAACAAACTCGGTGCTGCTTAGACCGAGCTTAGTTTATATTCCTCCTAGAAACTGCATTTTATCTTTTGTTTTCACAGTGATACATAAGGCACTGGTGTATCTTCTGTTACCTCATTTATTTTCGATCTACACGGTATTTATTATTCTCAGACAAACAATAAGTTTCTCTGATTCCTCTAATCTTAAGAAATCAAAGGATGTCTTTTTAAAATTAACACGGGAACATTGCGATTTTCTATTGCACCCCGCAATGCAATAGTCAAAGGAACGGATTATTTGCTAAAAACTATTATTTCTAGAAATTATATCTTTGAAACCTGAAAGGTCTACCACATCAGGTTGCAAGGATAGAAGAACTAGAAGAATATATTTTGTGGCAGATAATCTGTTCCTCTCCAATAAAAACGCTCCTACATTAACATAAAATGGTAAAATCAAATTTTTAAAATTAGTTTTTACTATTACCTTTGCTCAGTATAAAAATCTCGTACAGGAAATGATAAGGTTGCTATAATGGGATAATTTATACTTGTACCCTCCTGTAATACAATTCAATCATTTAACTACAGGAATTATGTATTTTTTACAGTTCAGATTATTAAATATACATATCTCTGCAGCCTGAACCTTTGAAACTTCAAACCATTATGTAGTTGATAATAATTAATAGTTTGAAATCTCAATGTGCTGTGACATCAGGTTGTAAGTAGTTAAGGAAAAGGAAACTACAATATATCGTGGCGAGTAATCAGTTCATTTATGGAGAAAAATGGTCTGACATATACACCCTGGACTAACCAGGGCGTAGGACGTTCGATTTCTTTACTTTGAATTTTATCGCTTAAATTGGTAAATACTTCGCAATATTAAAGTTTGAGTTGTCATTTATGAATTTTAATTGTAAACCCATCTGTCAACAAATAAGTATAAAAGAGGATAAATCATATTAGTCACCATTGCTGGGATAAATACCGACCAAACGTGTTAATACAAGTGTTTCAACCATACAATCTGTTATTTTCAAAAATCTTCGATAGTTGATTTAACTTTATTTAATTTACTTCTTTAAACTATATTTCTGGAATGTTTTTTGTTAATCTCTGAATGAACACAATTATATAATACGCGTGAGGTTCAGCACGTGACAAGAAATTAACTACATCACTTAAAAATTCTCTGTTCTTTGCAAACACAAAATGCTTGAATAACCAACCAATGTAAACCATGATATGCGAGCTCTCATGCAAAACTCCAACAGGATTTTGCCAATTTTTCGTTTAAAATGGAAACTAGGTACACACGAACATAGAAATTTTAAAATGTTTATGTCTAAGACTACAAAAACATGTATGTAAATTGGTTCGAGGTAAAACCAAGGCCAAAATATTTATTAATCCGAGTTTTCACATTCAAGCGAAAATTATTTTGATTAATTTTTAATTTAATGATTGAATTCCTTGTGACTGAGAAATTTTTCCAGGACTTTATCTTCTTCGACGATTATGCTTCGGCCAAATCGACCGAAACGGCCGAGATATGAGTTCCACTTATCCTTTACAAAAACTAAGTTATTCTATAGGTTACCTAACTATAACTAAATCTTATTCAGTTTAAAACATAATTAACTTTTTTTACAAATCAATCTGCATTGTAGCTCAGATTAAATTTAAAATGCCTAATGTTTAGTTTTCAAAATATATTTTTTTAAGTAATGCAGCTTCCTCCAAGAAAGTTGAGCTCCAGAATTTATGTAGTTATACAGGGTTACCGGGATAAACCTGTAAAGACGACCTGTAACTCTTTAAAAATGACGATTCCAAGGTAAAATCCAGTCTTTTTGAGCCTTTTTTTTTTGATTGGACAAAGAAACAAGTTGCAGGGAATAATGATTATAAAGAAACAGACGGTATGAATTCCGTACATGCAATCGTCTCATTCTTTGTGGGTAACCCTGTATTACGTCTGGTATAAAATGGTGAAATGTTAATTCCCTTTTCAAGTTACTTCAACTCTATGCCGTTCATGTTGGAGCAAATTAAAAGGTCTGAAATTCAAAATTTGCTTTTGAATTCATTAAAAAAAACATTAATAAGGAATAGAGTCTGAACAAAACATCCAAGGTTAAATTCATTAGTTTGAAAAGAAATATTAAAATATTGAATGAAGTTTTTTTTCTGTCCCTTGTCTTCGCAGTTGTGTAGGTTAATCTTGATCCAGTCATATTTAGGTTCTGGGCTCATTATATGGATTTCCTCTTCAAACTCCCAGAATCTGGATTACAAGTTCAGTTTAATATATAGGATCTGGGATCTCAAAATAATGTGGATCAAATTTTTATATTTATATATTTATATATTTACATTTTTATATATTTATTATTAATATATTTATATAGATATACCTGCACAAATCTCCCTTTGCTGTTGTAAACAATTCGTTAGTGCCTCCAAGTTGAACAGATACCAATGGGATTATTTGTCGAGAAGTTCTCACATGCTTGATGTAAATGCACAGTAACCCTACAGTAATAATAACGATTTTCACAAAAGGGAACAGAGCTTTTTCTAATTTTTAAACTTTTTTAACATGTTGATGTTAACATTTGATATTTCAAAATCAATTCTTTTAATCTAACAGAATTCATAATTTAATATCAAAGGTCGAATAAGGTTGCGATATAGAGATTAGAAAATCAGAGTTTGAACCTAAAACTCAAAATTGCTCAGAAACACTCGCCCAAATGTACAAATTTCCAAGCAGTTTTATTTTCCAGATGTTCTAGCCAACGCCCCCTCTTTTAATGATTCGTATCCTACTTGTAGTTTACAGCCATGAACCGAACTTTAGAAAAAATCCTTCATTGGGAAAAGATAAAGTTTTAAACAGTTTGAAAGCTGAACAAGTCTTTACCTTTAGAGCAAGGCTCCTGGTGTGGATAGAGTTCTTGTTCTGGTTCTTCACAGATTGGAACCCACTGCACCCGTATCCTGATCTGACCAGTTCTAAAATTCTCATTTCCAGTCTTCAGGGAGATCTCAGATATTTCTCCATTCCTAGCCGTGTCATTCAAATCTGGAAAGAATAATTAAGGAGACATATCTAATATCAGGTTCTCATTAAATGTATAAATTTCTGTAACTAATTTTCATTCAATTTTGGAACAAAATTTTGATTAAACTTAGATATTTTGCAAGTTTTCTCCAAATATTCATAGAATTCTATATTTGGACTAAGATGTGAAGTAAAACTTTACTCGAAAAAACTATGGGGGGAGGGGGTTGAGGGGTTTTGTAGGAAAAATGTCATCATTGTCACATAAATTACTAACTAACCTAGACTTGCAAACCCTATCTGCTTGTCATCTGTTCCCTTATCCCTGTCCAATATAGAGATTCTCAACTCCTGATCCTTTAATCCTAAACAATAGTTAAACAGGGCCATTCATTTAAATTCACTCCAATATAGAGATTCTCAACTCCTGATCCTTTAATCCTAGGCAATAGTTAAACAGGGCCATTCATTCAAATTCATTCCAATATAGAGATTCTCAACTCCTGATCCTTTAATCCTAAACAATAGTTAAACAGGTCCATTCATTCAAATTCATTCCAATATATAGATTCTCAACTCCTGATCCTTTAATCCTAAACAATAGTTAAACAGGGCCATTCATTTAAATTCACTCCAATATATAGCTTCTCAAATCCTGATCCTTTAAACCTAAACAATAGCTAAACAGGTCCATTCATTCAAATTCATTCCAATATAGAGATTCTCAACTCCTGATCCTTTAATCCTAAACAATAGTTAAACAGGGCCATTCATTCAAATTCATTCCAATATAGAGATTCTCAACTCATGACCCTTTAATCCTAAACAATAGTTAAACAGGAACATTCATTCAAATTCATTCCAATATATAGATTCTCAACTCATGACCCTTTAATCCTAAACAATAGTTAAACAGGGACATTCATTCAAATTCATTCCAATATATAGATTCTCAACTCATGACCCTTTAATCCTAAATAATAGCTTAACAGGGCCATACAATTAAATTCATGATAGCACACTTCAAATGAAATGTCCATTAACATGGCAGGGTGGCCAAAACTTTTTTGAAAAAATCCGTACAAAAATCCGTACATTTTCAGAAAAAATCTGTACAATCCGTACAATTTTCGAAAAAAAAATCCGTCCAATCCGTACATTTCACGATTGATAAACATATTCTCAAATGAACACTTCTGCAGAGCATATTCTCAAATGAACACTTCTGGGACATATCTCGAAAATTATGAATGAATTTTGATTGTCAATTGAAACATTAATCAATCTAATATTATTTAGAATGCAGAAAATAAATTAAACTAACTTCATTTTGACGAGATTTTTTTTTTGAAATTTTCATGAAAAATTTGCTGAAATGAGTGAAAATTAAAAAAACGGTGTATTTCCAGGATAAAAATCCGTACAATCCGTACAATTTGAAAAAAAAATCCGTACAATTTTAGGGTTACAAAAAAAAATCCGTACAATCCGTACTAATTTTGGCCACCCTGCATTAGTCTAAAAATCCCTTCTAAGAGAATTTTCAAACTGAAAAATTAAATATTCTCCTTGAAATTTTATCCTTTAATAAAATGAATGTTTAAAGTTTTATTTATTTTTTAGGNGAGTATTCTGGAATATATGTTCACCCGGGGGAGTTTAAAAATAGCCATTCAAATAGTTACATTACCTCCTTCTAGTATGGGAAACTCACAGTAGAAGTTCCATGTAGGGTTTAATGTATTATTAACTACTGGAGATCTTACTGAGTATCTACCAACTTGAACAAATATATCATTTAACATCTTTACTAATAAATTAGCTTGGGAACCCAGCTTAGCCCGGAGTTTACCAACTCAACTTGGAATTTCTAAACTAGGCATATAACACTCCTTTGGTTCAACCGTTTTCCCAATCAAAATTTGAGGCAAATCAGTCCTGTGGTGCTTGAGTTATGATCGGACATTCATGCAAACAAGAAAACATAAATTACAACTTAACTTAGCTTGGGAACCCGGCTATGTCTGGAAACTAAACTTTCACTGAAGTCTAAAACCTCAAACGTTTCAACAAAGCTAATAAATAAATTCCCGTGGTTCTACCGAGTTCCTCAATCAAAATTTGAGGTTAATCAGTCAAGGGGATCCTGGGTTATGATCGCATTTAAAGATTTAACTGTCCCCCTGTATTGTCTTCTGTTCTTTTAAACTTATGAAAGGAATTGAATCTTCATCTACATATAATACTAAATATTTATGTAAATAAAATTCAGCTGGTCGATTTGTTTTTTAGTTGATGTGTTCCAAAAAACGTCAAAACATCAAAAATGCTCCGAATCCAATTCTTTTGAGATCTCAAATTACCGTAATCTGTTGCATTTTTTTTGGGGGGGGGGGAGGAAAATCAACAAATGAAAACAGAAAATTCGGCAAAATATTGTTCATTTAACATGTTTTTTTTTTTCAGCGAAGACAAACCTAGTTATATGAAGGAATTATGATATATGATATATGAAATTTCTTTTTGTTCTTAAATTACTTTATGTTCCTTTTATTGAATATTGTTGCTAATTCATGTACACTGTACAGTATTAAAGTAGTTTTTAAAGCACATGTTAAAACATTTCTTCCTTACTGGTAACCTCCTGAACTTATTCCTATTTTAATTACAATGTGTCCCTAAACCCTAACTCTCCTCATTTTAAAGAATTTTTTGTTCTTATTTTCAGAAATTTTTGTACCTAAAAATCTCGCCCGGTCCCTCTCTCCCTTGACTGAAATCCAGTGTTCGCCCCTGTTGTAAGTTAAGTAAAAACACATTTAGGACCTGGCTGTAGTATATTCACTGAAGTTCTAAATGATTTAATATTCCTGACAGAATACTGTATGGATCAGCACTCCCTCCAGTGTATCCAAGCAGTTGTTTGAATCCCCTGTCAGAGATTGGGCAATCCTTCCCGTCTAGGAGTAGAACCCTGATGATCCCGGTGGGAAAACTAATGGTTGGAATATGCTCCCCAGTAATCCCAGGTCCGTAGAATTTCAATCCTCTACTCAGAGAAGATATAAAAATATATATATCTTTTCATTTAGGAAATTTTTTTTGCAGTGTTGGATAAAATGCGACTTAATCTGTTCCCTGTGACAAATGGACCCGGCCTAACTCCTGAGGCTTTAATGCAGAAAATCTTGTTTCTAATTTTAAAAATTTTTCTTTTCTTTTTAAAAGTTAATTTCTGATTTGCATGGATTTTTTTTACTTATTAGTACTTTACTGTAGTGTAAAATGTACATTTTAAAGCAGTTTGTGCCGTGTGGAAACTTTTCACACATTTTTAAGGAAATGCCTCCCCCACTCCCGGCCCCTTCAGGCCTTTTTAAAGGCATTTATGTTATTTTTACAACATAATCCCGAAACAGGCGGGGCAGTAGAGAAAAATATGGTTTTTATCATTATCTACTTTTTTAAGAGATTAAACGGCGCAGCATGATTTTATTTTGGATCCATTCATATAAATAGAATTTGAGCTAGAAGCTGCTCCACAAATTTATCCCTAAAATTCCCCTTCCCGTCCCCCTTTAGTCGATCACCTTTAGCTGGTCGAAACGTTACGGGTCATGCAGATCAGAATTATAAGCACTTCTTAAGCAATTCAAGTATTTTTTTTAAAACTCCTTCCTCGGCACTTTCAGCATTATGTCAAGAACATCCCCGCCGAATTCCTTCATCAATATCTTGAGAATGTAAATGGGGACTCTAAGAACACCTAAGATATTATCATAAATTGGAAACTTGAATAGACATATATTTTGTGAAAATATATAAATTTTATTATTAAAACTATTAATTTTAAACCCGGAGTTAACAAATATTTAATTTTGATTTGATTTAAAAACATTTCTGTTTGTTTATGTAAACTTAAGAGACACCTAACAGAGATTTCTGAGATATAACAGAAAATTTTGAAAGATTGAATGACTAATATTAATGTTTGCAGAAAACATGGGTTGATTGGAGATTTTTTGCGCAATTAGGCGATAGGCGATAACGTTTAGATATTCTTATGTAGGACGCTCTGTATCTAAAAGATTAAGCTCCAACTTTAAATCCAGTCTAAACCTTCTGGTCCAAACCGTAGGACAGGATAGTCGAGCAAGGTTACTCCAATAGCTCCGACCACCGTCATATCTTTGTGCAGAGGGAGAACGATACGGAACTTCATTGCAAACTGGACATCACGTCCTAAAATATTAACTCAAATTTCCCTATTCCATATATCTTTGCAACCTTGTACTGATATTTCAAGCTTAAATTTTTTGATGAAACAGAATTCATAGTTTGAAATATCTAAGATCTGAAATTCATAGTTTCCATTAACAGACACAAAAAAATCTTTGAAAATTTAGGTCCAACGGAACTGAACACTGATCTTTGCAACCTGATGTCATAAACCATGATATTTCAAACCATGAATTATGTAGCAAGGAATTAAGGCTTTGCCAGAAAACTCCGATTTTCTAAGCCCTATTTCTTTGCTACCCAATGTCGAAACCTTAGATAATTCAAACTTTGAGTTTTGCACGATCAAATATTTAAGCTTGAAATGTAAAAGGCTTACGCTGTCACGTTGCTAAGATATAGGGATTAGAAAATTTGAGTTTGTGGTAAAGACTCAATTAATTTCATGAAACCATTATTTTGAATGATAGTGAAAAACTAATTAACCAAAAATTAGGTACCAATTGTTCAGAATTCATTAAATGCCGCGTACATATATAAGATGCGACTTGAACAGTAGTACAATTTTCATGATGTCTGCTTTAAAGATCCCTCTTACCTGATATGATAGAGGTTTCTACTATTTCTCTAATTCCAAGTTGGAACTCAGCATTACCAGGATACATGATGCCAATGTCCAATGTTAGTTCAGTTGGATTTTCTGCGATAGCCTAAATATATACAATAACATATTTCATCTTCATTGATTTATTACATCGATCCTTGATTTAGGACTTCTTTAGAGAATTAGATATATAAGAGATCAGTATATGATATTCATGAGCTGGATCCAGACATTGATCCATTTTTTCATGATGATAGATCTGGATTAGCATCAAAATTAGATGGATCCTAAGCACTGGTTAAAACATAACAGGAATTTTTCAAACTTTTTGCTGAGGCAAATTTTTAAATAGGGGACCCTTGAGAATATTACGGAAGCTTCCATTTTCGCCTTGTCTGTTTATGAACGCGCAATTTGAAAAATATGATTAAAAATAAATCATTAACAAGCTGAGATGACAATACTTTAAGCTTTTTGATTTTTTTTTTTCAATAAAATAATAATTCCAGAATCTGATCAGAAAAGTAGAAAAGACCGACCTTTATACCAGAAATAACAAGAGGACAGTTGCCAACATCAAGGTTTCTAATCGTCATTTTATCCACAAACCAGGCTCCAGTTGGGTTTTCTTCTTTCATTTTCACCAGGACATCATCAAGTATAATGTTAATCATATCCTCGCTCACAACATGAGATAAAATCTAGAAAAATTTAAAATAATATAAATCTTGATTTTTCAATAATAACTGACTAACTAACTAACTAACTGACTAACTGACTGACTGACAGACTCTGACCGACAGACTAGGTGACTGACTGACTGACTAACCAACTAACTAACTAACTATATAACTAATTAACTAACAATACCTTGTTCCAGAACACTTGAATGATATCATTAAACCATTTAACTGAGTTGGCGGACTCGATCTGTGAGCCCTTCTGCAGATCCTTGGGAACTAGGGAGCAGGATAGTATTAGTAATTTATACTAATAACAATCAAGATAATTCCAAACTAGATAGATATAAATCCTAGTCCCGGGACAACCCACGGGGATACGACGAAAATTAGTTTTATGATGTCTGTTAAGTACATTTATAGGGCCGGGCCAGTGCGAATTTAATAGAGCATGACTTTATATGTTTAATATTTTAATTAATAAAGCTGAAATATATGATAATATGTCTTTAAATATTAAAAAATCCTGTGGAAATTATATAACCGGATTTTCAAATTATTCGACAGAGCGTATTTCTTACAAGAAAAAAATGAGTTTGTTTTTCTCCAACTTGTCCAAGTGAGAGGAGGAGCTATACGAGATGACTAACTGGTACCAGTAATGTCGCATAAATTTTGCATTCTCTGCTGTCAAGTGCACAGTGTAGCTTATTTTTCTTTAAATCGTACCACCGAGCTTATGAAATTTCATTCTGATTATGTTCAACAATCATCATTTGCATATTTCTGATCAGGGGATTCTAAAATATGGTAATCATTACTATCCTTGTGGTTGAATGTGGTCCGGAGTAGATGGGATCAGGTGATTATGTGGTTTAGATAAACAAGAATCATCCATTTTCTAAATTAAAAAAAAATTGTTGGAATAATTTCCTTTATATGCACACACTTATTGCAAGAAACTAGTTCTAGTTCAATGTCCAAATTTACAAAATGTCCAAAATTACAAAATGTCCAAAATTACAAAATGTCCAAATTTACAAAATGTCCAAAATTACAAAATGTCCAAATTTACAAAATGTCCAAAATTACAAAATATCCAAAATTACAAAATGTCCAAAATTACAAAATGTCCAAAATTACAAAATATCCAAATTTACAAAATGTCCAAAATTACAAAATGTCCAAAATTACAAAATGTCCAAAATTACGAAATGTCTAAAATTATAAAATATCCAAGGTCTTGAACATTCATGCAACTTTTCATAGCTGCCAGTATTTATGTGGGTTAAAAATCCTTACTTACTAACAAACTAACTACTAAGTTACAAAATGTCCAGAGATAAAAATTTCCAAAGTTACAATATGTCCAAAGTTACAAAATGTCCAAAGTTACAAAATGTCCAAAATTACAAAATGTCCAGTGTCCAAAATTGACAATGTCTTACATTGTCTAAAGATGTCTTCCATTGGTTAATAAATGTAGTAGATACCATTATGTGTCTTAGTACCTTAGTAACTTTCATATTAAGTATCTTGGAAGAAGGGATTTTTAATCTTTTTTGTTTAAAAATAAAAATCCTAGTTTTTAGTTGTAATTAAACATTTTATTATTTTGACATTTTTAGAAAATTTTTAACATTTTGTAATTTTGGACTTTGTGTAATTTTGGGCATTCTGTTACTTTGGACAAAATGTGACTTTGAACATTTTTTATCTTTGGACATTTTGTAACTTTGGCTATTTTGTAAGTTTGGATGTCTTGTAAGTTTGGACATTTTGTTATTTGGGCATTTTGTTGCTTTGGACATTTTGTTACTTTGGACCTTTTGTGACTTTGGACCTTTTGAAATCTCGGGTGTTTTGTTTTTGGCTGTTGTGTTTTGGGTGTTTTGTTATTGGACATTTTGTTCTTGGGCGTTTTGTATCCACTCCAGGTCTAGTTCTAGGTCTAGGTCTAGGTCTAGGTCTAGGTCTAGGTCTAGGTCTAGGTAGGTCTAGGTCTAGGTAGGTCTAGGTCTAGGTCTAGGTAGGTCTAATTCTAGTTCTAGTTCTAGTTCTAGTTCTAGTTCTAGTTCTAGTTCTAGTTCTAGTTCTAGTTCTAGTTCTAGTTCTAATTCTAATTCTAGTTCTATGTCTAATTCTTATTCCCATTTACATAAAATATATCCGAAGGCGTTAACCGGGGCCCGGGGGGTCCATGGAAAAGTGAGAACTACTTTTTTCAAAGCTAAAACAGCTTACAACGGGGTCTAAAGTAAGCCCCCCTTTGAAATGTCAATGAACAAATTCCTGGATACGACCCTGAATATATCTGTATTCTTGGTATTTGTATCAAAGGATTTACAGGAACATCTTTTAGCAACTTTATCAACCAAGAATATAAATTCTAGGAACTGTTATCACAAAATCTTTATTCATTTAGAACTCATTTTTCCAAGAAATATTAGTATTTAAAATATTACATGAATTTCAAGTCTACCTGATACATGAAGTGTGCAGCGAGCAAGAGAGCAGATTTCTTTAAATTGCTTCGATCCGGGATTATATCAATACAGACCCATACAACAAGAAACCAACCGAACCCTGGACGGAATTATTGTAATATGTACAGGCATGGGACGTAGTTTTGCGGAGGGGGGATGGATAAAACTCCTATTATTGATGGTTAGGTTAGGTTAAGACAATTTCTGGGCCGAGCGCTGCGCCTAGAATGGGCTGGGGGGCCGAGCGCTGCGGCTAGCACAGGCTAAGGGGCCGAGCGCCGCGGCTAGCACAGGCTAGGGGGCCGGCGCTGCGGCCGCATAATCAATTTAGGAGTTTTATCTATCCCCCCCTCCACAAACCTACGTCCCATGCCATATGTACAGTAGGAAGCATACGAATTGTTGAAAAAGAAGACCACATGTTATCAACTAAATATGTATCAAGTATCTTGTTGTTTATCCTGCACAATTGATGTGCATGTTTAATGGAATTTGAGTCGAATTATAGCCTTCTTATTCTACAGATTTCTGGGTCTCATTGCCTTTTATCTTCATTGTCGGAGCATTTAAGAAGAACGTTTCTTTAAATCAATATTTAATTATAAAAGCAGGGTTTCCAAAAGATGTTTCCTGGACGACCTGGACCTTACTTAGCGGCTAGCATTTTTTTCATGAAATTTTTTTTTTGGTAGTTTTGCAATATTTTAGAATATTGCCTTTATTTGTTTAAAACTCGTATGGTACCACAAAAAAAATCCGCGACACTTTTAAACCGTCAAAATTAAAAGTGAAGAAAACTAAACGTATGATAATAGATGATTGCTATCCAATCCTAATATTTCATTAAGATCGCTCTTACCAATTAATTGAATATATATATATATAAATCCATAAGAATCCCCAACAGTTTATGAAATAGATCCGTTTTATTGTTCAGTTGAACATAAAAATAACACAGTTAACAGTTGCCACATTAATTAAAATGTCCTCTATTCATTTGGTGAAATTTTTACCGCTCTTATTCCTAGATCTATTTATTGATAGACTTGCTTAGACAGGTACACTAGAACTAAATTGCAAATTTTCCTGATACTATTTTGCGAGTTTTCTCCATTTCCGTGAGTCTAATTTTTATGAAATATTAGGATTAGATAGAAATTATACACTAACACATTTTTTCATTTCTTCACTTTTGGTTTTGAGAAGAAAAAGGTTCGTGAACTTTTTTGTGGTACCATGTGAGTGTTAAAAAAATTAAAACAATATTCCAAACTAATGCAAAAATTCCATGCATAAGAATTTCATAAAATTTTTTGTTGTTGATAAAGACAACGCTTATCACACTTTTTTTTTGACTCACCCTGTATGTATCCTATAATCTTACCTAAAATAATACAAAAGTTAAATGATTTTTAAATAACGCATCCTAGACCTTATCCAGCATATAGGTGAGAATACAATAGAAGCAAGATTTCCAAACATATGTATTAATAGACCTTATCCAGCATATAGGTGAGAATACAATAGAAGCAAGATTTCCAAACATATGTATTATAGACCTTATCCAGCATATATGAGAGTAAAATAGAAGTATCGTTCCCAAATAAATGTATTCTAGATCTTACCTAGCATATAGGTGAGAATACAATAGAAGCAAGATTTCCAAACATATGTATTCTAGACCTTATCTAGCATATAGGTGAGAATACAATAGAAAGATGGTTCCCAAATAAATGTATTCTAGACCTTACCTAGCATATAGGTGAGAATACAATAGAAAGATGGTTCCCAAATAAATGTATTCTAGATCTTACCTAGCATATAGGTGAGAATACAATAGGCGCAAGATTTCCAAACATATGTATTCTAGACCTTACCTAGCATATAGGTAAGAATACAATAGAAGCAAGATTTCCAAACATTTGCATGTATCCTAGACCTACCTAGCATATAGGTGAGAATACAATAGAAGGATGGTTTCCAAACATTAGTATGTATCCTACACCTTCATAGCATATAGGTGAGAATACAATAGACGCAAGATTTCCAAAAATATGTATCCTATACCTTACCTAGCATATAGGTGAGAATACAATAGAAAGATGGTTTCCAAATATCACTATCGCTAAACTCCTTCAGAGCTTCCTTAAATAAAGTCTTCATTCTGAAAAAAAAATTTGATTTCCTCAAATATTTGTTTAAAAAATAATTAAATGCGTAACTAGTATAAAACAAAAATGTAACAAACAAAATAAAAAAATTTCATCACAACGTAACAGCTTTGTAAAAAAAATCAACTATAGTGATGCTCGTTGTGTATTAAAATTTGATCTATATTTATGTATAAAAATTTGTTCTAAAAATAAAATAAGAAATGATCTATTTTGGATACAATGCATATTACTTATTGTACATTATCAAAGAATGACAGCTTAAATTGATAAAATATAAGATATAAAAGAGTTTACAAGTATGAGATATAAAAGAGTTTACAAGTATGAGATATAAGAGAGTTTACAAGTATGAGATATAAAAGAGTTTACAAGTATGAGATATAAAAGAGTTTACAAGTATGAGATATAAAAGAGTTTACAAGTATGAGATAAAAAAGAGTTTGCAAGTATGAGATATAAAAGAGTTTACAATTATGAGATATATGAGTTTACCATTCAACAAGTATCTACTATTCACAGAGCAGTGCATGGCGTTTATTTAAGAACAGTTTTCCCGCTTTAAATCCGTGGAATTTAAACATTACAATTTAATCTGGAATCTTGGGCTTTGACTTTTGTCTTAGATTGTCCTACAGATCTACAAATCCGAATTCAATGAAAAAAATACCTCGGAAATATACATTTAAGCCATATTTTTCAGAATCTGACATTTTGATTTATCCTCATAAGTAACTCTAGAACAATAATACTAAGAATGGCCATCCTAAAGTTTCTCGAGAAAAAATAATTACTATTTATACTGTTGAACATTAGTTTTCTTTGTGTGTGTTCTTTATTTCCTCAACAAAATTAATTTTTGACAACTTCAAAATACCAAAATTAGTTAGAGAGGGGGGGCGGATCGCGAGGGAGGGGATGTAGAGCCACCATGAACCCTACGAACTGACCTCCGAAGCCTCTTGATTCCAAGCCCCCCAAAACCATTTCTTAATCCTCTCGCTGCAAATTGTTTATGTATTTATATGATCATTAAACCCTTTATTATCATGTTGAGATTTTTAGAAAAAAGGGCTTTTGGCGGATTTAAATCTAAGTTTCTTTTATTTGAGACCAGAGTGCTGGAGGTGATGACAAAAATTGCAAACGCCATGAGACTCCGCTTTGCAGACACAACCCTCCCAGATTTGTTGGGCATACCGAGCCTCCGCCATCCAGTAAGAGCCTCCGCTATACAGAATAGTTCACTTAAAACTCTTGCTTTTTGAATGTAGTAAAGAATTTTTTAAATTTTTTTCGAAATAGTACCATAATTACCATAAAAAGTTAATCAAATTCAAAGATCAGAATTGTTTAACAATTATGACTAAGTGGTTTTTTAAACCACTTACACAAAAAGGAAAACATTTTAGAGAAAAAATTCTGAAAATAATTCTATTTGATAATTAAAAATCTTTGGTTTAAGCGATACCTTTTTGGAAAGTTTTAAGTTTATAATGAAGACGCTTCGAAAAATGCTTCTTCTCAGAATTTCTTCTGGAATTTTTGGCATCCTTAAAAACATCTCAAGATTATTCGGCAAATTAACCAATCCGAAACCACGCGACGAACAACTTCGGCTTATAACTTTAATTGAAAAATACTTAGAATCTTAACAAATCCAACATCGTTAGCTCTGTTATTTAATTACCTAGAATGTCCATCCTAATGATCCATTTTTTTTTAATTTACATAAAAACCTGTTTAAAATTTTATATTTCAGAACAAAGTTTCCTTAGATTGCTGGATGCCTGAAAAAAATCATTTTTTAAGTTATTAACGATAAATCAAGAATCATGAAATGTGAAAAATTTCAAATAAAAACTTTGATAAACTGGAATTAAATATCATTATGACGGGAATTTTTTATTAAGCATTTGTGTTGAAAATTTTAATGAACTGTTTGCAGTTAACCTTCATTATGAGTTCCAGGTTTTTATCGGAGTAAAATAATCAAAAATTTGACATTGACAAGTAATCTGAATCAAAAAAAATCCCAAAAAATGTATTGGTTAATTCAAAGCTTATAACAAAATCCAAATGAAAAGAAATGAAATCCAAATAGCCTCCTTACTGCGTAAGAAATGTTTTATTGTAAAACATAAATCTTAGAAACCACTATATGAGTCAATATTAGTTACAATCATGACAATCAATAAACCATTTTAGTCTGTAAAGTTCTTGCGCAACTATGTTAGACAAAAAAATCTAAGTTACATGAAAAAAAAAACAAGTTAAAGGAAGCTGTGACGTATCGCAACCAAGATTCCGTTTCTCCAAGAACAAGATTCATCAATTTTACAAACTTAATGTTGTCCTCATCGCACCCAAGAATCAGTTTCTCCAAGAACAAGATTCATCTCAATCTTGTCCACATCAAATGCAAGAATCACTTCTTCAAAGAGCTACGAGATTCATGAAGTGCCTTGTACCTCCAGCCTGGTTATAATTCATTTTTATCTTCATTATTCTGTCAAAAAAGATCAAGACAAAAATTATTTTGTTTAATTTAAATGATACATCACACTTCCTATCTATTATTTGTAAATAACATTTGTACACATGATGTACATAAAACATTTAGTTGTATAATACAAAATTTGTACGAATTAGCAGTGTTCAATTTTATTTTCAAAACATATTCTCCATATATCAAGATTGATACTACATATAAAATCAAAAAGTACGTTGTATTGACTTCCAGACAACATTGATCAGCCTAGTGTAATTGATCAGCCGAGATATTTATCAGCTGAGAATGTAATTGATCAGCTATGAGCGGTGAGCCAGACGAGATTAATCAGTCAAATATAATGATCACTGATCAAAGGTTTAAGATGAAGGTTGGGGGGAGGTCAGGTTAAACCAATATTGAAATTGATCCATATCTACAATTGATTGATCAAGGAGCTTGAACTATTTGATCACAATGGAAATGCACGTCTTATTATTCCGGTTAATCCTGGTGTTGTATTATATATATATACTCCAACAAGCTTTATTCTCATTTCACAACTGAGAGAGATTTTAAATGTTCGATTGTCATCGTAATTATTTATTCTCTCCGGTTTCATTTATTCACCATCTTTCTCCTCCTCCTTCTCCTCTTCGCTAGCCTTGACTTTCTTTTTCTCAGGTTCATCTCCATCCTCCAGCTCCCTCTTCTCCCCGTCCTTACTCTTCTTCGGGGTCTCGAGGTCAATAACCTCCTTCTCTACATCGTCAATTTCCTCCTCGTCCTCTAGATCAATGACCTCGCTTTCTCCGTCCTGCAACATGACAAATAAAACGTGTTCTTCTATTTTATAACATTTAAAACATTTTCAATTAATATTTTTCCCTAGCTAATTCATAAAAGATGACTCACTGAACACCAAAATATTTGATAAACTGTAAATTAAATTTATTTCAAAACTAAAATAAAGAGGATGGTGGATATGTCCTATTTTATAATGGGGGGGGGGGGGGCCTTCCTTCATGAAAGTAATTTTAACTCATTTAAGTCAAACACTGTATTCGTTGATGTCATTGAATTCCCTGGGTTCCTAGCTTTTGCTTACTATGCATAAAGCCATAATTATAACATTTCCATTTTGGAGGTAATTTTAGGTCATTCGAGGTCATTTTAGGTCGTTAAAAGTCATTAGAAGGTCAAAAACCGGATTCGATGGGCCACTGTATTCCCTGGGTTCCTAGCTTTTGTTTGATATGCATAAAGACATAGTTTTAACATTTTCAATTTGGAGGTCATTTTAGGTCGTTAGAGGTCATTAGAAGGTCAAATACTGGATTCGTTGCTGCCACTGTATTCCTTAGGTTCCTAGCTTTCGATTGGCATGCATAAAGCCGTATTTTAAACTTTTCATTTTAGAGGTCATTATAGGTCGCTAGAGGTCATTAGAAGGTCAAACAGTGTATTCGTTGATGCCACTGTATTCCCTTGGTTCCTAGCTTTCGCGTGATTTGCAGAAAGTCTTAGTTAAACTAACAACATTTTCAATTTGAAGGTCATTATAGGTCGTTAGAGGTCATTTGCAGGACGAACACTGGATTCGTTGCTGCTTCTGTATTCATTGATATGCAAAGTTAACACATTTTCTATTTGTTGTACTCATTAGAGGTAATTAGAGATCATAAAAGTTTAATTTTGTTTTAGTTTAGGGAATTCGACTAATTATGCGTGCAGCCAAAAAATTGGAAGATTTGAACCAAAAATTAAGGCAGGGACACCCCCCCCCCTCTCCCCCCTTATTAAATAGGACATCTCCACCATCCTCTTTTTCAAACCTTAACATGGTAGATCTCGAGTACTGAAGAGGAACAACGGAGTTAAAATAGGTTTAAATAAGTTTTTACCTTTGATTTTTCTGAATTCTTGAGTAATGAACCTTGTCCAGGTTTAGCTCCAGGTTTAAGGACGGATCCTTGTTTAGCAGCTGCAGCCGCCTACAAAATAAATAGATAAATTGACTAATTTATTTTACAGAGATCGAAACTCTCGTATTGTAGATATCGAGATCAATGCATGTTCTCGATCTTGTTAATCTACATTATTCGATATCCCGCATAGTGATCACACCCTGGGGGGTTGAGGGAGCTTTGATCAGGGGAGGAATAACTAAATAATCATATGAAAAATATTTTAAAGATAATCAAATTAAAAGTGCCCACTGCGCACAGTGGGATCAAGCGATCAAGATTATGAGTAACTATCACAAAAGTTCCCAGCACTTTATATCTTTCTTATTCGAAAACAAGAGAATGCTGCCGACGCGACATCGGAACTGCATTGAGTAAAATTTGAAATCAAGATGGCTGATAATAAATTTCATTGTTACTTTATGATGTTTCTTTCTATATAGTTTTTTTTCATGATTTGTTGGCCATAACCATGGAAATTAAAAAAATTAAGAATATTGAAATAAAAATCCCGCTTTACCAAGATTAGGAACCCCCAACCCTAATGTAAACTATTTGTGATCTGTGCTCTCAGGGAGCAATGTAAACAAACTCAGGGCTCCCACAACAGCTTTGCCCCAGTCGATTTCTTAAACTTGTGATGAAACAGTAAAAATTCAAGAAATCATTATAAATTTTGTCCATGTTATCATTCCCCTGACTTTTCTAGAAATAGTATATATTAACGATTTTTAGATGCAGATCTTGATTTTGATGTTTCACTGCAGTACACAGATTGGACGCAAATAATATTTTTTGGAAAGAGGTTAAAGATAGATTTCGTGATATTTTGATCTAATGACATTAAACACATATTTTTTTATAAACAAGCATTTTTTCTTTACCTGTTTAGCTTTATCAGCTTTTTTTGCTACTCCCGAGTGAGCGGTGTACACGTGGTTTTCAAACAGTTTGTACTGTCCGAAGGTTGCAGTACACACTGTACACTTGTAGGAGAGATGAGCCGGCTTCAAGGTCTTGTTGTGATCCTTGGCGACGTGGTTCAGAAGCTTCCACTGGTAAACCTGCAATATTTTTCATTAAATGTCTTGAGTTTTAAAATTCGTATTAACTTATAATAAACTATTTTTTTTTCTCCAAATCGTGATTAATCCATTAGTTTGGCAACTTATGAAATTTAAACGTTTAGCAAATTTTTTAACGAGAAAAGTTAGGTAGGATAAGGAGTAAAACACAGAACAGGCGCATGGTGACATACTTTTTAGAGATAAAAATTCTGTTTTAGTATTCAAATCCGTTTTTTAAAGGGGAAAGACAAAATTATTTCTGAACAATTTACCTTTCCGCAGACCGGGCATCTGCCTGAGTCCTGACCCTTGTTAGCTGCGTCCTGCATGCTGGCAGTCACCAGACCGTGGCTACCCAAGAGATGGCGTTCAAGTCCCTGATCTGTGAAGAATCTAAACTGACATTTCTGACAGTTGAGGGGTGGACGGTTGTAGATCATCTTAGGATGGATCTTCACCTAGAAGAACAAGAAATAAATAGTTAGAAATAATTTCTTGGTTCAATGCAAACTATACTAGTGAAATTGATGCTACATTTACTGGTAGAACTTAGTGACTTCGCAGTTTCTCTAGTTTGAATTTTACGCTTAAGTATGAAGAAAAATACATATCTGGTTACATATTTCACCTCAATAGCGCTTCAGTAAGAGGAGTTAGGATTGAAAACATATCGGACGTGGAATTTACTTTAGTTTGACGTGGATTTCAGTTTCTTTAGAAATTCATTTCCCGTCACCCCCTTATACACTTCATCGTGAATTTAATTTCTTATCTCAAAATCAATAAAATAATAAACTATTAAATAATTAACTGAAACATATACTAAAACATAAGTGCCCTCACAAAGCTGTGAAAATAAAAAAAATGTAATTGTTCATATAAGCCAATTAAGATAGATCCAATAACCCCGCAACTATGTTAAGGTGTACTGCAGATTCTAGAAGAATGTATACAACATCTCTGTTAAGTTTTGGCCATGTACTATGTTTCTAGTCTGGTTTCTGAAGTGTACTTTGTCTTTGAACAACGACTCAAAGGTTACTGGGACCTAAATTAATGAGTTGGAAAGGTCGCTGAACTTCAAACCGTCAGTTCAAATCCTGAATCACCAATTCAAATCATCATGAAGCTTTAACTATTAATGATTGAATCGATGATTCTGGATTAGGACCGGTAGTTACAGTAGATAGTTCTGTGACCTCTCTCAGATTCATAAGATTCCGTCCCTGACGTATCTTTCTTGATATAGCCGATACTAAAACGAAAACTCGATCACCAATTGAGCGACAAGTTAATCTTTATTTACCTTATGTATCCACTGCATGTGGTTTCTAAGCTGCTCCAGGTCCTTGATATAACCATCACAAATCTCACAGATAACAAAGTTTCCTTTCCCTTGTCCTGCTCCGGGTTGACCGGGTTTAACGGAGGGGGAGGGACTACCCTTCTTTCCAGCTCCACCAGGGGTAGTTCTACCTGGTAGCGGGGTTATTGAGATACTAGGAGAACCAACCTTCGAGCTCTGAAACAGAAAATATTTATTTTCCACAAGTAAACTCAGACCTTCAAATAAAATGCGAAAACTGAAAAATTAAAGTCAATTTACCAAACTCTGCGCGCACAAAATAAATATCCTCGGAAATAAGGAAACTAAAACATCAAGGTCGCATGTGGGGGGTGGGGTTGGGGTGGGCGGGGTATTCACAGCGCAGCCATGAAAGTAGTCATAAAAAAATCAATTAAGTTTAATTTCCCAAAAATATAATATCAGAAACAACCTAGAAAAGCAATAATAATTTTCTTAATCTAATGATCCAATCGAGACAATCATAAAGATGATATCAATTGAGGATTCAAGATTAACGACGATACATCATCAGAATATGTTGATGTGGCCATCCTGTTGTAAACTTGATCAACAAACACTTTATTGAAGAAGGTTTGTCAATTCTGCCAAGTTATTAAAGAACATGATTCAACCAATAGAAAATAATAATAAGAGATTATTTAGAAATTGCAAATTTAATAAATAGGTTCGTTCTTATTTGCAATTTGCTTGAAACTGCTAATTGAAGGAGAGCGAGGGTTTCAAGTGTATACAATTTGAGATAGAGTAATAGAAAAGTACAGTGTGCTGTAAGTAAGGTTGAGAGTGGAGCGAAAATATATTAAGTGGATAGTAGGATAGAGAGCCAGAGAGAAGGAGAGCAGGTGCATTCAATAGTTCCAGCTCTGACCGTCAGATGGCTCTAGTAGTAATGTCTGAGTGTTTGTGTGTATGTGTTTCAAGATCGATAGACGGGAGCGTTATCAGTCCAACGCTCTGTCTATCTTCCTAACTATTTATCCCCGAGTTTTCTCCCCTCCCCCTCCTCCCTCCAAGCTTCCGTATAATGACCCCTGAACAAGTTGTAGGATCCGACAAGTATAAAGATGATTGAAGAAAAGATCTAAACATGACGAATGAGTTCCCGCCAAATTTTCAAACTATTTATTCGTGTTTAGATTTATCCAATGTCAAAGTTTCTCAATTACTCGATTTAACTTAATTACTAACGTATTGACTATTTGTACATTGCTTAAGCTGACAGCACCTATACTCTGCGTCTATTTACATGACTATATAATCTAGTTTTCCCTATCTTTATCAATGTATGTAATCTATCTATCCATCTATCTTTTGAAAATATATCTTGTCTGAATCAAGGAAAAGTAGACAACCCCCCCCCCCCCCCTCGTGTCTATATTCTAAGCTGGTTAGAACCGAGGCAGCCAGCCAGCCTGCCTACTCTATCTATCTCCCTCTCTCTCTCGTCTAAACTCACACTGTCTATCTACGCAACTTTCATTCTAACGTTTGTACAACTTCAATCAAACCTATTTAAAGAACAAGAATCATCATCTTAATAGGGCTTATACATGAGTAAAAATCCAAAGACGTCATTTTTTAAACGATGGAACCATTTTTGAAAAAAAAGTGTACATGAACTGTGCGGGTGCAGTTCACTGTTCCGGGGCCTGGCCCACCTCCCCCCCTCCTTCCTCCTCCCTCCTTCATAGCTTAAACTCAAGTACAGCTGTCGACAGCTTCAAGCTGCTAAAACATCCGCTGCGACGGAAGAGCAAAAAATTTCCGTCAGACATAATTTTGATGAACGGGATAAGTTTCATGTATTCCGTAAAACTCAAGTTTCCGAAAGATGTTGACGCATTTGATGGATTGCATTGGGGAGATAAATGAAGGGTTGGGTAATAGAACAATCATTTACTTTGAGTCCATATATGTTGTCAAACCTTGACTAATATCAATTAATTGTAAAAAATTATAGACTCTTTCCCAGGAAACAAATTGACTTGCTTTCTACCTACCCCCCTTATTTTAACTTTTGTGAGCATAGATTCATTATTTAATTGGAATATAGTTGAATAACGGAAATACTTTCAAGCACATTTCAAAGCCTTTCTTGTGGGCATGTGTTCATATTTAGACAATCAAAGGAAAAAATTTAATCTTTTTATAATAAGAATTGAAGTATAATCAACTAACATCTTGTCCCTCCCTGAACCTACGTATATCTTGATCATATGGTTGTATATTTACCTAAATAATTTTCAAAATTCCCTTCCTTTAAAGTGAACAGTATCCAAAAAGGGGAAAAACTTGCAAGACGGGGTCTAATTTTACTGTAATGGATTAGCAGATTAGCAACATTGACAAAAAATGTACTTGTGAGATAGATGTTACAAGTTATGTAGTTGTTGGAAAGGTGTAAATACAGTGGCACCCATAAAACTGTGGAATAAGAAAACGAAACTTACTGTGTGTATTTAATGATGAAACAAATATGTAGTTTTATCAATAGGAATAAAATTAACTTATTTTGTGAATTAAATCAATGACATGTCTTACTTTATAAAGATAATAAAATATATAATCACTTTTTTTGTATCAATATGATTGTAAATAATGTATGTGCATTTTGAACAAAATATAGATTTTAATAATTAATTTTCTAATTTTTTTTTTCAAAAATAAAAACAAATAAGAAATTGTAAAACAAAATCCGTGTCCAGTTTAAAATTTATGTAGCTAAAGTTATTCATACTTTTTGAGACCATAACTTAGAGTCTAAAAATCGTCTTCCTATCATAACAGTTTTAAGAGTTCCACTTTTCATTAAGTAACTATACGGCGGTGGGCAGAACAAGTCTTGAAATTTCCCTCTGCATAAAAAATGTCTTTCGTTCCGTATTTCACAAAGCAAGAAAAACCAAGACGCTGGCGAGGAAAAAAAGAAAATTATTAAGTGAAAAATATAAATGTTTTTATGTTTAACATTATTTGTTTTGATTTTAAAAATTAAATCATTCCCAAACTGCTGGATAATTGAAAAGTGAAACAAAATTAAGTTAATTCAGAAGATTGATATTAAGAAAAGTTTGTCAGTTTTTTTCTAGTAAAAGGCGAAGAAATATATTTTCCCACTTACCGGTGAATTTTTTCCACTTGACCCGTACACCGACAATCCCTGGGAGTTAAGAGCAGCCAACATTTGCTGACTAGCCAACATCTGGGGGCTCATTCCTCGGATCTTATTTTGCTGATTTCCTCCTGGAGTCGGAATTCTCAGGTCTGCAGGACCCTTGTAGCTTCCGACAGGTCGACCTCTGTTAGCCAGCTGACCTCGGTTCATGGAGTTCATTGAGTTCATGGAGTTCATTGAGTTCATCATCTGCATTCTCTGACTCTGACCGAAATTCCGATTCGGAAGCAGGCTTTGCCCAGGACGGATTCCGGAAATGGGGGATTTTCCAGGTAGGTAGTTATTATATGTTCCGTATCCAGGACGAATGGGCTGAGGTTTAATCTTTGCTGGAGGATCCCAGTCACGCTCCGGTTGCTGATTTAACTCAGACTTAAATCTTTTATCGCAGCCAAGCTTGTGTCTTGTTAATTTACCCTTGCCGTTGTCCTCGAAGGGACATTGGGGGCATTGATGGAAGTAGGGTGCACGCTCTAGCTTGCCTTTCACACCGTGTATACTGTCCATGTGGAAAAGGACTTCTTGAGGGATCTTGGTCTCGTATTCGCAGAAATTGCAACGGTAGATAAAGTTTTTCATGTGAGGAGTCTCCATGTGATGCTGCATCACAACACGGGACTCAGTTCGGAAAGAGCAGAACTTACACTTCCTTAAATCATGATGGAATATTGCGTTCTGGTCCTTACTGTCGTCTAGGTTCTTCTGCAGGCTCATGATCGCGTGCATAACTGCAGCAGACTTGTCCTTGTGAGCTCTTCTCTTCTGTTGATGCAACAGATCTTTCTGAACGTATTCTTGAACTAAGTTCATACCAAGCTCCATGAAAAATTTGCCTAGAAGTGAAGTAAAATACGATTCCTTTTCCTCTTTCTTCTTCTCCTCAGTTTCTTCTTTCTTCTCGGAATCTTTAGATTCTTCTTTCTTTTCATCTTTAACTTCTACTTCCTCTTCTTCCTTCTCATCTTCTGTATCATCTTCTACTTCCTCGTTGTTATCTCTCTTTTTCTGACGGTCTTCTCTTCGTTTTGCCTTCTCCTCCTCTTTGACCTTTTTCGCCTTCTCTTTTTCTTCTTTCTCCTTCTCATCAGCTTCCTTTTGTAGTTTTTCTATGGACGCTATAAAATCCTTTATTCCTTCTTTGGGTGGCTTCTCATAAACATACGGAACTATAAAGCTAGGAGCTTCTACAACAAAAGTATCATCTGTTAAATTGGGATCATAGGACTCCTCCTTTTGGGCTGGAGAGGAACTTAGCGTGGTTGTGCTGGTGCTCGTAATTGTTACAGAACTTGTCAAAGGTTTGGGAGAGTTAGGTTTAATGGTAACTCCAGACCCAAGAGTTAATCCTAAGGAAGTTATGTTGAGACTTGATTTAGGTCTAGCTGGAGTGATGGAAACTCCGCTTCCCATCTTTCCGGCCAGGATTGCCTGTGTATCTATTATTGTGAGTTTCTCCTTCTTCTCGTCGTCAACGTTCTTCTTTGCCGAGGTTGCAAGTCGCTGAAGCGTTTTCAAATCATCTATTGTCACCACACTAGGTTTTTTACCGGAGTTAGATTTTGTAGATTTAGTTATACTAATTGTTGCACCGCCCAATGGATCTTCAGGTTCAACTTCTTGTATATCACTGTCATCGTCCCTGATCTCCTGAATGTCCATGTCGTTGTCCTCGACGACGAACTCTATGTCCTTCTCTAGCTCGGCGTACTTGGTTGGGGTCTTCTTCCTAGAACTACGCCGTAGGGGCGGACTGTCATCCAGGGAAATTTCTTCGACCCGTTTCTTCTTTTTAGGAGTTTTGTTTCCCTTCTCTTTTGCGGATTTCGATGGTTCTCCCGATTCCTTGGAATCTCCGGATTTGTCATTGTCCTCGGTTTCTTTCGAATCAGACTTTTCTGCGTTTTCATCGTCATCAGATTTGTCTACATCACCGTTTTTACCGCTTTCCTCCGCCTCGTCATCTTCCACTTCATCGCCTTCCTCGTCACCGCCCTCCGCCTTAGCAGAAGGAGCTTTCTCCGCCCCATTCCCGTTTACAGTATGTTCCTTCATTTGTTTCTCATCTGCCGAAGCCGAAGCCCCAATACCATCTTCTTCTCCATTAGTCACATCGTCACTTTCATCCGCCTCCATTTTCTCATCATCGTGCTCCACTGAACCGTTCACTTTATCACCATCAGCATGGTCAGAGGCTCCATTTTGACCAGCTTTCTCCACTATTTCACGAGCTGAAGCTTTAAGAGCTTCAACATCAGGTTGGATTTTGTCTCCATTTTCTGTATTCTCCACTCCCTCCATCCTTTCTTCTACCTCAGACATATCTACCCTAAAATAGGATACAATTAATTCGAAAAAATGAAGTTATTTTACAATTAGTAAAATTGTTTCCCTCCCCCTCAAAAATTCAGATTGAAATGATCAGTAATATTATCATAACATATAACGGGTCCGTCCTAGAGAACGATTTTTGGACCCCCCCCCCCCACCTCCTTTCAATTTTGTACATTTACTTTTTTATTATTGAGGGTTAGGTTAAGCTAAGACAATTTCTGGGCCGAGCGCTGCGGCTTTGATGGACTAAGGGACCGAGCACTGCGTCTAGCACAGGCTAGGGGGCCGAGCGCCGCGGCTAGGGGGCCGGCGCTGCGGCCACATGATCAATTTTACAAAATGTACAAAGTTGATAGGAGGGGGGGGGGGGGGGGGGGGGGGGGGGGGGGGTGTCCAAAAATCGTTCTCTAAGAAATTACCCATATATCATCGTTTTGCAGAGCAGAAGTAAAGAAACATTTAAGCCGAGCGTAGCGGTTTCAATCTTTTCATAAAATGAAGAAGCTTAAAATCTAACGTCCTAACGTATACGCTTTGTTTCTATTCGAAAATATTATCCTAGAAAATTTTACTTTACCCCCCCCCCTTCCCCCCAATTCCACCCTCTGTCAAATTTGAAATATCTAATTCCATGCATTTAAAAAATTTTAATAATTTAGATTATCAAATAATTAATCATTTTTTTATCAGTAAGTTTTTACTTAAATGACAAAAGCTGAATTAAAATATTCTGAAAATCAGCTGATACTTAATTTGCCGGCTTTATGACAAATAATACCATTTTATTTTGGTATTGTTCGTTTCCAGGACAAAAGTTGTACTTAAGGAAACAAAAAATCGTTAAAAAAATGTTGCCCTGAAATCTTAAAGTAATAATAAAAAATATTTTCATTTTGACACACTTAATAGTTCTTTAACTAAACCGAAACTGTGGCGCGGTTTTAATTTCAAATTTTAGAAGCTTATAATTGTTGCAATTAGAAATATTGACTTTATATATCTCTTTCATCTTGTTATGGATGTATTTACCTATCGATTTCGCATAGCTTGAGGTAAAATAGGGATAAATTTTATCACTAATATTGAATTCTGTTGACACACACAATATGACTTGACTAAAACTAAAACAGAGGAACCAATATGGCGCCTAGGAAAGTCACGTGATCTAAAAAGTTCCTGCCGGGTTTCCACAAATCAGCGTCCAGTGTTTCCAGTGCACCGAAATTGGACCAATGACAGCACAGTTCAAATAAAGCTAAAGTGCACCTTCTCCGGTTATTCTGAGTACTGGATTTACTCCCCCCTCAACAGCAATGCGAGGTCCGGACACTCTGTGAGTCGGGAGAGTGTAGAGTCGACAGGATCCCGAGATAGCGCGGGAACAACAGCAATGCTGTGCCCCCCCCACACACAACTTGAAATCGGGAACAGACAAACACTCGCTCCGACGGACGGAAATAAACGCGTCTTTTTGGATCCACTTTTAGATATGATTCACAAGATTTCCTCTATGAAGTTGTTTTAAGTAATCATATAATTGTTAATTATTAATTATTACTTTCCAGATGATAGGAATTACAATTGGTTTTGATGCATGCAAGGAAGTTCTCTAAATAGGTCTAACTTTCCGTAAAATTACTGTATATGACCTCTTTAATATAATAATTTTACCACGTATAATTGATTAGAATATATGATTTTTAATCATCTCGATGCGTCATGAATATAATCTTAATAGTTGATTCATGTATTCTTGCTCACTCACATGCAGGAGACGTCACAGGGGGGCAATTGGGACTCCCGGCCCAATTGAATTATATTGAAATCTTATCTATGGTTTCCAGTGGATTTTTGGGTCCCTAAAAGGATACTTTACTTCGAGTCCTCAAGCTTGCTATAAAACCGAACGTGCAGTGTTCATCGTCTATAACATCCCCGGCCTATATCTAACTTCTGACCTGTTAACTTTCCGACCTATACTTAATATCATTATCGGATCTGCGTCAGCTGTTTATTTTTGTATTATTTGAGGGTTAGGTTAGGTTAAGACTATTTCTGGGCGAACAAAGTAATTGAGTTTTTGCAACGAACTCTTATTTTCTAATATCTTTGCAACCCGATGTTTGAAAGATTCGTTGCGGGTGGATTAGAAAGACTCATGGTAGGACTAATTACTAATTAGAAAGCATCGTGGTATATGGATGAATTAGAAAGATTGCAAGGACAAATTAGATAGATTTAGAATTGGATAGGTTTATGGGAAGACGAGTTAAAAAAGATTCATGGTAGGGCGGATTAGAAAGGTTCATGGTAGGGCGCGATTAGAAAGATTCATGGTAGGGCGGATTAGAAAAGTTCATGATAGGACGGATTAGAAAGGTTCATGATAGGACGGATTTGAAAGGTTCATGGTGTAGGAAAAATGTAAAGGTGGGATAATGAATTTGATAGAACGGGTTATCAATTGGTTTGTGGTAGGCAGGATGTAAATGTTTCAATATTTCGAAATCTTGGATGGTTGGCGGATTTTTTATATTAAATTTGCACATTTTCCCAAATAAGTCGAATGTTGACTTTTTTTCCGGGGACATTTTTTATCTTTAACATTCATAAACCTTCCCTGGGGTTATTTCAGTTGTCATAAAAAATAGGACTTGATCAGTTTTACCTTTTTGCGTTTATTTGATACAAACAAACAAGCCAAATTATATATTAAGAGCTATAGTAAGCTGTAAGTTAATTTATTTTTGATGTAGTTCAAGTTTCTTATACTGCAGAAAAGATTTTGTTATATTTTTGTTTAAGAATATAATACAGGGAAATTGTTAAATGTTTTAAAGGTTTGTATTTCAACGCCCGAAGCGGTATTCAACTTTGTATATCAATGTTTATATAGTAAACATGAATTTTAAACTAGTGGAATGTGGATCCATGTTTATCCAAGGAGTTCAAGTTAGATTATAGACAAACATCTTCTTAAATTTTCTTGTTTTCTTTGTTCTTAATTTTAACTTTTCAATTCGTTCTTTTTATAATATTTTTTTCTCGTTCATCCCAATAATCTCCTTCCTTCATCATGCAAAGGTCCAGAATGGAAAAAAATAGCAGAGATATCTTTGGAAAATTTTAACCTAAACATCACAGTGATCCAAACATCACTGTGATGCAATCAAAAAACCATCTGCTTTAAAGGGAGTGACCGGCTATGTAAGGTAGTTGAACTTGGTATGCAGTGTTGTGGAAAACTTCTTTCGGATTCATTTGAGACATATTAAACTTTTTAAAGATCTGTAAATCCTAAGTTTGAGCGCAAATTTGACGTTCAAAACTCCTACTTTGGGGTGGATACGTTTTCAGAATTAGTTTTTTTAAAATTATTAAATAACGACGACATAAAATTCTACAATAAACAACAAACGTCATGTATATAGGAACATGTTAAGAAAATAAAAATTAATCTTATCATCGCAAATCTTGTTCAATTATTAGTTTCTATTTTCTCATTATTCACAAAAATTTTGGCAGATTTTCTAGAATTATTATTGAAAAAACGACATTTGAAGAGTTTGAAGAAATCTGCGAATAAATTCAAAGAAGATAAGAAATTCAAAATAATAATGAAAACAAAATAATCGATTTTAGCATTGATTTATTGACAAATTTCTTTTAAGAAATATATTCCTAACCATCTAATTATAGATTACTGTATAATTTTACTTTATTTTTCGTTGTCGTTATTTAATATTAAAAAAAAAAAATTCTGAAAACGTATTCACTATCCACACCCAAAGTAGGAGTTTTGAACGTCGAATTTGCGCTCAAATTCAGGTCGATTTACAGAAACAGAAAGCTTAATATGTCTCAAATGAATCCGAAAAAAGTTTTCCACAACACTGCATACCCAGTTCAACTACCTTACATAGCCGGTCATTCCCTTTAAAGTTATGAAGTGTACAAAAAAAGTATAATTAAGCGGGTCATGGTAAGGTCAACCCAAAGGCTAAGTGTCGCAACGCCACTTAAAAGTCGGCCTAGATTTGAAAATTGATGCAACATTTCATAATTGTCTTAATCTCTGTGACATTGATTAAGGGGTCGGGAATTCTTATATAATGTTAAAATTAATGTAAATGAAAATAATTTAGTTTTTAATTATCAAAAATAAATGTAAAATAATAATAATATGATTTTTGGGTCAAAGGCAGTCTTTTAGAAGATATCCTTATTATTGGAGTAGTGTCAGAAACAAACAACCATCTCATCTGAGATTCCCAGCTTTCGCTGGAGGCCTCAAGGATTTAATTGGCAACCCCAAGCTTTTTATTGGAGAACTCGATCGGATTCTTATTACAGACTGCAAGGGTTTTCATTGGAAATAAATGTTGGATTTCCAATGAAAAGTTTGTGGTCTCCAATGAAACATAAAAAGCTTTAGGTTTCCAATCTGTCTTGAGGTCTCCGACAATAAGCTTGGAATCTTCAATAAACTTTGTAATCTCTGAGTTTCTAGTTAAAACATTACAGTATAGGGTTACTCACAAAGGATGAGACTGTATATATGACCTAAAACTAATAAATATGACGATTAGGAAGTTAAATTAAGTCTTAAGTACCTTAAATATTGTTTTTTGACCTATGTTTTGACAAGGCAACAAAAGAGACCAGTTTACAGAGAATCCTAACTATAACATAAGGAAATTGACAGTATACATTCTTTACAGTCGTCTCTGAAGTCTCATCCTTTTGTGAGAACCCTGTATCTACATAATAAGGTGTCCCTGATTGTGCGGACTAGGTTAGTTACTTGGTAAATAAAGACGACCTTACATTTCTTCTCTGTACATCTTACTCTGTTAGGTGTTGTATCAAAAGGACTACTAAGTAATGAACCATTGGAATAACCTTAGTTTGGACTGTTGTTGATTTGTACCAACGTTCAAAACACATAAACAGATATTTGTTCGGTGACATATCGATAGGTCTAATGATTGATTGAACTAACATTAAGTTATACTAACGTTCATTTGGACTCGTTCAAAAGGACTATAGTCCGTGAACAAATATTCATTCAATTGAACTAAAACCCACGAGGAGACATTCCAACCAGGTGGAGAACCACTGAAGAAATTTTAGAACAAATGGACAAAAAAGTTTAGTTCGACTTAAACCGTGAAAAGTGGGAAAATCCTTTATAGCTCAAACGAACACATTTTAGACATTTGAACAAAAGCCAAAATTTTCATAATTTTGCCACAATATCCAAGTTAGTTCAAGGGAACACATTTTAGAACAATTGAGCACAAAAATGTTCATTTGAACAAAAGTTGAAATTTTCATAATTTTGCCACAATTGTTCAAAAGGAATTGAGTTTTTGCCACAAACTCTGATTTTATAATCACTATATCTTTGGAACCAAATGTTGCAGACCTTAGATATTTCAAACTATGAATTTTGTTAGATCAAATAATCTGAGTTTGAAATATCAAAGGTTTACAACATCGGGTTCTAAAGATATTGAGGTTTAAATATTTGATTTTGTTCCAAAGACTCAATTCCTTTGTTTAAACGAAAACATTTTAAAACAGAAACAAAAAAATGTTCATTTGAACTCCCTACTATCCCGAAAACCTAAAAATACTAAATCCTCTATATATATAAATATTTTTAGTTATATTTACGTAAAAATTCGTATGCTCAACTTTTTGGTAAAGAACTTGCGTATGTTTACGTATTTTTACGTATTTGTCATTTTGCATATTTTTTTCTGTTTTTTCTTCACTGAAAAGATTGTATTTTTTTTTTAGTTTTTAGCTAACCTAAAAAATACGTCTATTTTCGAAAATTTCATACCAAGTAACTTTTCAAAGCTTTAGGTTTGTATTTTACGTTTTTATACGTTTCTTTTTGTATTTCTTTACTTAAAAAATTGTGTTTTTTAGAGTTGAAAAGTTTTATGCCAGCTATTTTTTCTTAGTGTCAATATATTCACGTAACCGTAGGAAATTTAATGCAAACATTTTGAAAAATACATTGTTTCAAAATTTCTTCTTATCTTTTTGGTGAATATGCCTTAAAAATACGTATAGTAAAACCTATAAATTCAAAAATTAACAATTGTTAGGATTTTTTTCAAACCTAAATCTAGATATTTACGTTTGTTATATACGCATTTTTACGGATATAAATACGTATTTTTACCAAGGAAATGGTTACGAAAATACTTATTTCATATATGTGGAAAATACGTGTTTTACGTATTCCAGACCTAAAATTATGTATTATATACGAATGATGCGTATTTATAGGTTTTCCGGTTAGTAGGACTAGGGTTAAAATTTTCATCATTTTTATCACAAAATCCTTCTTCGATCCCACTTCAATCCCTCTTCAATACTTCTTCAATCCTTAGATTCGATCATCACAAAATCAATCCTGCTCTAACACTCCCCCTTCAATCAGGTTTCATTCCCGGCACTTTCAAGTTCAAGTAACTTTCAACTTACAGACTGCTCATGCCCGATTCACAATAGTACCCTTTAACATTTTATCAATTATGACAGAGAATTATGAAGCAGGCATATAACGGTATTGACGGTCACTTGAAATTTCGTCGACAATTCTTTTAATTTAATCTTTTTTTAATAACTGCTCTAGTCCTCCTCCAATCCTGCTGTAGTCCTCCTCCAATCCTGCTCTAGTCCTCCTCTAATCCTGCTCTAGTTCTCCTCCAATCCTGCTCTAGTCCTCCTCCGATCCTGCTTTAGTCCTCCTCCTATCCTGCTCTAGTCCCCATTCCAATTCTGCTCTAGTCCTCCTCCAATCCTGCTGTAGTCCTCCTCCAATCCTGCTCTAGTCCTCCTCCAATCCTGCTCTAGTTCTCCTCCAATCCTGCTGTAGTCCTCCTCCAATCCTGCTCTAGTTCTCCTCCAATCCTGTTCTAGTCCTCCTCCAATCCTGCTCTAGTCCTCCTCCAATCCTGCTCTAGTCCTCCTCCAATCCTGCTCTAGTCCTCCTCCAATCCTGCTCTAGTTCTCCTCCAATTTTCTTTAATCCTACCTCAAAAACCCAGACCATTTGCAACATGTAAAATTTACATAAATGTATTTTATTATATTAATCACAACAAAATCACATTTTAATGAACACAAATTAATATTTGTACACAAGGAAGGATTTACATCTTCTGTTCCTCAATACTTTTATATTGATCTGTGCTTGTTAGACATTATTGTTCTTGATTAGCAAAGTTAGCAACAATAACAATTAAACAGGACATTCAGTCACAACACAGTACTTTTACATTTCAATTAGTGTGTCTCTTTTAATTCAAAAGTATTTTATTTACAAATAGTAAACAGAGTTTAACGAACTATAGATTCAACAGTTACAAACCAAAAAAAAAGTTAATTTATATTTTGATTGGTGGAAATTGTAAACTCTGCAAAATTCCATTATAACATTTTTAAGTTTTGATACAGTAATTTATCACTATATTTTATACATTTATATATTACAACATCACTTATTAGATTTTTAAAGAAACAGACAAAGGAACTGAGTTTTTGTCACAAACCTTACTTTTCTAATCTCTATATCTTTGCTACCCAATGTCGTAGACCTTTGATACTTCAAACTATGAGTTCTGTTAGACCAAATAATCTAAGCTTGAAATATCAAAGGTTTACATAATCAGATTGTAAAGATATGGGAATTAGACAATATGAGTTTGTGAAAAAAACTCAGTTCCTTCAGATATGTTTTTTGTTTGATTTTTAGCGCTTAGCCTATTTGTGATATATATTACAAATTAAACAGTTTATTTACATATTATTATTGTAAGATATAAAACAATTTTAGTTGTTTTTGTAATACAAGGTTTTTTCTTTAAATAGAATCATTTATACAGATGATTAAGTTTTAGTCTGAAAGAAACTAGAATCGTCAAATCACTATATTTTGGCAACCTAGTGGTGTTCTCTTTGACTCTTTCAAATTTGATCTAACAGAATTCCTAGTTAATTATACATTATTATTATTATACTAATACAATGAAGACGACTTTCGGGTTCAATATGAATTTATATTAAGCTTTTAAACAGCATGGATACAAAAACAAATGGAAACCAAGAGATGCTGTTAATTAATTAAGCTTCTCTTTCATTACTTGTAAATAAAATAAACAGAAGACGACCGAAAGTTCGTAAAAATTTAAGAATTAAGAAAGTGGTTTTTTGCCGCAAACTCAAATTTTTTAATTCCAATGTCTTTGCAACCTGATCCGGTGTAACCCTTTGATATTTCAAACTTAAAACATTTGATCTAACCGAATTCGGTAAAGTGGTTCCTGAGTTATGATTTAAAAACGGAAAAAGAGTGATTTCTATACTATATATAAAAGAAGATACCGTTCTGAAGGTTGAACTTGTGTTTTTCAGCATTTGAAATAGTTCTCCTGCGTCACATTATATAATTTGACAATGTCTAAAATAAGTGTACAGAAAAAAATTGCAGGTAATTATGATTTTTTTCTGTAAAGACTTTAATTAAAACACTGCATCTGTGGAATTTAAAGGTTAATAAATGCCGCGTAAGAAAAGCTGATTTAATTTAACCCTTTGAATTTTGCTTCGATCTTATTTTTACAGGATTATCAGAGATATGCGTGCACTGTACTAATATAAAAATACCAGGTATTGTATTTAGATAAAAATATTTTTATAAATGCTTGAAAATCGAACTGCTTCCACCGATTTTGAAAATGTTACCGGGATTTTTAACAGTATTTTTCTGGTTGTCTGAACAAGTTCTAATGAAACAATTAGAAGCTCTATTTTAAAAGCTCTAATTTGTTCCATTAACTCACATTTTTTTAAAAGGGATTGTTCTCGAAGTTTCTAGCAACCCTTGAGAGTTCCATCAGCAAGTTGTTGGCAAAATATTCTTCAATTTTTGCGCGAGATCGTGCACATCTTGGTTCTAGCAGTGCTAGAAAAACCGCGCCAAAAGTTATTTTCAATTAACATATTATGATTAAATCATGATTTATGCTGAGATGAATCATCGTCTCAAATTTCTCGTTTCTTGTTTTTTTGCTATTTCGTTTTTTTGTTGTTTCTTGTTTCTTATTTCTAATTTTTATTTCTTATTTTTTTGTTTCATATTACTTTTCTTCATGTCTCTATACGGTTGTCGTCATCAAGTTCCTACCAGATACAGTGGTGTTGGGTGTTCCACTTGTGGATACAGCTGTGGTAGGTGTTCCACGTGTGGATACAGCTGTGGTAGGTGTTCCACGTGTGGGTACAGCTGTGGTAGGTGCTCCACGTGTGGATACAGCTGTGGTAGGTGCTCCACGTGTGGATACAGCTGTGATAGGTGTTCCACGTGTGGATACGGCTGTGGTTGGATACCTCTCCACAGCACTCGTAAGGGCAGGGCTGTTGTTGTTGTTGTTGCAAAGTTCTACCACTTCATGGACAGCTCCTCTCTACACAATTATAGCATTTTTTTTTTACAAATTTCAAATTAATTTCAATTAAATCTTAGTCTATTAATTTCGTGTTTCAGCAACTCCTCTTTAATGAACATTGATGAACAAATAAGTTGGTCAGATGAAACCTTTTTAAAATCCGAACTTTCAGTCAAGAAGGATTAAACCCTAACTTAAATATTTAAAAGATTCAAAAGATTTACCTGTAAGAGGAACGATAACCTACACAACATACTAAGTTCTTTGCGGAACCTACAGATAAATATAGTTTAGCTATTTTTAAATTTTAATCATTATAAAGTACAGAATACAATCCAGAGAGGTATAATCTATTTTGCAGTTAAACCATATTATTTTAATGCCATGCTACTAATTTGCTCCTAGAATTTGATAAAAGTTGATAGACCTAGTGTAAATATTTAATGTCTCAAGCTGCCCAATAACATTATTAATTTTTTGATTTTTTTTTAAATTTCAAATATTTGAGCTTATTTTTGTTACTGTACAGAAAGTGTTAAAGAAATTTTCTAATCCCTAGATCTATGTAAACCTCTGATGTCTCAAACTTAGGTTATTTGATGTAACCGAATACTATAGTTTGAAATGCCATTCTAAAGTCAACGACATCGGTTTGCAAAGATATTGGTATTATAAAATCAGAGTTTGTATCCAAGACTCAATTCCTTTAGCTCTGTAGGCTTTTATTATCCTCTTTTTTAAACATCCTTAAAAATAGGTTTTTTTGTGTGACTAAACATTGTTAAAGTTTTTAGCATTATTGTAATGTGAAGACGACAGAAACCAAAAAGCGAGAAGTCTTGATAGAATATTTTATAGAAATAAGGTCGTCATTGTTCTCTCATTTTTTATATTGATAGTGATATAATAAGAATAGTGATATAATAAGAATATTGATATAATAAGAATAGTGATATAGTAAGAATAGTGATATAATAAGAATAGTGATATAATAAGAATAGTGATATAATAAGAATAGTGATATAATAAGAATAGTGATATAATAAGAATAGTGATATAATAAGAACAGTGATATAATAAGAATAATAGTGATATAATAAGAATAGTGATATAATAAGAATAGTGATATAATAAGAATAGTGATATAGTAAGAATAGTGATATAGTAAGAATAGTGATATAATAAGAATAGTGATAAAATAAGAATAGTGATATAATAAGAATAGTGATATAGTAAGAATAGTGATATAATAAGAATAGTGATATAATAAGAATATTGATATAATAAGAATATTGATATAATAAGAATAGTGATATAGTAAGAATAGTGATATAATAAGAATAGTGATATAATAAGAATAGTGATATAATAAGAATAGTGATATAATAAGAATATTGATATAATAAGAATAGTGATATAATAAGAATATTGATATAATAAGAATGATCAGAATCGTCTTTTCAAAGAATGGCACAGCTCTAACATCACACAACTGATTCATTCATCGGAGACATAAAAATATTTTTAGACCTGGTTCCACAAACACAGTAGATCAAGAAGTTGATGCTGGAGTTCAAAATCAGGAGAAGATGATTCAACCTGAAATATTGGAGATCACAAGATCAAGATGATTATATTAAAGATCAAGACTAAGAGAAGATGATTCAATCTGAAATATTTGAGATCACATGAAAAAGATCAAGAGAAGATGATTAAAATCTGAAATATTGGAGATCACAAGATCAAGATTGGAGGTTAAGATTATAAGCAAATGATTCAAGATTAAATATTAGAAATAAGATCAACACGATTATATTCAAGATCAATCTCAGTAACCTTAAATATTAAATTTAATTATCAACATAAGTATCTACAGCTGTAAGTTTTCTGAAGTATAAGATATTTCTTGTAAGATCAAGATGATTATATCAAAGTATATGATAAAGGGTAGATATCTTAATTTGAAATATTAAAGATTATAAGATCAAGAATTGTGCGTATGTATAAAGATCAAGTATTAAGGTACAGATGCTTTACTTTGATTTAATAGAGCTAAGTTCATAATATTTATTAAAATTGTATTTATTGTTATTTTGATCCAGTATTAAAACTAAGCAAAAAATTTTTATCGAAAAAAAGTAAAAATTAGAATAAGTTTCGCGTAAAAAAATCTCTAATTGACGAATAGGAAAAGGTTGAGTGTATAATAAGTTGTTTGTGACCGTAAAGGAAAAATAAAATGGGGTATAGGCTAAAACTTCAGGAGTTGATTGAGACTGATAAGAGTTCTATCTGATGGAACATCTCGAGATGTCTCGAGAAATTAATATAAAACATACACCAAAACTTATATATGTAAGATTGGTATAATAATCTAAGTCTAAAACAGATCATATTCAGCAAATACGCAACCAATCTGAAAACGAAAATATTCCAGAGGAGCCTGAAAAACTCGGGTTTAAGCTTCTATTTTTATTTGAATATTATATTTATTTATTTTTATTAGAATGAAATTGATAATATAATTACTACGTCATTAGCGCGTTACCAGTTTCATTGTCACATGTCTCCGTCTGTATCTTGTGGGATTTTTTGTCATAAACCTTACATGTACGTACTCGAATCCTATAAAAAAAGCAGTTTCGCGTTTTTAAAATAAATAAAGATTTTTTTAAAATCGTAAAAGTCGACATTTATTTATTTTTTTATTTTGACCAGCGATAATTTTCTTTGGTCATGTCAGTTGCCACAATAAATCGGCCCAAATCGGTTCAGCCGTTTGGAGTTTTTTTAATACAAGCCAACTAACAGTTGACAAGCTAAATTAATGTATACGCGTATTAAGACTTTTTAGTGTATTTTACGGAAAAGACGGTTACATAAAAAAGTTTTCACAATTTTTTATTAAATACTGATGATGAAAAGGTTTAAAAAAACATCTTTAAAAAAAGACGATTATTCCAAGACAGTGTGGGGGGGGGGGGTTTACAAAATCGTTCTAATGATTCATTGTTTGCAAACTGCGTCGCAAATATAAACATTATTTTAGGAATTGTAATAAAACAATAATTTTTGCTTCAACTTATTGGAAACCAAATTTTTGTAAAAAATGAATTTTTAAAAAATACCTTGCCACATGCAAAATCTTTAACCCTATCACCATTAGGGGGGGGGGGGGTTCCCCCTCCTATGGTTTCTTCTGAATAACTTACATTAGAACTTCAGACTTTTCACGTTTTAAACATAAAAGTTATAAACAAATTTTGCTAAATGATTTTTGTTTTGATGCATAGGGTAGGTTGGAGGACGTTAAAGTGGAAATAAGAAATCTATGAAAATGGTTTAATTGTGGTTTCAAAGTACAAAGTTGTGCCCAGTGATGACAATATAATTCTTCAAAACAAGTTTTGCACAAAGCAAGAATAATAATGGAATAGAAAAAAGAAAATTTTATTTTCTACCCAATCCTTCGAAACTTTTTAGATAAAAACACAAAATTAAAGTTTTACTGTTGTATTTTATTGATATCAAATCTCCGAAAAAGTTTTATTTATTTCTCATATACAGTTGTAAGTGCTAACTTTAGTAAACTTTATTATCGAATGAACGATATCTATAATATAATAAAGCTCATTGCTTTACATTTATACATTTGCTTTAGCTAGTTGGCTAAACGGCTGGACCAAATTGGCCGAATGCTCTCCATCAAAAGTTAAGAGATTTTTGCAGATGTATAACTTTTTTTGTAATTGCGCAATGATGAATACAATACAAATGGAAAGTTTTCTGGAGATTTATTGAAAACCTGTTCAGTTTTACAAGATTTGGTTGAGCTCGGGTTTAAATGATGATATCAGAATCGTATCTATATGTTCCTAATATCATCAGCTGGCAACATTTTCAACATTCTCAGTTTCACGATATACTTTTTAAAACTCCTGCAATATTGAAAGGCTAATGAGGATGGACTCACATTGCACGGTAAAATAGAGATGTTCCCAAGCGTCAACTTTCAAAAGGTATTTTCTCAAGTAGCAACTTCCCAAATGTGCAAATTCCCAAGTCTGTCCTAGCCGCAGCGCGTATCCCGCTATCCCATCCTTGCTGCAGCGCTCGGGCTCCAGAGCAGCCTCAGGCGCCTCAGAAAGCCTAACCTAAATATTGGGAAGTTTCCGCTTGGGAAATTGCACATTTGGGAAGTTACTTGGGAAGTCGCCCTTGGGAAAATATCTTTGGGAAAATACCTAACACCAAACTAGAGGTCCATGAGACTTTAAGAACCAATTTTCATCCTTTAAATGTAGATTTTCGTATTTGCAATTTCACACTTTACTTGAAGTGATTTTTTTATACAAAGGAATTGATTCTTTGCAACAAATCCCAATTTTCTAATACCTATATATCTACAACCAAATTATGTAAATATTTGATATTTTAAACTTTGATTGTTTGATATAAAAATCAGAGTTTGTGGCAAAGACTCAATTTCTTTAAGTACATAAAGTCTATTACTCTATTTTTGACGGATTTTGAAAAAGATATCCAAATATGACTGAAAGTATTCCGATATATTTTAATAAATCAAATTTACAAAACTAATAAAAATGTTTTTCAGAATCGATTTTACCTCAAGACCTTTTACAAAAGAAATAGAAGATATGCATATGTAATTAGCTTAGAAACCCGGCTTGTCTGGAGTTTCACATGTTATTTAAGAATGTCAACCGCACTCAACTTGGAACTTTAAAACCAAGCTATATGACCATTTCCGTGGCAATTCGGTCGAGGGGTTCATGAATTATGATCGGACATACAAACAAACAACACAAGAAATTAATTCTTTATATATATAGATATCAATTTAAAGAATGTAGATACACACGCATATTACTAATCAAAATATCAAAAATAAACTTAATAAAATACTAACTTTGGCTTCAAATCAAATTATGTTTCCCTCCATGAATTTCTCATAATTTCTCATGAATATTATATTATTTAGTTGGATCCACTATTCAATTAACTTAATTCTCCCGCCACAAAACTTTACAAAAAGTCCTGGCCAAGAAATATCAAATATGTAAGACGTTAGAAATGTTAAACTGCAGTCGCTTTCGTATTAGTTTTGAAAAAATTGTTATTTCACGTAAATTACTGAATATTAAAACTTAAAAGGGTTCTTACCACAAACTCTGATTTTTAAATCCCATTTTTTTTGCAGACCTATTTAAAATCTAAATTATGTTAAATCATAAAGTCACTGAAATATTGGCAGCTCTAAAATTAGTCATTTAGACAGCCTCGATATTACAGTGTCACAACTCGCAAAGCATTAGCCTTTGGGTTTCCCTTACCAACTCACTGATACTTTGTTGTAGCCCTAGGCATACATATTTTAAAAATGCAACGCTCTTGTTTCTTGCTTAAAAGGAGTAATTACAAATTCAGATTAACTTTTGGATGAGAGTCATATCATGGTTTGCAGTGTAGTGTCAATTTGAAATATCAGGTTGCAAATAAAGTAGGATTAGAAAGTTTGATGTTTAGGGAACAACAATAAATAAGAAGAACAATTTAAGGATGCACAAACATATTGGTCAGGTTTGCATAACACAGTCAGCAACTTAGCAATAATATTATTTATCATGTTTAGTGAATTAGAGTGTATATTTGAAATGTGTTTAACAGAAACTACTTCAAAGGACTACAGACGTAATTTATGATCTCAACAGGCCCTGAAAAGCTTTATGATAAAAATGAATGAGATATTCATGTTTTCGACATATTCATGGTTGTGGTGTCTCTGTAAAAGTGAAAAACAACAATATTTTTATATTTTTGATGAGATAAAGATTTAAAGAGAACTATTATTGAAAACAGGACATGTCGCTCTAATTAAATGAAAGGTCACTAGGAATTGAAGTTTGACAGACCATGGGCGTATACAGCAATAAATGTAGTGGGGGAGGGACCCTGCACTGCAATAATCATTTGATGTGACTGATCTCGTCAACCAGATATTTTTTATGCGATGGGCGTAGAAAATTCTTAAAGGTGTTTTGATTAGCAAGATTAGAACTTAAAATAATAATGCATGTGAAATCCATGGAGTAAACCGCACCCTACACGCCAATACACGCCCCACGCACCCTGCACACATACACACTCACACTTACACACGGTCAAACAAACAGTGGAATAGTCAACTACCTGGAATTTCGGAGATAAATCAATCTTTAAAATCAAATGTATTAAATTAAGTTTCAGATTCAGAAAGCATGATCATCCCTAAATTTGCGTCATACGTCACGACCAACCGCGCAATTTTTATGCGTATATCTTTTGTAGAGAGAGTGCGTACCCTGAATACTCCGCCCGGAGGTAGAAATAGAGTGGGACGGGACGGATAGCTCAGGGTCTGAACCTGGTCCGTACTCAGTAGTACTAGAACACAAACACGCTAGATCCATAGTATTTTCAAGTTTCAACAGAAATTCCAGCAGTGCAGTGAGCAGTCTAGTAGTGTAGGATCCAGTGTACGCACACACAGAGAAATTATTAAAAAATGGTGCTCGAGGGAGGAGAACTTGCTGCAGCTGTTATATTTGGAATTATAGCATGTGTGCTTGGTTTAGGCCTGCTACTATTCTTATTTCGTCTATGGATGCAGGGACCTAAGTGTAGGAGTAAAGTAAAATTGGACGGGAAGATTGCAGTGATTACAGGGGCGAATACGGGGATTGGTAAAATCTGTGCACTAGACCTGAGCAGACGAGGGGCAAAGGTTGTTATTCTTTGCAGGAGCACTGAGAGGGGTGAGGCGGCCGCCGAGGAAATTAGAAAGGAGACAAAGGGTGAGGTTATTGTCCACAAGCTGGATCTTGCGAGTCTTAAAAGTGTGCGCGCCTGCGCGGAGCAGCTTGGGAACTCCCTTGAGAAGATTGATATTCTGTTGAACAACGCCGGGGTGATGACCTGCCCGGAGATGAGAACGGAGGAAGGTTTTGAGATGCAGATCGGGACAAACCATTTCGGACACTTCCTTCTCACCAACCTTCTGATGCCCCTGCTGAAGAAAGCTGCACCTGGAGCTAGAATTGTAAATGTGAGCTCCCTGGCTCACGAGCAAGGACGGATGAATTTTGACGATATCAATTTTGAGAAAACGCCTTATAACGCAATTACAGCTTACGGACAGTCCAAACTTGCAAATGTCCTGTTTACCCGTGAGCTAGCAAGGAAGGGCGAAGGTTCTGGTGTCAACGCCTACTCCCTTCATCCTGGCGTTATAAATACCGAGCTAGGACGTCACTTGAAGGATACCTACGGGGCCTGTGCTGGATATATGCTCATGTGTTTTGCTCCTCTCTTGAAAACCCCTGAAGCAGGTGCACAAACTAGTATATTCTGTTGTGTAGATGAGAGTATAGCTGAGGATAACGGAAAGTACTACAGTGATTGTAGAGAGAAGACTGCAGCTGCTGCTGGGAGGAGTGATGAAGACGCAAAGAAGCTCTGGGAGATTAGTGAGAAGCTTACAAATCTTCAACAAGTATGAATCTCAACTCTAACTAAATCCCTCGAAAAATCACGGAAAACTGAAATAAACATTTGATCTAGCGTTCGAATAAAGTTGCTGAAATAAAACCGACTCTGATTATGAAACCAACAATTGTTCTGTTCTAGATTTAACCAAGCGTGGAGTTTTATAGCTCTACACCAGGCCTAAACACAACCTTTATCAACTTACTTTATGTAAAACAATGATCCTTGAAACTGTGTTTACTATTTACCAATCTGACTCATAAACATAAACCAAATAATAGTGGTATTTGAGTGACCCCTAGATATTCGTCCTTCAGTATCAATCCACTCATGAATCTTACAACCTACAATATTACATATACTCCAGTCCTTGATATTAGGACAATAATAGTGATATTTGAGTGACCCCTAGATATTCGTCCTTCAGTAGCAATCCACTCATGAATCTTACAACCTACAATATTACATATACTCCAGTCCTTGATATTAGGACAATAATAGTGATATTTGAGTGACCCCTAGATATTCGTCCTTCAGTAGCAATCCACTCATGAATCTTACAACCTACAATATACATATACTCCAGTCCTTGATATTAGGACTCACACCCAAATACTCATACTTATCCAGTTATTTGATATGTACATTATATTCAGTACAAGTGCGAAATTGATAATTTTGCACAGAATTTGCACGAGTATGAAGTTTAAGTAAAGATAAGAAAACCGTGTGAATCAAGGAACTGAACAAAGGATTGAGGGAAACTTTAAAACTTTTTAAAGTTTGAATTATTTGTTTTCCCCCCCCCCCCCCCCATCAAATACTGCAGTCCAATAATCTCTAAAACCAATCTCACTATTTTTGTAATCTTTTAATACTTCTAAGTAGTCTACCATAAAAGTTGTTTGGTTTTGCAAAACTTTTTAACTCTTTATTTCATTTGTGTCAAAAATTTCTTAACTTTGTTCGTTCCGAAATTTTAAACCATTTCTATTTCAGCGAGCCTAAAAATTCTCTAATATCACTTTCTTTACCTAAAACTTAGCTTTATAATTTTCATACTCATTTTTTACAGTTCACTCTCAACTAAGCTTTCGGTGCATTCTGCAGTAATTAGCAGTACACTGACCGAAGATATAGTAGCGTTTAGTGGAGAGTGAGTTACAGTAGATTTGTTTAAATTGCGATAGTTTTTTTCACTATATATTTATACTGTATGCCGTTGATTTTGATGTAAAATATTCATATTAATAGAAATATTAATTAGAAATCTAATTGTGTTATAAACAAATATAAAATACAAAATTTGAATTAAAATTTTCAATGTGTTTTCGGCTTGTCTGTTTGTTTGTTGATGTGTGTGTGTGTATCCAATAAACGTCGAGATGGTTAAAACGATTGAAAATTATAGTGTTATAGGACCTTCAAAAAAATTTGGCTTCAAACATTTCAATTGAAACAATTTTTTTGACATCCGCCGATGAAAACAGAACAATTATTGTTCATATTTTTAAATATAGGAATTAGAATACAGGATTAGGAATTAGAATATACAATTTTTTAAATATAAAAAATCACAACGGCTTAACTGATCGGGCTTACATTTTCAGGACCTTAAATGACTCCCAGAAATGATATAGTGATAACCAGAAAACTCTAGAATAGGAAGACGACTTTTAACGTTAGGACTTAACTAGTTCAATGAACATTAGACATAGCAATTGTACAGTGTAAATAGACCCTTTTCATTTAAATTGTGCTTTGCTAAGTTACTGAGTTATATTTGCTTTGTGTCAACATCAAAACGCTTTAGTATTGCTAATGTCATGTTTCTATTCCATTGTTTTCTGGCTATTACTGTATACACAAAAAGAGCTTTCATATTGTGGGTTTGACCCCCCTCCCCCCCACCTCCCTACTACAAAAACTTCCAGTTACGGTCCATGCTTTGTTGGATCTAAAGAATGTTGGATCTTTGTTATCCTTTTCGTCTTTTAAGTCTGCAATATAAAAACTATTATTAGATTAATTTTTAAACAAATTTCTTGAAGTCTCTGGAGCGTAAAATTTCTGGAAGTTTTATACATTTTTTAACTTCAAAGAGAAACTTCTGACCATGTATCTAATATTATTCTGTTGAATTTTTCCAACGTATAAACAAATAGCAAAATGCTAAGCTATATTATTTCTAATATAATCTATTTTGTATTCTTTCTAATATATATTCTATTTTGTATTCTTTCTAATATATTCTATTTTGTATTCTTTCTAATATATTCTATTTTGTATTCTTTCTAATATATTCTATTTTGTATTCTTTTTAATATAATCTATTTTATATTCTTTCTAATATATTCTATTTTGTAATATTTCTAATATATTCTATTTTGTATTCTTTCTAATGTATTCTATTTTGTATTCTTTCTAATATATTCTGTTTTGTATTCTTTCTAATATAGTCTATTTTGCATTCTTTCTAAAGTAAAAAAGGGAAACTCGCTCCCGTGTATGTTTATGTAAAAGCATGCACACTGTTAATTGTAGCATTTTCCAATAAGAGATAACACGCACTGTGTTTGTAGTATCTACAGTAATATTCCAGAAAAGTATGCTATCTTTCAATAAATAATTTAGTTTTTTTCTCACGAACTGCTTCATTATCAATATTTGAATATAAACTTACCAACAACCCAGAAATGGAAAAAACAGAAAAAAGTATCTGTTAAAATTGATTCCGACTTTATTGATTTATAATTGTATGTACATGATAACTCGTTAAGAAACTCTTGTGATAAACTCATATTTTTAACAATCTTGTAAACTATAATAACCATGATACGTAAATAAATATCTAGATTTTAAAAAATATATTCTATTTTGTAATATTTCCAATATATTCTATTTTGTATTCTTTCCAATATATTCTATTTTGTAATATTTCCAATATATTCTATTTTGTATTCTTTCCAATATATTCTATTTTGTAATATTTCTTATATATTCTGCTGTATTTATTATATAAAATAATAAAATCCTATTTGTATTACTTCTATCAAAAACTGTATATTTGTGTTCATAAAAAAAAATATGAAAGTTTGAAAGGACAGCTGCTTCTTTGTATCAAATATCAATAATACCGGAAGAAGTATATATATATAATATACTAAACCTCTGCAAACATTAAGAATTTACTGTATGTATCGCGTATGCACTGCAGACAGCCAGCAGTGTGTTTTATTTTCTTATTTTTAGCTTTTATATGTTCGATAGCTTTAATAATTCATTTTAACACATAAATCAAAAATGAAATCAATTGAAATGAATATTTAATGAACCGTTACATTAGGACCAGAGAAATCTTAATTTTTTTTTGCATCGTACAGTGGTCACCGAAATATATTGGAATATGAAATAAACATGATCGTTTAAACCTAGAAATTTAGTTTCTGAATATAAATATTACGTTATTTTATTGTATTTGATATTATATTAGAAATCAATTAATGAAAAATGGGACCGTGCGTGCTTCCAGATCTGTCATTTGTTCAAAAAACTGCTGTAAATAAAATCTTGGTATATGGTATGGGAACCATAGTATTATTAAAGGGAGTGACCGGCAATGTATGGAAGTTGAACAGAATATGAGGTATTGAGGACAAATTTTTTAGGATTCATTTGAGACATAAAAAACGTTTCAAAATCATGAATTTAAGGGTGGCTACGGTTTCAGAACCGGGTTTTCTTTAATTATTAAATAACGACGACAAAAATGTAAAAAAAATTCTGTAGTAAACTGATTAGTTGTTTAGGAACAGGTTGAGAAAATAAAAATCAACTCTTATCATCGTAAATAAGTAATCTTATTCAGTTATTAGTTTCTAAAATCTCTCATTATTCACAAAGGTTTTCTGCAGATTTACTTGAATTTTTATTGAAAAGACGACATTTGAAGAATTTGTAGAAATCTGCGAACAAATTTAAAGAAAATAAGAAATTTAATATAAAAACGAAAACGAAATAATTGATTTTAACATTGATTTATTGTATAATTTTTACTTTATTTTTTCGTAGTCGTTATTTAATAATTTTTAAAAAAATATTCTGAAAACTCAAAATCAGTAAATATACATCGTTCTATGTCTCAAATGAATCTTAAAAAGATTTTCTACAATACTGCATACTCCCTACATTACCGGACCAGTCCCTTAAAGTACGTGTATGAAGAGAAACCGAACTAGAAAAAGTATTTTCTAACAACTGCACTGCACTGTACTGCACTGCACTGCACTGCACTGCACTGCAAAACACAAAAACATGAAATATTTCACTCCATGCTTCCCTTTCACAGAGGATACAAACACTGCAATGGAACACTTGCCTCTAACTCTAATTTTCTTAAACTTATATCTCTACAACCTAACAGTTCCTATGAAATTTTTAGCAAAGTTTGGTCTTTTTATGACACTTTGGGTTGAATGACTATAAGAGAGCTATCACTGTGGGTTTAATGTCTTTAAAGTAAAGGGATAAAGCTATGAGTTGAATGTCTGAGTATGTGTAGTATATATAGAAAGCACTGTGGATTAAATGTCTAAACAAAAGTAAGAACACTGTGGGTTATATGTCTATAAGATAGATGAGTAAACGATCTGTAATATTTAATTACTAAGTTTAACCTGTTCAAGGGACTGTATCTGTAAGCGTAATTTCAAGTGAGCCTCCATTCACAACTTCCAATCCGCGATTCTAAACGGTCCCCTTCAAACCTTTGTCTAATGTATTACCATAGAGAATAGAATATATATTAGAGGGGAATTTACTAGAAAAAAGTGTAAAACGGCCATTTTGTTGTACTGTTTCCATACTTCAGGTGTACTTCACATATTTATGCTATATAACCTTTTGGGCCCTGGAATATCATTTTATAGAAAATCTAAAGTTAATGTTCAAAGAAAACCAAATTATAAAATAGGCTGGTTTCATAATTGACCAATGATCATTCCACTTTACAAACGATGATTTTCCGTTACAACTATAAATCAAATGATGTTTTTTATTCACCTAATTCATTATAAAGTTTATTTAACAGTTTAAAAAATTCGAAATTGAAATGAATAGTCTAGGGAACATACTGTATTAATGTACTCTACTGCATTTAATTTGTGAAGATTTCCATGATTTGTACACTTTGAACTCCCTTTCAGGCTGAAAGGGACTGAAAAAATTCATACCGAGAGATTCTTGAAATTCCCCTCTAATATATATTCTATTCTCTATG